AAATTACTTTCATTCTTCCTGCGGAAAGAAGCACTTAATTTGTCAATCAAATATGTCATAACACTTTCTGATTGATTCATTTCCCCAATACGAAGAACTCAATCAATGCACATTCTATCAAGAGTTTCTCATCATCGCTCTCAACTCTGTATGCCGAAATAATTGTCAGGATTTAGTAGCTAAAGCGTGCCTAGGGCTGACCTTGACCCAGAAAATCATGAGCTTTTGACCTTGGCAAACTTGGGAGACGTTCGCGTGTGAATCCCTCTAAATCCTCACGCCTCTTCCAGGACACACTCTCTCTCTCTCTCTCTCTCTCCCTCCAGGAATTGCGGTGAATTTACGATTATTTCCCATTTATATGGCGCTCTCGACCCAAATGACTGCCGCATAAATTCCTTGTCACCCCTTTCGCTGTCTTCGCGTCACCCGAAATTCAATTCCATCGCCGTGAAAGTGCCGAAACGCCCACCGTCTGTCTGATTTATTGGCCAGACGAGGCGAAGAAGGATGCTCCAGAGCCTGGTCTGTGCCCAGAATGTCGAGTTGTTTTTCTCTATGACGAAATCTCTTGTTTTCTCCTACACTGACGTGACTCTCATTGAAAGACATTCTTCTCCCTCCCGAAAACTGCCTGCCGAGGGGCAGACAACTCGCTCAGATCACACGTCGTAGACTCGGAGTTAAGAACGTACAATTGTGACTACAATAGTGAAAATGGGCGTGGCATTTGAGAGGGCGGGGCCTCAAGAATGTGTATGAAGATTTATAGGTATGAAAAACAGAAAGACTTCAAGCAAATATAACTGCATTTCTCAGCGCATCCTTCGTCACATTCACGCCATTCAATGTCGTGGACTCTCGATTTGTTTCCCCCTTGGTTTAAACATCCCCCGAGAGTACCGCGAGTGAAGAGCATTTATCTCAAGAGCAGCCACAATTTGAATTGTGGCAAACTGTGCGCCTCGAGGCTTTGACGATCTGTTGAATATGCACATTTTTTATAACTCAATAGATAACGTTCCTCCTTTGCCACCCCCTGATTTTGCTAGCTGCGTGACAACGAGGATGAGAAGGTGAAATATTTCCATTTTATTCCCGTGTTTACAAAAATGTTGAGTAGCAATAAATTTTCATGTTATTCTTCCCTCCCCTCAGAATGACAATAATTTCCATTTATATTATTTTACTTCCATCACGATCTTCCGCAGTGGCGTAGTTTTCTACCTTTTTTGCTATATATAAACACATCTTTTCACTCTTCATCATTTCCTGGAATGTCATTACGTATAATTTCAGATTTATCCGCTTGAGATTGTCGCAATTCGAGTCGCCAAATAAACTGCGACAAATGTGAAAAGTCGATTAGTGCGGAAATTATAAATAGGCGATGGTTAATGCATGGGCGGAAAGTGAGTGGGTGAGTTGTATATCGGCGAGTCTGAGGATGCATCAAATATTTATCATCGTGATTTCTGTCTCGTTGCCACTAGATATTGACACCAATTCTGTATGACTTTCGTCATGGGAAATCAATGAGAGTATCGAACGGACTAAAAATATTTTCACTACATTCTCCCCCTTTCATTAAATTTCCCGGCGTGGGTGTGAATGTGTGTGTGGAAAGAAGCGTCACTTTTCCAGCTAGAATTTCACAACACTCCGGCATAAATGCTTATGCGACTGTTGTGCTGTGAAAGTTTCTCCGCACCGCAAATTGATTTAAGCTCAATCTCGCAATTTATCTGTAATATTGATTTCTGGCCTCAGCCAGACGAGCAGAGCCTAAACACAGCCTCTGGGGAAGGAAATTAAATCATCATGAGTACGGTTTGTAATTCATATTGTGCCAAAACCACAAAATACGATTACACGAGAGTTCACCTCCCCGAGAACATGAAAATTCCTCTCCGCCACAGTCGTCATAATTCATCGCTTTCCCATTTGATCCGGAATTATTCCACAATCTCGCATCATATGTTTGCATTTACAGTGATTTTTGAGGAAATATATGAACGCCATGGAAGTGTTTATCTTCCTCAAATTTATGCCGTCTAATGCGAAAATTCGCCCACACACTTGCCACCCATTCTCAACATTAATTCAATGTAATTGAAAGCACAAGCTTTCGACACACAAAGCGGAAATTAACTCTATGGAGCTTCTTTTCTCTTACAAAGCTCTTCATTTCCACTTGCACTTCTGCCTGAAAGCAAAGATGAATGAATGAACGTGAGAATTATAGTTAGTTGAGAAGCTTTTAATACTTCCGCTACATTTATTGGCGCAATGTTTGAGTTGGAAGAGTAAGATTGCTCCTATTCCATTTTCTTTCTTCTTTAAGACATCCGTGTACAGTTGAGATTACCTCGAAATGCAAAGAAATGAGAAAACAATTCCTTCCTTTTCTACTAGAATGTATTTTCTGTTTTCACATCTTTTTCTTTTATTTTCACACAGGTAGATTAATTAATCTCACAAATTTTGCAATGGTAATCAATTATATTTGATTTAAATTTAATATTAATTATCCATAAATTCGCATCCAGTGCAACACGCCACGTTTCATTTATACTAAACATTATAAGAGCATTAGTCAAACCGACAATGATGGATGAACATCAGTGCAGTTAAAGTTTCCATGCAATGCAATTTTATACATTTGTGGATAGCAAGGATTTCCCAGAAGTTCCCAGAATTTTTTATTATATGTTTTTATACATGGAATTTATAATAAATCCTTGTATATACGTTTGAAAACTAGTGAAAGCTCCTAAGAAGTTGTGTGTGAAGATTCATTTTCCTGGCAGTCTGTGAGCTAAAGAAAATGAGAAAATTTTCTTTTCAAATTCCCCCTGATTAATTTATGGTTGAGAAAAGTGACGAAGAAAGATCACACTCATCTTCATTTATTGCTTCCATTATCATTTTCTTCGCATTCGCCGACCGCATATTTCCCGCACCATCGCGAGGTTTTTGCAGATAAACTCAAGTCACCGAGATTAATTGACAATTCTTCTTGTCTCTCTGCGGGGATTTCCTCGCCATCTCATGATTTCTCATGACACTACATAAATCTCCACAGCATCCAATTAAAGCATCGAGAGATGACATGGCGTGCGGAATGGAGGAATTCTTCATGTGAGAACGCGCACTTAATTGATGTCAATTTTTCCAGTGACACGCAGCTTTCGCGAAAGCTCATTTTCCTCCAGAGACAATTGTTTGCGTCGTGAACACGTTTCTACAGCGCGACAATTTTGCATTCGCGCTTTTTCATCACTCTTTTCACCCCACCAACTATTGACACTCATTCGAATGGAACGTGTTCGGAATCCTCCGAGAAAATCGTTATCTTTTCCCTCCGATGAGTGGAAAAAATTTAAACTTTTCCGAATGCTTTGCCGTCACGCATTTCTCTGGGACTCAATTAAAAAACTTTCCACGCTTTCCTCCTCTCAAGCAATTAGTGAGGAACAAAGCTCAGTTCCAGATTCAATATAAAATGTCATTAAAATCTTTTCTCACTCTTTGCACGTCAAGTGAGAAAAGAAAAACTACATTTTCAATCTACATTTTTCACCCTAATTCAATCTCACTCTTGTCACAATAACCTTGACATTGGTGGTTATTTTCACGAATGTCCCGGGAAATCCCACGAGGTTTTTCCTTCTATTGATTTCCTCGTTCTCGTGAGGGATTGTTTGAATATTTAAATGGGAGTTTTTTCGCTCGAGTTGGGGATTTCTACTGGGGATCCCTTGTCTTGTCAATCAGAAAAAGGGACAAAAATCACCAAAGTTTGTCGGGAAAGCCTCCAAATGCTGATACCTTCAAAGTTAAATTGCGGAGGCAAATTTTCTCAGCTCCTCCGCCAGGCACGCTCGTGAATGCTCAATGAGGCGAGGACAGAGGCATGGGGGTGATACCCAAGGGGTTTCTCATTGTTGGGGTAATTCGGCGGAAAATTTCATGTATGAATCTCTATTCCGTAATCAAAGTGCATAAATGTGCCGAAAGCCACCCTTTTCTGAGGGGGCTTCAGGATCGAATCACAGCCGCAAAATTCGGTGGACCTCGACTAACAGATATGATTATCCCTTGTGCGTGGGGGTGGCGCAGTAAAAATGGGCGGAATAGCTGGAGATGAAGGTGAAAATTGGGTCCCTCACAGGTGGGGACAGAGATAACCCAGCAGCAATCTCTCACGATCTTGGGAAATTGGGTATCCTTTCTCCACCTTTTTGCCAGAGCAATCGATTTGTGGCCACGCTCCAACTCAATAATTGATGTGGCTTTTGAAACTCCAAGCGGCCCAGTGAAATCGATACGAAATTGCATGAAAAATTTACCAAAACACTCCTCACAGTCAACGTTGGCGCGCGATACGTGAGAATAATCCTTAACATTTATGTTCGCCATAAATCAAATATTTAGACATCGCTTCATACTACGTAACGGACTTATTTACGCTGTGGGATGACTTTTCCTTTGAGGGCTTCTTCGCTTTCAATTATTTCTCGGCCAAACACACTGAAGATTCTGCCCAGGGGAGCCGACAATCCACTCTTGAGCTTATCGTGCATGAAACACTTAAATATGAATGAGGCGAGTGATGGGAAAAAAGCATCAAGAGCTTGTAATTGATGGTGAATCTTGGATTGAAATTTGCCCAGTTGTGCACTTTGGCACAATCTTCCCCGAAACTTTGCTCTCTGGCAGAGCTAATCTGTTCCCGTCTGCAAATGGGGAACACTTAATGCCTTCCAACACGTCAGGAAGTTGTGCGACTGCTTCCCAAAGTGGGTCACAAGATGTGTGCTATATCTTGCAGAGTTCACCAAACGCGCCAGTTGTGTGCACTTGAAGACAATGCAAGAAAGTGACTTTTCACTGTATTTTTTCATGTCTGTGGGCGGAGCTTGGAAATGGGCGGAGCCTCGAGAATGCTTAATGGAAAATCACGTTAAAACTGAGCTTCATTTCTTTCCATTTTTCAGTGTTCGCAGTGCAAAAACAAATATCACGATGGACGCTGCCAAGAGAGTGCACATCGAGAAAGCGCACAACTTCATGCGCCAATATCGCGATCCAGAATCCCGAGAGCTGAGGAAGTTGTCAGCTAATCAATTCATGGAAGTTTGGAGTCACTATGATAAGGATGCCAATGGTTACATTGAGGGAACTGAGCTTGATGGCTTCCTCAGGGAGTTCGTGTCCAGTGCAAATGCCACAGACGTCAGCCCTGAGGTGAGATAAGTGAGACAACTCCGGTAGACTGTGGGTTTTCACTGTGTAATCCTAATCTTCTGACAGACTCTCACAGACGCCACACTCAGCGAACTGAAGTCCTGCTTCATGGAGGCGTACGATGACAATCAGGATGGGAAGATCGACATTAGAGAAGTAAGAAGTCGCATCCAATTAACACGCTTCTGGCTATTGCAATGCTAATTGCGCACCATTTATTTGCGAGGGTGTTTCAGCAAAAACACACTGCAGCGAATGGTGAATGCGGCAGTGAAGAGACATGCTCCTCAGCTGCAATGGAGATGCTCCAATTTCATCGGGAGAATTCGGGAATGTTCACACTCGAAATTGTCCCTATTTCCACAGCATTTCACTGAGTGCCTTGTAGTCGATTTAAAGCTGCTCTGTGGGAAGATGAATTGTTGAATGGGAAATCACTGAAACTTTTGTTGAACACACTTCTGAGGGTGGAAAATCTCCTGAGATGCATTCACAGGAAGAGCATATAGAATTAGTTGAAAGGATTTGTGTGGATGGGGAAATTGTGAGAAATTAGAGGATGAACAACTTGAGCGTAAATTTTCACTCAAAACACAAGATTTATTTCCGAGAAAATCTCGACGACAATGAAAAGTGTTTAATCCAACTTTTCCCACCAGCCATTCGAACTATATGCGATATACTGTCTCTGAAATTTTAATGTGTGATCCCAACATTTGAGTGTCAGTTTGGCGAAGTAAATTCCTCAACTTGCGATATGCTTATGCGAGTGTATTTGGGAGTAGGAAAATTGGATGAGGCGAGAAGTCAAGCACGTCCTGGGGAAAATTGCCAAGAGACTTGGTGAAATGTCTTGCGAAAGGGGCCACGAAATCGTGTCATGAATAGTATATGAATAAATAAGGGAGCATGGAAATTGAGAAGCAGTGTCAGATAATTGATTTAGGATCAAATTCAACCGCATCCACACTTAAAATTTGCCTCACTTTTTCTCCCATTTCAGTTGGCACAGCTTCTTCCCATGGAGGAGACCTTCCTCCTCCTCTTCCGCTTCCACAATCCACTCGAGTCCAGCGTGGAATTTATGAAGGTAATATCATTGGCATTTTCCCCCCACTATATGACTATTTGCACACACGGAAATATTCATGGTATTTTAACAGGATAAATTATTTACATCCGCAATCCATGCGATTCCATTGATGGTCAGCGATTAGTGGATTTAGCGAGGGTATTTTAGAGAGATAGCAATTTATCCAGCTGACATTGCTTGTGAATAGAAAATGTGTTGGAAAGCACTTCAATTGGATAAATTAATGTCTAAAACTGATGTGCACAAATATTGATTAATAAATATTGCAATGTTAGAGCTCTTTTCCTGTGGGAAAAATCAAATTATTTCATCCATTTCCCTTTCAAAATGGGAGCCAAATAACTGGTAGAGGAATAAAGGAATTTGTCATTTCAAATATATTTATTTCAAATGTACGTTTTATGTTAAACAGAGGAAATTTATTTTTTATTGGTATATCATTTTACGTCATTTAACTCAAGGGGGAGATAATATGATCTGAAGTGGTGTACAACTACTTTTGTGATAAAAAATAGAACAGAATTCAAACATAACCTCGAAGAATAATTTTCAAATTTCTTATATCTAGAAAAATCTTATATCTTATAATAAAATAACATGTTCTTATATCCATTGAGAAAGCGCTATCGCCCTCCTTAATTCAACCCAACTGTGAACGCCTAATGAAATATGTTTTGAAGAAATATTTTCCTCGCAATTCTGAACTCTTTTCATGCTGTCCTTTCAGATTTGGCGTGAATACGACACCGACAATAGTGGATACATTGAAGCTGATGAGCTGAAGGTGAGTTTCTCGCTCCGTGCAAAAGGCGAATTGATCACGCCACAAAAGTTTCCCAGGGAAACAATTGTCACAGGCCAAAAGCCTGGGCATCCGGCTGTAAACAGAAAATCATTGTCGTCACTCTGTGCGCCCTCGGAAGCGCCATTTGTGGCCCCGAAGAAGGAGCTTTTCACCCGTAAAGTCGTGAAAACTTTTCTGTGAGACTTTGCCACATACATTTTCCAGTAAAATCTTAACTTTAAATTAATATGGAAATTGTGTTTTCGCAACAAATTGCCCCTTCCATAGTATCAAGAGAGAGAGAGAGTGGAAGATGAACTCATGCTGAGTTTCTTTTCAACCCCTTTTGTTTTCTTGGGGTTGCGCGATTTATTTCTGACAAGGGATCATATTAGCAAGAATGTGCGATGATTCTTCTGAGAAATTGTAATCACGGACATTATCATTTTTGCCCCGGGCAAAGATCATTCAGACAGAAGATTTTATTGAAAAAAGTTTTGATATCAACAAATATCCACTGAAGCGATACAAGATATCCGTTGGCAGAAGAGCAGGTGTTCTAGATCAATGATAAGAGATTGACACAAGGGTTGTGAGCCAGTCTGAAGATATCTAATATATGAAAGCGCATCAATTCTATTTCTTCAGAGACGCATGACTTCTTGTTTTGTCATTTCGCTTGGAAGCTCCCAAAGGCATGTGCAATTGTTGTTTGCAAACTTTTCCCCCAGTCTCAATGTCCATGACAACAATAGTTACAGTTGAAAAATAGGAAAATAGACAATGTAAGTTTCCTCTTTTCACTTCCTAGAATTTCTTGCGAGATCTTCTGAAGGAAGCCAAGAAAATCAATGACGTCTCAGAAGACAAACTCATCGAATACACCGACACTATGGTGAGCTGTTCTTTCCTCTCTAGCGCGGACTTTTCATTTAAGAAAACTATCCCGAAAAAAAACTCTGTTTCTCTTTCATCATCAGCTTCAAGTGTTTGACGCCAACAAGGACGGACGACTGCAGTTGTCGGAGATGGCAAAGTGAGATTCCATTTATACTTAAGGCCTCACGAGAAAGTTTACTCATTACACCAATTCCCATTATCACTTTAGGTTGCTTCCTGTGAAGGAGAACTTCCTGTGCCGCCAAGTATTCAAGGTAAAATTGAAAAATTCTATCTCTTTGCTGACTCTCTTCTTTGAATTTGGTAATGAAAAACGAGAGAAAAAAAACCCTTGTGAAAAGGGAAAACTTTTCAAACTCAATCAATGATATTAATTCTGACGAAGTCACAGGCAAAAAACCCCCCTTTTGATTGATGTATTTTGTGTGTATGTCTGAGAATGCCATAAAGAATCCCACAAGCTATGAAAGCTTCCAAGACGATGCTGAAAAGCTTCACAGACTTCCAAAGCCACGTTCACTGAATGAATAATATTTTTATCTAATTTACTCCACGCCAAATCCCTCGCTCTATCGCACTGAAACCTTAGTTTGGAGCTATAGAAAGAATTGGGTGAAGATGAAAACCTTCGTATTATATTGCTAAAGTAACAAGAAAAAGTGACTTGTAGAAATTCCATTATAATCAATCAATGAGAAAATGCTTTCTAATCTATAATTATTATAGTGTCACATGTAAAACATTGAATTGTTGTTTCTCAAATTAAATTAACACTAGAACTGCCAGTGTGAAAATTTACTTCTAATGAATGTGTTCTTCTAATGTCTCAAATAGCATTTTAGCACTGATACAGAAAAGCACTCTTTAAGAGCTTCTTAAGAGAATTTCATTAAAAACAAAGTTTCTTGTGAAAAGCTTTAGAAAGCCCAAGTCAATTATGAAATTCCCAACAATTTTCTCTAGATAATTAATTAGTCTAATGCTAAATTTAACTCGATTGTGTCCCTCAAAAGACGATCATAGAATCGCTTCGAGGCGTAAAAACTTTTCCCCCAATGAAATTTCTGCGATTCTGCGGAAGGAATTTTCATCATTTGCACACGTTGGCTTTTGAGGAGGAATCTCCACATATTTGCCACGTCGGTTATTTATCTGACTTTTATTGCTGCTAAGTTGTTCCGGGGTGCTTAATTAGCCGCCATTTCAATTTCCGTTCTTTGAGTGGCACAATCTTCCGCCATAAGTTTGTTGTTTTCACACAATTTGTGACGTTATGCTTTCTCTCTCTCTCTCCCCCATCTGTCTCTCTCTCTCTCTCTGTTTCTGTCTTATAACACACTGCTGTCCTTCCTGTCACTCTTTGACACTTGGAAACCTAACGAAAATTATCTACTTTTATTTCACGAATTATCTGACAAAATGACTGTTTTTTCTGTTTTTCTTCCATCTTTTCTTTATCTTTACATGGATTTCGTTTATTTCCTCTGTACATTCACAAAACTCTTGGATTGTATCTTGTGTTTATCTGTGTCTGAATACAAAATACTGTTTCTGTGCACACATCAAATAATACCACAAATACCAACAAAATGTCCCACATTCCACCAAAGGAAGGCATCGAAGTGAGTATTTCTGTTACATCTGTCGTTGTTTAGTCACATTTCATCAGCAAAAAAATTTTTAACGAAACAACAAGTGACTCAACGCAGAGTCCTAACTGCCAAATTTGTATATACATTTTCGTTCAAATTACTGTCAAGCATCCTTCATTTGTGATAATGACATTGTACATGAGACTCTCCCATCACTGACATCACTGTCATTAAGTGTGATGCCTCTTAAGAGACGGCATTTCCACGAGAATAGGGAAAATTGAGACCCAGAGAGAGCTGGAAAATGCTCATAGAGTGAGCAAGTTCTAAATAATCGGATGAAAGTCTTTGGTATGCATTGCAAAGCGCTCTGTCGAGAATCGCTTCCATGGAGGCACTTTGGGAGGTGGGAAAAGGCAAATATTTTAAAGTGCTTGCACAAACATTTCATAATTACATTATAAGGGAGAGAAAATTGGTGCGGCGCACGTTTTCAGTCTCTGTTGATGAAATACAATCATTAAATTTTGCAAGAGTTGAATTTCAAGGGAAGATTATTTGACGTTCTCTGTGAAATGAAAATGTCTCAACTTTGTGTTTGCAAAAGCTCATTCGTTAGTTTTGTCGTGAATTATATGTACATACATGTAATAAGAAACTTTTCTGTTACACACCGTCTAACACATGAACAGAAAACATTGTCTAACAACATATTTCACAAATTTCTTACATATTCTTCATATTTAATTTCCCACCATGATTTTCACCTTATCTTTCTCTCTCTCTCTCTCTGTTTTATTTTCTCCTTTTGTAGTCATATTTCCTCATAGAATTCACTTAGTTTGGCCTCGTTTATCACGAGAAAAGCTTCGCTGTCTTTCCCGCAAAATCGAGACAATGCGTAGGAAAATGCCACGAGAGCTTCCACAGCACAAGCATGAATTTATTAGGTTCTCATATATTGCATTTTGCTCCATGACTCATTCAGAAATCAGCAGTAAAATTCATTGCTAACCCACAACCTAAAGCACGACATTTTCCTCAACATCTCCTCAATATCTCTCCTCAGGGCGCCGCAAAACTCACGAAGGAAGACATTGAGAAGGTCTTTTCGCTCTACGACAGGGTGAGTATTTTAATTCAATCAACGTTGAGATAATTAATCAATTCACGGGGAAATTTGGCGCGCAACATAAGACCCATAATCCAATTGAATTTATGTGAAATCATGCAATTAATGAATGGGAAATTTCGTTGGGAAAATTGGAGTGTTTATAGTCGTGGAATAAATCAATTAAGGGGGTAATTTATTGAATTTTGAACTTTCAAAATTGAAAAGGCTTTATGACAATTAATTATGTGGTTTGTGTGTGTTATTTTTGGGTGATATTTTGTGGAATGAATTTCACCAGAGTCATTCACTTTTTGCAGGACAATAATGGCACTATTGAGAATGAGGAACTCAGGGGTTTCCTGAAGGATCTTCTGGAGCTCGTGAAGAAGGTATGAAAATGATTTTCCTGCCAATATTCATACTGTTTCACTGTCAGTTCACCACAAAGCCCTTTTCGCGGAATACGTGAAACCTTGAAAGTTACTGGAACTATAGAAATTGGAAACTATTCGGTCGCATTATGTGAATATTGACTGTACTGAAACCGATTCATTCACGCATTAAAATTGAAAAGCGGATCTGTATTCTATTTAAAAATCAATTAATCTTGTCAAAAAGTTTGATTTCAACGCAATAAATTCTGGGAATAAAACTCACGGTGAATTACTGTGAATGTTCAGTTCCGGAAACCAGTTATTCGCACACTGTAATGATTTTCCTTAGAATCTCCATTAAATTGACTATTTTTATTCAGTCGATTTTCCACCTCCACAGATTGGAAAATAGATCACAAAGAACATCATCTGTCTCTTGTAAACAAATCACACATTTTCTCATCTCTATCTTAGGATTACGATGCTCAGGACCTGAATGACTTCGAGGAGACAATCCTCCAGGGCGTGGGCTATGACAAGGACGGCAAAATCTCCCGGAAGGAGCTGACAATGATCCTGCTGGCGCTGGCAAAGATGCCAACAGAGGAGGAGCAGTAAGGCGAGTTAAGGCGCAGCGGAAGAGCACAAGATTAGGGCATTTGGAAACGACAACGATTTTTACCAGTGCTGTATAACAGTCCGAGACGCACACCTTTTCAGCGCGCGCCTCTGCTAAAGGTCGCGCTGAAAATGCATGTGTCTCGGGAAAGTGGGAAAAGTTGAATTGATGAGAATCTTTTTGCCAAAAAAAAAAAATAATTGAAAAGTATTTGCATTTTCGGGAAGAGATTTTCCCGCGAAGGCGCACAGTTCATACACACAAGTTGAGCTCAAAACATAAAATAGTGCTTGGCAGAGATACAATTTGCTTCGAAAAAAAAAAGTTCAATGATGTTCTATGGAAACTATTTAGCCTTCAAAAATCTTTCTATCTTGAGTGCAATTGCAAGAAAAGACTTATAGATTAACTGCACTGATGATATCAATGAAATATAACTTGCCTTTGTCTTTTGTCATGAGTTCTTTGGCATCTTCTGTTGCCTGTTTCCTTGAGAGGGAAGAAAGTATGAGTAAGTGGTACTTTTCGCGGGTGAATTGAGCACAATGTTGGACATATCAAGATTGTTAGTTTATTCCTCCATTCCGTACGATCTTAACTAGAAATCCTGCCTGAATTTCGCTGAGAAGAGGGCTTTTCTTTCGCAACGCCGCCTCATTCTACCGTGATACTTTCCCAAAAACGACAAAATTAATCTATAAATTGTGTGAAATGACTAAAAGTCTCTATTTTTCCACCCTTTTTGCTATTTGTGAAACTCCTGAATAACATTTCTTCTGTGACTCTGAGTGAAATTGGTCAGTTTATGGCAAATGATATGAATTGTATAGCTCTATAAATTTATTGTGATTGAGAATGAAAAAAAAACAATTACTTGTGAAAAAGCTTGATGGAAAATTGTAAAAAGGAAGCACTACTAAAGTATTTCAAAGATATATTTACAAAACTATATATTGCTCTCTTCTTATATAATTAACGAATTTTTCAAGCGTTTGCTGTTGTTTCGTCTTAAACAAAAAAACTATAAACATTATGATAAAAGGTGTTTCAATTTGAGATAAAGAATAAAAAACCGTTCCATTGAGATACAATAAAGATGAGAAAAAAAACACATGAAGTAAAAATGAAAGAAAAAGGAATAATAAGGTAATTGTGAGGAATTTTGTGCCAAATATCAATGAATTTCTCTCCACAGATTGTGTAAAATGAGAACATTCAAGTTGTAAACATTTCCATAATGAAGAAAAACCACCACCTAATAAATGTTAAATGGAAGAACACCCATGCTTAAACCATTAAAAGAAACCACAGAAGAACTTCTCAGACATTTTTCAATATGATTGTTGGTGGAAAATTCACTTAAATGTTGACTAAATGTGTACTATTTTACCTGTTAAACTCTAAATTACAACTTAATTGAGAAGATATATTAAATGATATTTGAGACATGAGAATAAATAACCTATAAAAGAACAAAATATAAATGTATTGACGTATTTCTGCGAAGTAATTAGGCGAAAGCATTGAACAAGAGTCCAAAAAAAAAAGAATTCAGAAAATAAAGGAGAAACTTTCTCATTCGATCCAGCCGCCTTTTTATTCTCTTCTCCTTATCAAATCGCTTCTCCGACATTGTCGTGTTTTTTCCACTCTTCCCATCTCCTGAATTCACATGTTAAAAATCGGTAATTCGATATCTCTCCATCCATCCATCTTCATCGACGTGCGATGGTCTCTTTTATTCACCTCTTGAGGACCCACAGAATGATTCACCTTGTGAGGTAATTTGGCCTTTTTTATCAGTGACAACCGTGTATTTAGTTAAAAGCTCACGGTCCACTGAATTCCTGATGAGCGCACATCAAAAGAACAGTCGCCCAAATCTTATCGCGCCTCTCATTCGATTTTATGCCCTCCTACTGACTGAGAAAACAATTCCCATCGTCAACAATTCCCATTAACAAATTGACCCAAAGTGTTGCCCAGTCGCGAAAGGAACGAAGTGCGGTTCCTGCAGTGAAAAACTGAGAGGAATGCATACGCCTCGTTATAATATGATTTATTTGCACCTGACAGGCGATCTAATTGAATATTAACACCTTTTTCCTCTCACCAACATTTCGCCCCAACAGAGTTGCAAAGAGCGAATTGAAGAAAGTATAGACGGCAAATTAGGATGAGTCGATTAATATGAACAATGTACACCTCTGAGACTGTTAAAATAAAAAGAATATAAGATAATGTAGCTTAAAAATCATGTATTTTTTATGGAAATAAGGATAAAAGCAGCAGAATGCTAAATCTATCGGAATTATTCAGTCTGACAATGAATCCCAACAATGGAAATCCTATCAATTTGAATTGGTAAAAAAAACTCTCTGAATTTCGAACTCTGAAATCAGAATTAAAAGTTGTGAGAAAGGTTGTGAGTTATTTAATTTTGTGCCAATGTGGAAAAGAGATCGATTACAGTTGTATGAACAATTACTGCCCAGAATGTGAGTTGCGAATTTTACAATTATTAGGAATTTAACGGCTGAAGAGGTGATATTTCACATTGCTATCTCTTATCTAGGGTCAGATAGCTCAGCCACGGTCATTTGTTTGGAAACTCCCGCCAACACAATAGTGATTAATTGTGGCCATTCTGCAGCCTCTTGTGCGCCCCTTGAACGGATCAATCGACAGGCTGAGAAATGGGTTTTCTCCTCTCGTGCGCGGTGCTCTTATCACATCTTCTGGAGAGATGGCAGGTGCGATGATCTCCGCGATAAGACGCCCAGTGCGTTGGCGATCGCGCCCGGAAGACAAATTGGCACAATAATTCAGTGAATTAATTAGCGTGTGAGAGGATCGATCGGGAAATTGGCCGATAAGTCAAGAGCCTGTTGGTGGCGTTAAAAATGACACGTTTGGTGCGTCTCTCAGGCGTAATGTGATTATGAGGCACCTCCATCATCGCCGTGAAACGACACCCAACAATCGAGTTGAACATCTGAACCGTTTATTATTTAAATGTGTCGAATGAAGAAAAATAATCTATGGCTCGTGTAAATTTATCACCGACCGCCTCATAACTTGCCTACAAATTGTTACCTCATCCACTGTGTGAGTGCTTCGCTGGCTCTCAGGCTGAGATTCAACCACCACGAGGCACGAAGCCGAAGGGTTGTTCATTGCAGAATTGTGTGACATTCTTGCAATATCGCTTAATATAGCAAAATTACTTCTGCACAAATCAGAAGTGGGATTTCAGAATTTTACTCAGTTGTTCAAATTTCTTATATTTATATGACAATAATTCTAAAATCATCTAATTATTTCACAAAACTGCATGTAAAGTGGCATATTTTGCCAAAATAATTCCATCCAATTCCTCTTATTCAGTCTGAGGTGCACAAGAAAAGCTATATAGACATGTCACTAGTTCAAATGGTTTCAAATGACAAACCCTTTCAACTGTGACTAGGGACAGTCGAGAGAGAGAGAGACACTGTCGAGATCACCACCAATTGATTCTTCTCTGGCTCTGAAGAATGCTCCAAGGAGGAGAAGTCCCGGATTCTTGCGTGCCTCGCGAGATTCGCAGCAGTGTAAAGTGGAGCTGAAGTCCACAGAGTTGAGATTTTATCTCAGGACCATATTTATCGCCTCGGCTAGTGTTCTCTCGCTCGCGCCCAACGACGATATTGGGATATTTCATCGTCTCTCAGGTGTCTTGCCACACAAGTTGAATTATTCCACGCTTTGATTTTAACATTGGAAATTACATGAATCCTAGATTTATTTATTCGCCTCAACATCGCGTTCAGACTTCTTTCTCCGCACTCACACGCGCGCTGCTTGGTAGTTCGAGGGGCGACATTTTTCGCTGGGTAGTTTAGAATGCGACCATAATTGAATTAGCGCGGTGATCGATTTAGAATCAATAAGACTAAACGGAGTGAGATGGGTGTTCGGGAGGATCAGGGGCGAGTCAATGACATGCGATGATGGCAGCTTGAGGGAAGACCCATGCTAAAGAGTGAAATTTATTGTCCTCCAACACCGAGAGTGACATTTTTCTCAATCATAAAAATTCATTCGATTGAATTAATTTGAGTGTGAAAAAAAGCAAACGGCCTGTGAGTTCAGAACGTTTGAGCGGAGCTGATTTATTTTCAAACAATTAAAATTCAGAGAATCCCCCATGAGAGGCGAATGGGAATTTAATTTTTCATGAAAGAGTGGAGGATGGAAAATTGATGGTCATGGGAGTTATGATCACGAGATCTTTGTTTTTGGTGATGTCTTGTCTGTTACATCTTCCAACTATTCTCCCTTTCTCCAGCTTAACCCTCATCCATTGACACCGTGAAAGTTGTTTGACTTAGAAATATTGGGCGAGAACAAATTGATAATGTGATTTTGGTGTCTTGGCGTGAGGGTTAAATGGTCTTTTGAGCAATAATTCCTTCATGTTTATTGGGCAATTTGGCGGAATGTGATCTCCCGAAGTGTGAATTGATCCATGATCTCCTCAGCGACTTGTCAGAGTGTTGAGAAAGCCATTATGCCAAGAGACTAATCGAGATCAGGGGAAGTGTAACAAAAGGCCGAATTGACTAATGAATGGTGAGTCAATAAATCAAAATCACACAAATAAATTCACCATTAATTTCCCATCCTGTGGCACTCCGATTCTCAATATGCATCCTTCATGGGTGGAGTGGAAAAAATAATTTCAATAATTTATGGTACCCATTAATTTGCCCCCCAAAAAGTGTTGATTGTATCTCTTCGGGTGTGCGAGTGAGAAGGCCCAAAAAGAATTGTCTTATGGAAAGAGGAGAAACAATTTGGTGGCGCGAAGCCACACAGCCTCCAAGGAGGCATAAAAAAAGGTATAAATAAATAAAATATGGAAATAGCTGGAGAAATACCTGCGAGAATCTCGTTTGTTGTTAATCAAATGATTATCTTTCTGTCGTAAATAACAAATTTGTGAATGACTCTCTGAACAGATTCCATGCAACAATCACGCTTCACGCGCACCCAATTTCTGTTCAGGACAGCACAGACAGTCAGTCTCCCTGGGAAAAATGCCACTGAATTTCCTCATTCAATCCATATAAATATCGAAAGTTTTCCCATTAACCTGATAAAGAATCTAAATGGCCACTTTTTCTCCTGCATTCCATTTAAACAATCTAATTTGTTTATTTGACGATAAAATAGGCGCAGAAGAATGTTGTTTTTTTGGCGAAAATAGCCGCGGTGTGTACAAAAGAAGACCCCATTTTCCCTTATCAGGAGATTCAATCACAATTTGCCATTTAGACGCGTCCTTTCAATTTCTCGCAGTAATTTTGGGACTTCTCTTCCTGCTCCTTTATTGTCCCGCATCGAGCCCTTCAATGAGCCATTGTCATGCAATTTTCTCCGTCTCTTGCCTTGTTTGATCGTTGCATCGAAAAATGGAAGGGCAATTTGATGCACCCGGGTTGTTTTTTTTTCAGGCTAAACTCAATAGTCTTCACGTGAATTGGAAATTCCACTAAACAATGAATTTCTGATATGAAAAACACAATTAAAGTCCACTGATATGTCTTATCGACTACTGACTACTACAAAGTTTAGACAATCAATCATAGCGTCGATAAAATACGTATTGAGTGACAGATATGAATATCGGTGATTTAAGATTTTTACAATGAATTCTATCTGTCTTTCGAAATGATAACATTTCCAAAAATGTAATATCAAAAGAGAAGAAACTTTTCAAAATGCTAGATTGTTTCTCTAACAAATTCTTGCTCTCCATCAATCTTAAATTCGTTTTTGCTGCATCGAAGTTTCGAGAAATAATCCGAGCTTATTGTAATTGATTTGTACATTATATTTTAGGTGGACTGATTTCCAAAACATTGAATTCACAAAAAAATGACGGAACAACTTGAAAATAAACGTCTGCCGTTTTACAATATCATAAAACCTTATCATATCAGTGCGTCTTAAGCAATCACTAAACGTTGCAGGAGTGCAAAGATCAAGGAACATTAATCAAAAAATTTCAGTACTGATATTGCAAGTAGTTTATATGTATCGAGCATTCATTTGGCCAATAAAACGGAGAATGAAGAAAAGATTAGATAACATTCCAGGAAGACATTTATGCGGTTTTAGAGATTAAAACATATACGTATGAGCAATTCAATGTTTATTTAAGTTTTTGATAATTTGGAGGAGAGCATAGGTCAATGGTATTTACTGGGCGCCAGTGTGTCCAAGGATCCAGTTCCTGTGGCTGGAGACACGATCGTAGACATCAGCGAAGCCACGAGCGCAAGGAATACCCCAGGACACAATACCGATAACAGTGTTGCCGACAGCGAGTGGGCCACCAGAGTCACCAGAACAGGCACCACGTCCGACTTGTCCACCAGCGCAGATCTTGTGGGCGAAGATGAGGTTTCCATTGCCACCGACGCGGTTCTGGCAATTAGCGTTGGTCAGTGTAGCCTTAGTCAAGAACTGCAGGTTAGCGGCCAAGCTTCCAGGGCTGGAGGTCAGACCCCATCCGGAAAGAACAGCATTAACTCCACCACCAACGGTAGCGGATCCCAGAGTGATGGGACGGATGGTGTTGCCGAAGCCAATACCAGCGGTGGTCTGGACGACGGAAACGTCATTGGCAATGGTGTTGGCGTTGTAGCTTGGGTGGTTCACGATGCGGGCAGAGTTGAAGCGGGTTCCACCAGTGGTTCTGGAGTGAGCTCCAAGAACGACAATGGTGTTCGCAAGGGAACGTCCAACAGTGCAGTGAGCAGCAGATGTAATCCAGCGGCTGTTGACCAGGATACCACCACAGAAGTGAGCGTTGCCAGAGCTCCTGAGGGAAGCCTGGTACGGGAACTGTCCGACGGAAGCAGTGCTGCCACCGACAACGAAGCTCTCGGTGTACTCAGTGAAGCGACCCTCCTCGATATCGTGGATGGCGTTGATGAAATCGTGAGGTCCAGGAGTGACTGTAGAGATTCCCAACTGTTAAAGCACAAAAGGAAAACTTCTAGAGGACTGGGGCTAACTTACCCTCACTGAGCGCCACAGCGGCGAGCGACAGAATAACGACAAACTTCAGCATTTTTACCACAAAATCTACACTTCGAGTGCTTTTGATGCTGCAACTGTTCGATCTTTTATACTCTGCTTCAGAAAGCATAGCCACTTCTTATCAATCGTTCATTCTTAGTGCGGCCTAAGTTATCAAAACTTATCGCACATTTAATCATTTCTGGGAATTCCAATAATTACGCCTTTCAACATTCCTTTCTTGAATTTTACTGTGGTTTAAAGTGGATATGTAATGTACTGATAAAGTGCAATCGTAATTTTTGGGGCGTGTTTTAAACCACGTCTAAAACAAAATAGTTGATTTTATGAAACATGAAAGAAACTTGGTTGTATCGAAACGAAAGCTCATTTGTTATTTTTTAAGACTGGAAAATTCACCAAAGCTTTTTTGTATGGTTTGTTGCAAAAATCAGTCACAAAGTCGTGTATAATAACAAAAAGGAAATGGCCAGAGTCTAGATAAAAACATTTGCTTCTGAGTTAAGTACTGTATTTCAGTTTTGTTTACAAAACATTGTTCATTATTTTTTTTTTTTAGTAATGGTAGTTTCCTAATCATAATATTTTATAGACTTGTTCACTAAAGTTAACCCTATGAAATTTCGCTCTTTCTGTGCTTTCTTAAAAAAAAATTGTAGTTATTTCGGCTACAAATGCCTCTAATTGAAAGACACTAACAGTGATTTAATAAAGCATGAATCGATTTACTATAATAGATTTTTGCACCAAACTTTATTATAATCTGCCTTCAATAGAGATGTTCAAAATATTTTCCGTAGAATACAAATCACATGAGTAAGGAAAACAAAAACGAAAATGTATAAACACTGCTATGATTTTCGGGTAGCGCTCATAAAAATTAAATTAAACTTGAGTGGAAGGGACCCTCAATTATATACCTTGAGGGTATATAATTAAAATTAATTCAGATTAAACCGCTACTTATATAAAGAAGCGAAGTGAATAACGGCGGCAGCCGCCACTGGAAGACTTACTTGTTATTAAATGTAAAGAAGCTCGAGTGTAATAAATATATTCTATTCCATATGAGAAAATCTTTATACTCATTTTTTTTTTAGAAGGAATGTGTGTACACTACAGAGTCAAAAAATAGTAATAGTCATGTACTAGTCTTTTCTTAACAAAATTTCTAAAGATATCAGGTTCCTTGGAATTATATTTAACTTAAGATTAGATAGTATAGCAAAAGCCTTTCATAGATTTAAGAAAATATAACACAAGTGTTTTAGCAAATGAATTTTATATTTATATTTTCAATGATTTCGTACATCAGGCGTCGGAGAATAAGTCAAATGTGTTTTTACTGGGCACCAGTGTGTCCAAGGATCCAGTTCCTGTGGCTGGAGACACGATCGTAGACATCAGCGAAGCCACGAGCGCAAGGAATTCCCCAGGACACAATACCGATAACAGTGTTGCCGACAGCGAGTGGGCCACCAGAGTCTCCAGAGCAGGCACCACGTCCGACTTGTCCACCAGCGCAGATCTTGTGGGCGAAGACCATGTTTCCGTTGCCACCGACGCGGTTCTGGCAGTTAGCGTTGGTGAGTGTCGCCTTAGTCAAGAACTGCAGGTTAGCGGCCAAGCTTCCAGGGCTGGAGGTCAGACCCCATCCGGAAAGAACAGCATTAACTCCACCACCAACGGTAGCGGATCCCAGAGTGATGGGACGGATGGTGTTGCCGAAGCCAATACCAGCGGTGGTCTGGACGACAGAGACATCGTTAGCCAGAGTGTTGGAGTTGTAGCTTGGGTGGTTCACGATGCGGGCAGAGTTGAAGCGGGTTCCACCAGTGGTTCTGGAGTGAGCTCCGAGAATAGTGATAGTGTTAGCCAGAGAACGTCCAATAGTGCAGTGAGCAGCAGACACAATCCAGCGGCTGTTGACCAGGATACCACCGCAGAAGTGAGCGTTGCCAGAGCTCCTGAGAGAAGCCTGGTACGGGAACTGTCCGACGGAAGCAGTGCTGCCACCGACAACGAAGTTCTCAGTGTACTCAGTGAATCTGCCAGCCTCGAGATCGTGGATGGCGTTCACGAAGTCATGAGGACCAGGAAGGACTGCAAAGTATGGAGTTTGTCAATGTCGTGAAAAGAAACTAAGATCCAGTGAGATACTCACCCTCGCTGAGAGCCACAGCGGCAAGAGTCAGGAACACGAACAACTTCAGCATTTTGTCACGTTTGCACTTCAAGTACTGTTTAGTTCTAACACCAGAGGCTTTTTATACTCAAAATTGTCATTGTTATCTCTCCTTATCACTGTACACGCGATTTCTGGTCTTAAACTATCTCACTTACTTATCAAAAATTAATCACTCTCTTCGAGATGGTATATTTTCCGATAGACACTTTTCCACTAGGGGTACGCAACCAGGATTTGTAAGTATACCAAATTAGGAAAAATCTGTTAGCAGTTCAAGGGCTTATATTTGGAAGATCGAGTGGTAGGAAAAAAGAACAGATAGTAAACGCTTAGAAGTGGTTGATGATCCAGTTCCTGTGGCTAGAGACGCGATCGTAGACATCAGCGAAGCCACGAGCGCAAGGAATACCCCAGGACACAATACCAATAGCCGTATTTCCGACAGCGAGTGGGCCACCAGAGTCTCCAGAGCAGGCACCACGTCCGACTTGTCCACCAGCGCAGATCTTGTGGGCAAAGACCATAGCTCCATTTCCTCCAACACGATTGCGACAGTTGGCGTTGGTGAGGGTCTGCTTAGTCAAGAACTGCAGGTTAGCGGCCAAGCTTCCAGGGCTGGAGGTCAGACCCCATCCGGAAAGAACAGCATTAACTCCACCACCAACGGTAGCGGATCCTAGAGCAATGGGACGGATCACGCTAGTCTGTCCGATGTTAGCGGTGGTCTGAACGACGGAGACATCGTTAGCCAGAGTGTTGGAGTTGTAACTGGGATGGTTAGAAATTCTGGCAGAGTTAAAACGAGTTCCTCCAGTAGTCCTGGAGTGTGCTCCAAGAACGACAATAGTGTTGCCTGTTCCACGACCGATGGTGCAGTGAGCGGCAGATACAACCCAACGATTGTTGGCCAAGATACCACCGCAGAAGTGAGCGTTTCCTGCACTTCTAAGGGAAGCCTGGTACGGGAACTGTCCGACGGAAGCAGTGCTTCCGCCCACAACGAAATTTTCAGTGTACTCAGTGAATCTGCCAGCCTCGAGATCGTGGATGGCGTTCACGAAGTCATGAGGACCAGGAAGGACTGTTGAGTTGAGAGTCTTATATGAATGTAACTTAGATTAATCTATAACTTAGCTAGACTTACCCTCGCTGAGAGCCACAGAGGCAAGAGTCAGGAACACGAACAACTTCAACATTTTGTCACGTTTGCACTTCAAGTACTGTTTGGTTCTAGCGCCAGGGGCCTTTTATACTCAAATCTTCTGTTCTAATCTACTACTATCAGTCACTTTTGATTCTGTCTAATTTAGGGCCTCATCACTCTCCATGAAGATGTTTTTTGCCCAAGAAAACATTCTGATCTGGGGCTACTCAATGAAATTCAAAGTAACAATTTTAATTAGAACAGAACTCAAGCCCTGTATCGAAAATCTAGCCCACGCATGACAGTTGGTGATTGGTTATAAACCCTGTACGATTTCCGGAAGTTTTCCGGAACGATTGTATTCTTCATAGCAGTGCCCTATAGCCCTATAAAGAAGTCTCTAGAAACCTTAATTGAGTAGCCCCGATGGCATCACCCCGATTATGATAAACACATGCGAGGGGATTTCCTAGTGAAATTCACCATGATTTACAACACTAGACGGACTTTACGTGGCGCTATCAATAAACCCGGGATTGAAATCTATTGTTTTATGATTCTTATTGTACTACTGTTCAGTCTGACGTATTCTTCGATAAGATTGTGGTGTTTTGACCATATCAATGCTGTAAATAATAGTCGAAATCCCGTATTTTCCATCAATGTCCCAGGCAAATCGCCCAGATTCTCTCACGCGACCCCCACAATCTTGGGTGTGAGATAAGAGAAATTTCTTGGAGGTGTGAATTTTCTGGAGAACCCACAATTTTCCTCACCTCTGGCATCAGGTTAAGTAATAGGCCAACCCCGTGTATGTAATTTAAATAAATTTCGCACAACTCATTCGACCGGCCATAATTTAATTCCTCCACTTTTGATAACCGCCAATTATGCGTTAGTAAATCAAAAAGTGTGTGTTCTCCTAACACTCAGAAGGGGAGAAGGAGAGGCAAATTGAATGATTTATTTTCAATATTGAGAGGCAAAACTTGGTGAATTGGGCTTCAATTGAATGCCGTGTGGAACGTCTAATTGAAAATTGATAATAATTGCCACGATTATCTCAAACGTGGATATTCTATGGCCATAAATTTTCATATTTGAGCGCCTTTCCCTTTTGCGCCTTTCACGCGCCTTCCGGGGGAAGTTGAGTGCATCGGTTTCGTAAAGGGGTTCAGCTAAGCGTATTTTATCGAGGATTCATGTGTATTTGGAATCATTTGGTTTCGCCATGCGATAACAAGAAAGATTGTCATAAAACATTCTATCAGAATGTCGTAAGACTTTTATTCAGATTTATTAGCGTTTAGCCTCGAGTGCAGTCATCTATGTTGTGTTTTTACGTGATAGCAATTTTTTAGTTCTTGTAAAAAAATATGTTTAAAAAAATAGTTCTGCGGAAGCACATTAAAAAACAGTGGAATTAAAATGGTCACAATCTGATCATGAAGGATATGTTATTTTGCAGATGTTCACAAAAGTCCATCAAATGGTGCCCAATCAAGTGCTAAGGCTTCGCCTTATCCGCAGACAGTCTTCGTGCCACGCGAGAAAATATTGGTGGACTTTTGTGCATAAATGCACGTCCAGTTGCTTTGGCCAGAGGCGCAAAACCACCATTCGGCTATTGAGGACGACGGCAGAGGAAGTGGAAATTGCAATAAAATTGATTAATGTCATTTTTCCCACTCTCACCCCAAATTGTGTCGCAATTTCTCGATTTTTCAACAATTGGCGCTTGTTAGGAGAGGGTCTGAAGATCCGCCACAGAGAACAATAGCTGGCAATTTCAAGAAAGGTGCTTTTCTTGAGCTCTCTTTATTGCCAATCACAATTTCTTTGTCGAAATTCGATTAGAACATGGGGACATTTCGTGGGATTTTACATACACTGCGATGAGGGGGAAATGCTTGGTGACAATCACGAGCACGTGCGACGAAGAGTACGAAAAAGAGGCCGCAAGTGTGGACTTATCGCGATTCACGACAGCCAATCCGACGGAGTGGCATGAGAATTTTCCCCTCGTTGAGACTCCGCCCACAAAATTGACAATTCGGCCCGTCCCATTGGATGGAAAGCGAACAATGAAAGGTGCACAATTGTCTCGATGGAAAATCAGTGAGGTGAGAATTTTTCCCAGTCAGAGGCGAATTGGGTGAGGAATGGATATAGAAATAGTTGCTTTTCATTGCAGAAGGCAGACTTTCTTATGTATAAATGGGATGAAGAAATTTGTGGAAATACCTTATGAGGGATACAAAGTAGGAAAAAATACTTTGCGAAATTTCAACCCTGATGACTAAAACAAACTTGCATGGCATAGATTCCTCTCCCTCTGACAGACGCAGAAACTGGCGGCGAGAGAGAAGCAGGAACAGATGAATAGTCACTGTGGCAACGGCCAGAATGAGAAGATGATTGGAAAAGAGACAGATGAGAGACGATTCGAGTCTGAAAATTGTGGACGGCATTTGCAGTCTGTTGGAGGAATCGGTCGAAGAAAGATCGGGAAGATCGCGCAGCGTGACAAGTGAATGTGGAGGATTTATTCAACAAAAACAATATGTGTGAAAAATGTTAGGAATTTCCCGCATTCTTTTCACTTCCTCGATCACTCGCGATCGCTAGACTTTGCGAATATTTGTCGTTAAACGATCTAGAGAGTGTCGCGAAGAGTGTGAAAAAAAAGTGACAAGAGTGGCGCTAGTGTAGACGTCAAAAGAATCCCTACGCGAAGGATATCAAGCGGGGATCGTATTTTCTCTGAGTGTAAAAAATTCAAAAAAATATCTCATGAAAAACCGTTAAAGGTCAAAAAATAGATTTCGCGTGCAAAGGTGAAAATTTATTTTTGGTTCTTATTTATGTTATGCAATTTTCTGCAAATTGACCAAAAATATCAACCGAAGTAGAATTGCAAATATTCTCACAATGTGAATATTCGTGAGTGTTTCCAGATTTACTTAGAATTTCGCCAATGAAAATCCTTGAAATAGCTTTCAATTGAGCCAAACTCTTTTCTTTCTACAAGAAACCGTCTCCTTTGCGATATATTTCTGTCTTTTATGCGAAAAACGTGTAATCAGTGGAGAAATCAAAGGCATTTTCCCTCTTTCCATCTCTCAATTTACATGCGAAGAGCAAAGTGAGATCGAGAATTTGAGTGTAGAATTACGAAACACGCATTGGGATTTTATTTCAGACACGGAGAGGCAATTCACAAGCTTGAAAATGATGATGCCGTTGGCTCGCATCCAATTGTGAAAATCTATTTTCAGTGTTTTTCCCATTTAACATTCACAAATACACACAATTACCCAAGGAGAATATTTGTAATCATTGCTCGGATACACACAGTTTTTTTCCCAACCATTGAAACGCGTCAGGATCTCTTATTTTTTGCATATCCTTCCGCAGGACCACAAACAGTGCGTGTCCCCGAATCCGATGGGTTTGCAATGAAAGTGAAGAAATAATGAAAGTGAGGAAATTCCAGTGAGAAATCGAAGATGCTGCAGCATCCAGCGACGGATTTCTATGATCTCTCCGCGACCACGATCGTGATCTCCGGCCGGCAGACGCCGCCCTATCACAGTCCCACAGCGGCACCGCCGTCCGTGGGCAACTCCACGCCCGGCCAGAAGAACGGCAATGCCGCCGGCCTGGACAGGATGGGCGGCCAGAACGGATCGCCCACTGGACGAGAGTCTCTGCCCAGCTTCGGCTTCACGCAAGAGCAAGTCGCCTGCGTGTGCGAGGTGAGATCAGAAAACAGCCTAGAAACCTAGAATCCAGATGTCACAGCGCTCATTTTCCCGCCTCTGCCAAAGGGGCAAATATTTGAGAAGAAGAGCTCAAAGCAAGAATGCGACAATCCTAAAATTAGTCTTCTAAAAGTGCTTATCGTGTTATGGTAGGTTTTTATCGCTTTTAGTGTAGAGAAGAACATAAATTATAGTCAAAGACGTCAGTAAATTATGCTAAAAGATTTAATTTTAGCAATGTTTTATTCTGGAATCCAATAAAAATAGAAACCAAGAGGAAAACTCATGTTCATGGAATGAAAACCTAAAACGCAGTTTTTGTTATTGTCATTCCTATGTTGAAAATATATCAATAGAATAAAATTTTCTTTAGACATTTCAATGCGGTTTTTACTTTTGGGTAAGATATAGAGAAAATTTAGAAAGAATTATAGCCAATCCTTGTCAGTCCATAAAAAGCGGAGAATTTAATTTGCCTAATTGCATGTGAATTGAAATTGAGGCAAATCTCGTTATTATCGCGTTTATTTATTAAATTTCCACATTTTATCCATCGTATTTATCGACTTATTCAAATAATCCTCTTTTTAGATTTGTCTTAAACTACTCAATCTGCTATTATGTTCGGGAATTTAAATTTGAAACAAAAAAATACGTTTATATCGGAAAAAACGTTTGATTGTGATGATAACGATGATTTATTTTTGTCATTTGCATTGAGCAATCTTTCTTTAAAGAACAATACAATTGTAAACTTTTTATATGAAATAATCCTCTGATTTTACAAAGCCATTAAACAAGCCATAAACTAAGTGACTGCTAAACACATACAAATTCTTCCGCAAACTATTCATCTTCTTAGAGAATCCCACCAAAGTCAAAACTTATATCAGTGCTTTAAACTATTTCGCTCTTCTCTGTACAATAAAGATGTAAGAGAGCTTAATTGAGTAATGAGTAAAGAGAGAAGTAGATAGGCGTAAGATTGTCTGTCAAAGATCTTGCAGTCTTGTCATTGCGATATTTTCCTCTTTTTGAAAGTATTTTTACTGTTCACAAAAGGTCCTACAGCAATCTGGCCAAATAGAGCGACTGGGACGATTCCTCTGGTCGCTGCCTCAATGTGATAAACTGCAATTGAACGAGTCCGTGCTGAAGGCGAAGGCAGTGGTGGCGTTCCACCGCGGACTCTTCAAGGAGCTCTACCGATTGCTGGAGCACCACCAGTTCTCGCCGCACAACCACACCAAATTGCAGGCTCTCTGGCTCAAAGGTGAGACACCCTTCCGTCACTTTCCCTGCCCGCCACTCACGCTCACCCTCAAATCCCGCAGCTCACTACGTGGAAGCCGAAAAACTGCGCGGAAGACCTCTAGGTGCTGTCGGCAAGTACCGCGTCCGGAGGAAATTTCCGCTCCCGCGCACAATTTGGGACGGCGAGGAGACTAGTTACTGTTTTAAGGTATTCCGCAATAGCGCGTGTGTGTGTGCGCTCGCGAAGGGGTTAATTTTGGTGTGTTTCTCACATTAGGAAAAATCGCGGTCCGTTTTGAGGGATTGGTACGCACAAAATGCTTATCCTTCGCCACGTGATAAGAGGAGTTTGAGTGAGATAACAGGACTCACAACGACGCAGGTCAGTATTTCACAAGTAACAACAGAAACTGAGCAAAAATTTCCCGTCGGAATAAATACAAAAGTTAAATCAATGATGATTTTTTCGTCAATTATTATCACGTCATTTTGAGAATTTTCCTTTTTGGATATTTCTTTTTTGGTAATAAAATGATTTTACATGATAATATTTACTTTCTGGATATTTTTCTTTTTCTATACAAATTTTTAAATATCTGCAAACATCAAAAATACAATCCATTGATGTTAATGTCAATTTAGCCTCACAACAGATATTATACCATAAAACCCCGAAATGATATAGATAAATAAATTCATACGCCGATTTTGGTTGTTTTCCGGAGGAAAAATCATCAAAACCAAACCAGAAGTTTTCACCTGTTCAAATATATACAATAAATACATGATAATTTTTATATAAATAATTCTAATGTGTTTTCCAGGTGTCGAATTGGTTCAAGAATCGTCGACAGCGCGATCGAGCAGCGGAACACAAAGAGTGAGTTGAGAAAATGAGCAGAATTTTCAAATTTTATGACTTTGCATGCGATGCGAAACGGAGTTGGAAAATCACACTTTTATTGCGAGAATTCTTTCTCCAACTGCTCGTGAAACTCTCTGACCACATGTTGGAGAAATCTCGTTTCATGTCTATGTAGAAAAAAAAACTGACTTGGGCAGAAGCATCTCAAAATTGCTGTGACACGATCGAAGCACGAGAAAAAAAGGCCACAGAAAAAATAGAACATTCAGTTCAAAATATAAGTTCGCTTCAGTCAATAATAATTTCTATTTGGCAATTTTTGCCATCTCCAAAAACCACATGACAAGCATCTTCTCACAGATGCGGATTTATTTGTCTTGAGCCCCCATTGAGGGCATTTTTTCTGGCTCTCTCGAGAGGCAAATAAACCCTTTTGAGGGCCTCTTTTCGCTCTGGACAAACATTTTCTTTTGGGAAAAACGTCGAATGCACATCACGATTCACAGAAGGCAGCAATATGTTGTCTTCTGGACAGAATTCTGGGTCACTATTCCTCCTGTCGCCCGCTTCACGCTTCATGTATGCCAAAACGGCGTCCCTGACCTTTCGGGACACTGAGAGAAACAGAGGCGTCTCTTTGGGACCGAATCGTCACCAAAAGAGGCTTTTCGATTGTCTCTTTGATGCTCCATCAACTTCCTGATTGGCGGCTGAAGTCAGAAATGAGGAGAGAACATCTCGCTGAAAGATCCCCCAGAATTCTCGAAGAGGCCATTCAAAAAGCGCTTTTGAAGACATGAAGTTCTGGCCAATAGTTATTCTTAATGGTTTTGTATTACAATGCAACATTTTTTTAACTGTGATTTTGAGCATATTTTTCAATCTAGGTTTAATTGAATCTATGTTAATTTTGTTTCAAAAAGGATAGCTTTTTAACACCGAAAATTGTATTTTCAATACATTTACCTTCAAATACTTTCACTACAAAGTTTGTAGTACAAACTTCTTCCTTGTTTAAAATTAAACAATTATTTCCAACTGTTTGCAAGGGCTTTAAAGTAGATCTTCAAAGGTGTGCCCAGGATGTCATGCATGGAAATCGTCTAAAATTACTCCTTCTAAATGTCCACAAAGCTGCAATTCTCAAAATCCAGTATCATTAGTTTTATCAATGTGCAATCTTATGTTTCTGATAATCACAACATCACCTTTAATCTACTTAAGTGAGCCCAATAATGAATCGATTGGCCTCTCTGTTTGTTGTATTTTTTCCTCCGCCACGCGGAATCCCTGCGTGACGACACAATAACCGAGAATGAAAACATCGCTGAGGGATTAGAAGAAGATGTTCTTTAAAAATTAATCCAAACCCGAAGATGAGGAGAAAAGCTAATCCCCAGTGAAGTGACCCAATGTAAAAAACGGCGATTGGAGAGATTGAGCAATGAGATATGATGAGAAATCCATCGGAATCCATTGATGTTGCCACGAATCCTTGAGTGTCGTGAAGCGTGAAGCTTCGTCTCTGGCCTTTTTTTGAGGCCCTCAGGAAGGGGCGCCATTGGTAATTGCGTTGATTTTCCAGTGTGTGGAATAATTGCGTGAATTTCTGGCCGAGATGGCCTTTTTTCCACGCACATCGCATATGGGGGAAGGGCTCGGTGGGTCTGCCAGCACACCAAAGAGAGGGAGAATATTTCCAAATGAGAAAATATACAAGCCCAGAGAGTGAGATGCCAAACAAAAGTATCATGTTACAGCCGCAATATGGTGCCTCTTTGTGTGAGTAGCTTCGTTTTCTCTTGTTTATTTGCGGGGCGCACAGGGAATTGCGCCTTTGCCAGCCTCTGCCGCGGCCCTTCGTCGCCCTGTTCGCGAAGCTGCGTGGGCTCCTTCCTCCCCACGGAAGTCCCAGGAGGAGCTCCAGGCGCTGCGCGACCCCAACGGCCGCATCCGGTGTGACAAGGCGTGAATCCCACAAAGTGCGACCTCGTTTTTTCTGCGTCTCTCTCTCTCTCGCACGATATTTCCATGTGAACAAACACGTGGACCACCTTGCTGGTCAGTCGCCCGTCCCGTCCGCGGCCAGAGAGCCCCCCGTCGGTTGACAAAGGCTGTTTTGACGCCCGCTTGTTGGTCTTCTCGCAGCCATTCTGGCCAGAATGCGACTGCAGAGCGCAGCAAGGGGAAAATATTACAGCTCAGCGGAAGTCTTAAGAAGCAAAGGCGTTTGCAATATTTGATCCTGGAAAGCTTCCTTCTTATTGGCGCAGAATTTTGAATAATTTCACCCAAAAATATCAATCCTGTTTTTTTTTATAGGATAATTTGGCAATTTGAGGCAAATTCAGCGAATAAACAATGCTCAGAAACATCAATTCGTATGCATGAGCACGAAAAAGCGCGGTTGAAAACAATTTTAAATATATTTTGAAAAAATTTTGTGAACTCAGATTATAACAGGAAGTCTAGTTTTAATATTCATATATTTGGGTATATTTTTACAGGGTTTTCAGGTCTAGGAAGTGTCTCAAGTGCAGCTTGTAGATATTATCTCTCCATTGGGGCGCAGTGAGTTATTAGAATCTCCTGGGCGATTGTGTGAGAATTTTCGCAAAAATGCACTTTTCTGTGTGTTTCTCTGGTGTCTGTGCTGATTGACAAAATGGCCAGAATGTTTGCCGAAGACCCAGAGACTCCCCATGATCTGAGACAATTTGAGCGCGCAGAAGGTTTGTGAGAAGAAGAAAGAGTGACGTGGAAGAGGGAGAAACAAGTTGGATGGGACGTTTTGTTGTGTTCCAAGTACAGCCATCCAATTCCTGGCATTAATGGCATATCAAATATCACTCGGTACATCCGTCCAAGTTCGAGACGCGCAGGCACAAAATTTATCGTCTTTCTTCATCCATCCAAGATAAATAGACGCGATGGGTTCTTGTGGGGTTTGGAGTTGGGGTGAAAAATCCTTTTGTTTTCACCATTTGTAGCAAGGAAAAAAATGGCAGAATTTTTGGAAAAACTCAACAAAGTCTGCCTCGGCTCTGGGGCTGATTAATCTCTTTCTAACACAGTGAGTCAGATGAGAAACGCCTCACAATTTTCGGTGCAGCAGCAAAAAAGACGTGCTTGTCGCTCGATAATTTATGCCACTGTCATCATTATTCAATTTCTTTATCCGAAATCACATGGAATTTGCCAGATCCCAATTGACACAACAGTCTCAACCATAGATCTGTTTAGTCTGCGTTGGGGCGCTCTGTGGCGACTCAGAGGCGCGCCCTTTGAGACTCCAGTTGCCCCGACTCGTGCCGCTGAAACTGAACACCCCCGCGGAAATTGGTGCAACTCTCAGCAAAACCCGGCGAGATTATTCCAATGGAATGCCAAACGTGAAAACACAAGCAGACAGATTTAACGACATGCTGATATAAATAATCTCGCAGTTTGATTAATTCACGTTTGATTTGCACTTTTTCCAACATATATATTGAATTTCAGTAAGCATTTTAGCGCATTTCTGATGTATATTTGACAAAATATCAAAAGTTTCGCATCATGATTTGCCCCTCAGCTTTGCAATTTGCATAACAATACAGAGAACTGCACATGATATTCATAAAATCTGACAGAAAAGAATATTTTATAACATTTTTCACATTATATATTGTTGTCTGATCCTTTGCATTGTTTACGAATTTATCTAATTTCTCCATGAATTTCTCTACGATATGATTTCAATCAATATTCACCAAATGAGATATAAATAACTTTGTTTCCACATATTAAGATTGCTGTTAAAGTGTGAATCACAGCTTAAATGCCACTTGAGGTATTTTAATTTAATGGACAAATTGTTGATTGATTCTCTTCTCATTAGTGACTTTGTGCAAAAAGTCACGCGCAACATTTCAAAATAGTGCAACAAAATTAATGCCAAATCCTGTGATATGATTTTACTTGGCTTTGCCAATCTTCCCACTTAATCCGAGCACCTGAACTGTGTTGTTGATCCTCAATGAATGGGTGCATTTTTTGCGTCCGGAAATTGAGATGAATTGACTCTTGAGGGACTCTCGTGAGCCTTCTTCTTCCCCTTCATTCAACTTCGTCCTTCTATGGCCTTTTTTTTCTGGTGGGCGACTTGAGCGCACATGAATGAGATTAACGCCCAGTGATTGTCGTTAACATGTCAAGTGATTAGGGAAATTCCTCGGGATTTCATTGTCGCTGAGATGCTCAAATTCTGCCAATTGCACCCCATAAATTTCTCATGGAAGCCACGCACGACAAATCTCCAGGAAAACAGATGGCAATAAACTTCTTCCCGCATTTCTCAGTTCATTTTTTCCACAACTTTTTCTGTTGCCTCGCATGGAGGAATCCCGGAAAATTCTTCCCTTGCGCCGCATCTTGTGTAAAGTGGGATGAAAAATGCGAGTGTGTCTATTTAATTTGTGTTATTTGCCCCTTCGTCAATTTGTAATATGAATCGTGAAATATGTTCCCAATTCCCAACACTTTCCGTGGTGACGGAAAACCCATCTTTTTATCTCTCCCAGGAGGATTTTCCTCGTACAGGGGCGTTTTGAGCTTCCCGCACAAATTGTAAAGTGATTGTGGGCATTAACTGATAATTCGATGAGGGAAAAGGTTGATTTTCCACACTTGACACAGTCAGTGGCGTAGTTTCGCGAAGAATGTCCGCATTTTCAGGCCACAGGGATTAATTTCTCTCTTTTTTTCTCGAAATCCTTTCGTTACAGCAATGGCGGATCAGACAAACAGCACGCGGACTCGTCCAGTGAGTCCGAAATGGAGACTCAGAGTGTCATGCACACGCCAACGGGCTCCTCAATGGCAGGGGCCAGCGCGGTGTCCGTCGCTCCGCAGCCCCCAGCCCTGCAGACGCACATGACGATGCCCCAGGCGACGGTCACGCAGAGCAGCACTGCTCTAGGCGGCGCCCACATGGGCGACAAGCTCTCCAACCAGATGCCACCCCTGTCCAGCCTGGCCTACTCACCCCTGCACAGCATGATGCCAGTCTACGACGTCGCCGACTACCAGCAGCACTTGCGATGATGCCTCTCTGCGTGCTGCGCGCGTTGAAGCTAACCAAAAATGAGGGTGGGCGGAGTTTATGGCCTTGCGGAAGAGTCCAGCGGCTGACCTAGGCTCTTCCAGAGGGCACTTCCGGAAACTCCCCATATTTGAGAGCAATACCAGAGTGTGAAAATCAATGGAACATTTCCCCACCTCATGATGAAAATACTCTTTCTCTCTCTCTCTCTCTCTTCATAATCTAGAACAAATTCAAGCTAGGAATTTCCTTTGCCGAAAATTGCCACAAAATCCATTATTTATTGTAGTTAAGTTTTTCTTTTTTCTAATTCATAATTATTTATAGTGAAAATTACACGCTAAGCTATGCAGTAATTCTGCAGAGTGGGCAAAAAAATATCCTCTCCTCCCGCACGATTAATTGCTTATCCGGAACATTTGAGCTGACTTTGACCTCAATTTATCGTGGCTTGTTTTCATGTGGCGAAATACAGATCACTTTTCATGGTGTGGGAATAGAAGAAGAAGAAAAAAAACAGGCATGGGAGGAGAAAAATCATGTAAATAGTTGGAGAATAGGAAACATTTGCAGTTTGATCGAGAAATAGAACGATTCTATTAGCACAATTGCAATTAATTAGAAGCATCAAATGTTTGATATTTCTCTCTCACCAAAACTATGATGCCCCTTCCGGAAGCACTCCGGAGGGTCAGAGGAGAGATTTAGCAATTTCTAAGAGGCACAGTAATCACACATTCTTACATTATTTAAAAATAGTTGCAGGACTTAAAGGAGAAAAGATGCAGAAATATAGGTAAAAAGTCTCAAATTACTGACAATTAAATAAATTAGATGAGAATCACGTGAAATCTTTGTCCTTGTGTCTACAAATAACACGCTGTTCACCTGCTTGATGCCTCATTTGTGGATTTTGGCCAAGATTTTAGCGAATAGTCACAGCAGGTAAGAGATAATGAGGGATTCTATGGTTTTCCGGAAGCGTCACGTGCCAGAAGTGAATGATGCGCCTTGCAAATGGGATCATCGACACGTGTCATAATTGAGAAGGTGCACATCATATTTCCCACTCCCTTTCCTCTGCATTTCGGATGAGAACAACAAAGTCAGGGGATAAATAAAACAATTAGTATCCATAATAACTACTCCACTGTTTTTGTGAAAGATGAGTTTCAATTGAAGTCCCTCAAAACTCCATTGCGAGAAATCCATTGTGAAACATCATTCCAACAGTGCTTTTCTCATAGAAAATCGGATGGAAAACCCACCACCGCAGGCTCAGCAGGGTGTTTGGGGAGTGGGAAAGCCATAATATGAGGGAGAGGCGCATCGTGTAAATACAATTTGCAATTGTTGAGCGTATTAATGAAGTGAAATATGATATGTTGTGGCTTTTCCTGGGCGCTGTTCAGACACTGAAACGGCGCACTGGAAAACTTTAGCAGAGGGAGTTTGAGCGCGATGAGGTAAATGCACACTATTAGCGTCACGGCGAATGATGATTCTCATCTCATTTACAAATTGCGGGGCGATTTTTGTTGTACTGAAAAGAGGGTTGAAGTGATGATTTTCTGGGTCATTTTCATAAAAGTTTCAAACTTGTTTCATGTTTCACAAGGTTTCATCATTTTCATAGTTCCAGTTGTTCTAGGTGTGATTTTCTCACTCAGAAATGTGCGAGTAATGATATTTTTCATGCAGAATCAAATGATTTATAGAATATCTGAGCGGATGTTTGTTCTAAATTTAGCCCGTTTCTTCCCTCCAATTTTTCACTCCGCAACATTTTGTACTAAAAACCCAAAATCGTGGCAGGTGGCGCTGATGGCGCCACTTTGACATATCAGCTGATCTTCGATATCGCATCGAATTCTCGCAGTGTCCGGGAAAATTCCCAGTTTTAGCGTGAGATTGTGTGGAAATTCGCGCAGTAGTAAGTGCAATTGCGAGTGGACTTACCACCGCACAGTCTTCTGCGGCGTTTCTTGCCATCCTGTGTGATTGCGGTGCGAAAGATTGGGGTCAAAGTTGGTGTGTGGGTGTCGCGAGTGCATCTGTCAGTATCCGTGGCAGAGGGATTGAGGTTAGGTGTGGTGAAAGTGTGACGATCTTGTGCGTGAGGACTCTTCCTGCTGCTTGTGTGGCCGTCAGCAGTGCCCCACTTGGGCTTCAGCTCTATCCTCGGCAGGCAAAGGAGGAGCTGTGAGTGCAATTGCACGCCCATCCGCGGTGGTGAGATGTGGAGTTGGGCGTGAAGAGTGAGTGAAAGGCAGGTGAGAAAAGTGCCAGGAGACGCTCCCGGAAGCATGGAGGACCGATTGAATCTGGGCCGGGAGGTGAGGGAGCTCAAATTGGGGACAACATTCACAAATCCTGGCGCTGGGACGTCATTTCACACCTTGAAATGTGAGTAAAAAAAAGATGGGATTTGCTTGAACACACAGCTGACTGTCGTTGGCTCTTTGCAGATGATTTCAAGCCCGCCAGTGTGGATCCCACGAAGATGGCCATCCTGAATGTGGGCAGCAGTAATCAGGTTACCGTCACAGTGCCCCATCTGGACGGCTCGGGCGTGCCCAAGACGGTGTTCAAGGGCAATCAGAAGAACTACACGAAGGAGTGCGTGTTGATCGTGGACAAAAACACAGGACAAGTGACGCTGGAGAGACTCCATCACAACATACAGGTGAAGAAGACGCGCTCAGAGGCAACTACCAAGAGTGTGCCCCCCGTTGTACCCAAGATCGTCACCGAGAATATCACGCAGCGAACGTCGTCCAAGACGAAAGTCTCCACTGGCGTCCGGAAGAATGCAATAAGTGAGTATTGCAAGCTGCTGTTGAGCCTAACACCTCATCTAATACTTTCCTGTGTTGCCTTTGCAGCCGGTTTCGTGCCCAAGAATTCCCCTCATCAGGGATCGCCATCGTATCAGCACCACAAGAGTCCCCAATCGGCCCCAGCGTGAGTATTCAAGACATTTGCAGTCCCTGAATAGGCTGAAAAGCGTCAATATGGCAAAAAGTCATGCGACTGAACTCAAAAAAGTGAACAATTTTTTGATGTGTTTGGAAAAACTTTGCACTTTAATCAGCGAAAGATTCCTAAGATGTCAATTCAAGTGCTCCAAAACTGTATTGCAACTGCAAATGAGAAATTGCATTTCATAATTTCCTTATTCTTTCCTCTAATTGACATTTGGGGAAAAACACATGAATAACGCTTTAGAAGACTCTAAAATATTATTGAAATTATACGGAAATCAACGATTTCCGTGGTAAATTTGTCAATAATTTCCGCCGATTTAATAAAGTTTTGAACGGGTTTTAACTGCTTCACTTCAAGTGATGAAGTACTTGATGCTGTCGCTGGTTTGCGGTCAACAATCAAGGGTGTGAAACCTCCAAACGCTCTAAACCACACAATCACTGCTTAGGTTTCAAAATTCTCCAGTTTTTTTTCTCTTTGTATTTAATTCTTTAAGCTTTCCTACTTTTCGTTCGTTCTATTTCGGATTTCACACTTTACAAAATGTTCAGACAGAGAGAATTTTAATGGCGAAAACTGACCGATTCTAGATGGAATGCCAACAATGGACAGTCGACGCTGCCCAGCATCCCGATGATCGGCCTCGATGATGATCTCGTGCCGCCAGCCATGAACGCGGCCTCGACGGCCAGCCAGAGCTCCTCAGTGGGCGCCTCCATGCCGATCGTGGCCGTCGAGCCGCCGCCCGACTTTCCACCCGCCCCGTCCGGCGCCGCGGCACAGAACGCGGCCGCGAGCGGCAACAGCATAGCCGAGCCAGACATCCTCTCGTCCTCCGACACGTCCTCGGACTCGAGCAGCGGCAGCGACTCGGACTCGGACAGCACGCAGAGTTCGCCCGGAAGGGGTAAGAAGTGGGCGGAGGTGACGACGCGCCGAGGAGTGCGACTAATCTCTGGGGACTCTTCTTTCGCAGGGAACTCGCCGGACAATCAGCTGGAGAACGGCGTGCTGCCCAACCACTTGATCAGCCTCAGCCGGGATCTCTGCCTGTCGGAGTCCAACTCAGATTCAGATGACGACTAACTTATTCTCGTGCTCCACAGGAGATTTTTCTAATGTATAATGTTTCTGTGTTTATCTTTTTGATAAAATTGGGGTTTCAGTAATCAAGACATTTTAGGCAAAACAAGAAATGTATTGCAAATGAAAATCAAAGTGTTTTTTTTCTTGCTGCGCGCGGGCGAAAGTCAAATAAAATGGTAAGTCAGCTATAATTCAGAATATTCACTCGGTCATAATTGATATTAATTACTTTATGTATTACAAGTTATTTCCCACTCATCGATTCCCAACATAATTTGCGACATTGTTTGGCTTGCGCGCTGCACTTAAAGGATTTAAAAGAGGATAATCGTGTAAATCGAGGTATAACTTTCTTTGGCGTGTGAATCAGCTTACGAACGGCATTTCGCACTACATTCTCTAATGCTTATCATCCCTTCTCTTTTTTTATCTTATCAGATATAAACAATAAAGCCTTCAAAAGATTGTTGAATTCATACTATTGCTCTTCAAGTGTTTATTGCCGAGATATGAGGATGGAAGAGTCAGTCTTTTCCCACCATTCGCGCGCTCTTCAGTGAATTCTTTTCCTTAAAAAAGTCACCCTTCAGAGACTCTTCTGGTTCTTTCGGGAGATTCACTAAAGTCTGGTGTATTCTAATTTAGTCAGATTTACCAGAAATACTCATTATAGAAGCCTAGAGAGGCTTTGGAAGAACAGCTATAGAAGATAGAAGTGTGACTCATCTGTTGGGAATTCATCACTTCAAGTGAAAAGGCATGGATTTGCAGAACCAAATATACATTTTGGCCGGCGTTTTCGGTGGCGTGTCTCTTTTGCTGCTCATGTTTGTCTGCTATCTCATGTTCAGTCTCTTTGAGATGCACAACCTCCTGAAGTCCCGCAACAGATCAGACTCCAGAGATCCCAGGGATCCCAGGTAAGCTCCACAAAAGCATAGTGGCACATAAAATGAGAACCATTCTATTCTTCAATTAGTTTATAGGCGATCATTTGTCGGAATTTACTAAGCCACTGCTTGTCTTATCAAATTTCCTCCAGTAACACTAAAGCTTACTCACCAATTGTAGATCCAGGAACGATTATGCCTACGCCAATCCGTCGATAGTGGCCGGAGAGGAGCTCAATCGTCGCGGATACCAAATGCATGACCTGAACGACACCAATCAGAGTGACTTCGCCCCTTCAGGACTCGCTGCAGCCGGAGCGAATCGCTTCAGGACACAAATGTCCACAGATGCAGGCACCAAGGATGCTTCCAGGGACTTCTCCAGCATTCTCAACAACGATGCGATGGTCTTCGGCGGCAGCGACAATCGATCCAGTGGTCGGAGATCGAGATCAATTCCAGCTCCGCCGCCGCCACTGGGAAAACCGTCCAATTACAACGACAACATTTCATTCCCCGCGGCACCCATGAATCCCCTGGGCCATCGCCAGGAGAGAGGCTACTTCAACCGCGGCGGAGGATATTAGCCAAACTGTCCAGTGAAATACATCCCATGCTATCTTGATTGCTTCTTTATGCCTTTCTTCGTGACGACAGTTTGAAGCTTTTGATTGCGAATCCGCGAAGAACGCCTAACATTGGGTTCTGGCTTGCAATCCACAATCTCTTCAACACAAATTGGAGCTTTTTCCTGCTTTACTGTTTTCGATTTTTGGATCTTCTGCCTCGAAGCCCATTTCGATGTCTCCTCGCGGCCCCATTCGGTCTTGTTGGCTTGTATTGTCTTGGCATAGTCCACAGGAGTGATGGTGTAGTCAGTCTTAATGGGTTTTCCCTCAATTTCCTGCTTTATCAGCCCTTTCTTGATGAAATTCAAGCTCTTTTGTAGTTTCTTGGGAGTTGCAGAAGTCGGCTTTTCTTCCTTCACATCATCCAGCCAAAGTTTGAGGTCAGTCAGTTCTTCTATGCAGTTGTCCGTGCTTTCTTCAGACAGCACTGAGTCCAGATCAAAGTTTGCAATATCCTGGGATGCATCAGAGTCGTCTGTGAGATAAGAAATCTCATCCATAAGACTATCGATATTGCTGAAATCTGGTGCTGGAGGTACGAAATGCCTCTCAGAATCTCGTGTCAGACTCGGTTGGTACCGATAGACTGTGTTATCTGTGATGTTCTTGAAGATAAACTCCCGGAATGGATACAAACAATCTGAGCTTTCGCATTTGAACACTGCCTCTTCCTCATTCACGAACATAAAGCGTAGGCCACTTTTCTGGTTCTTCTCACAACACTCTGGGCAAATGACAGGATACTGAGATGATGCCTGGGAGAGAAACAAGAAAAAAACAGGGAATTAAGAAACATGTTTCCGGGTAATCGTTTGGAAATCCAACCTCAAAGTCACTGCCGAAGAAAGTCTTCTCCAGATGAAGAGAATCAAGTATATCACTTGTGGTGGATGAAGAGTCCATCCAAGGCAACATTTTCACACTTTTCACCAAGGTTTTCACTCAAAATTACAGCCAAAAAGGCAGTTTTTTGCATGAGGAAAACGAGTCGGTCTTTTTGTAAACAAATGGCAATAAAATACTCAGCGTAGTGAAATCACCCACTTAGTGGACTTCAGCGCCACAAGCGGCACCTAGCAAAAACAATGATACTTTCACTAATAATTCCTCCAAAACATGAGATTATTTCATTTTATTCCAAATTCCTGGATATCCGGTTATAATTCACATATGTGTATGTTTCCCAAATCCTAGCTTTGTTCTTCCTCCGTCTCCTGCCGCCGATACTCTTCCAGCTTAGAGCTTGGCAATGCCCACAACTCCGCACGCCACACGGGCTCCAGCATTGCCCGTGGTCAGGCTCAGCTCGTGGCCGCCAACGCCCAGGTCATCGAGATCAGCGTGCACAACCAGTGTGCGTCCGATAATGCTGTACTGGCCACTGAGGGAGATCTGCTTGTCCGAGATGTCCACCTTGGCCACTCCATTGGCATCGGCAACGATGTTCCCAAGATCCCCAGCGTGCCTCACGGCGCTGTCCGGGCCACCGTGATCCTTGCCGTGAGGATTGTAGTGGGGCCCAGCGGACATGCAGCCATTGGTGTTGTCGCCGAACTCATGGACATGGAATCCGTGCTGGCCGGGTGTCAAGCCGGTCACTTCTCCGCTCAGCACCACGGCAGCGTCCGGCGACTGTTACATAACGCATTTTTGCAGATTCATCGCGGCGTGAAGAGAGAAAACAAACTTTCGATTAGCTTTCCTAATCTCAAGGAAAGCTCAAGGCCACCGGCGATTTGCTTACCGCTTGATTGAAGTATATGACGCCCTTAACATCCCCAGTGAGCACACACACGGCTTTAGCGGCCATTTTCGCTTGGTATTCAATCAATTTAATCGATAACACTGAAGAAGAACACTCCGGGAAGAGGCAGACGGGCTAACGGAGCAGATGGTACGTTCTGGAACACAGTAATTGGATAATTAATTCACCGAGACGCGCTTTATCAGTGGAAATGACTGGACTGATCTGACCGCTTGTGACGCCTTCTCGCGGAATAAAAATGCACTGCAATTAAGAGTTTTTCGGACTAAATCCATCATTTCCCGCCAAATCTATAAGAGAAAAATCTTGAAAAAATCCTATTTTATTTATGTACAAAGTAAAATCATACCAAAATACAATACAAAACAATACACGAGAGACACCCTCGCCATGAGGATCAATAAATATCAATAAATACTCTTCCTTAGTTCACTGAATCCCCAGTTAGTTTGTACAGTGGAAGTGCGGCTTCCTCCTGATCCCCATCGGGCCATCGCTGTACTCGCAAAAGTTAAGGCCAATGCGCCTGAGGGGGTGGCACTTGCTCTTGGGATTACCCCAGCGTCCCTTGAACTGGATCCAGTGCGGCTGGTGAAAGGCCGAGCGCGCTGAGATGTCATCCTCGTAGAGGATTTCCGTATTGTGCCACGTGGACCATGGAATGCCGAATCCATTCACGTCATAGAGGCGCGGCACGCGGATGAATCTGTGCTTGCCTGGCGCCGTCCAGAGTCCATGACTGCCCTTGGCGGCGAACAGGACCGGATGATTGACAGAAGTAACGACTGTGCGCGGGAAGACGGGCTTCTGCAAGATTCCCACGCGTGTCTCCTGGCGTCGGAACTCAAAAGTCCCCGTCAGTCTGTCGTACTCATAGTAAGCGCCAGCATCGTGTGCAGAAACGTACATTTCCTGGCCGAAAAGAGACATATTAGAGTCAGATTTCACACGGGGAGACCAAGAAATTCTCACATCTGGCTCTCGATGTCCTCGGAAGTGGAGGCTCATGTGCTCCCAGTCGCCAACATGGCTGCCAAAGTCCCGCCGCGTTCCGAAGCACATCCCGAAGAAGAGAGGAATGGGAAGATGACCAAAAGGCCCCAAACTGATTGAGCAGATCGTCTTGCCCTGAAAGAAAATACATGACGCAACGATCTTTATATGTCACTTGCAAAGTTTAAGACAGTTGTGCAAACCTCTGCTAAACGATAAATAATGATTGGTCGTGATTCACTGACTTTGAGCAGACAATTCGATGTGACAATTTATGTTGTGCAATAAATCAATCAACTTCAACCAATACTCACTTGATTGTAGGGATAGAACATCCAATAGGTGACAACGAAGTGGGGATAAGACTCCTTCTCCTTCCCGATCTTCTTCTTCTGCTGCTGCTGCTGCTGCTGCTGCTGCTGCTGTTGCTGAAACTCCCCGCCCTTGATGTAGTTGGGATAGAAGTCCACGTCCCTGTGATCCTTAAACTGCACCGGAACAGACACAGTCCATTCTTCGCCTTTCTGCAGCGCTTGCGAGTGATTTTCCACCTTGGATGACTCCTCAATGAGACCATTGATGACTTCCGGGACGGCAAATGTGGTAGAGTTGTGAACGCTATGGGCGATGACGAGGGAAATTTCTCTCTTGCGTCTCCGATTTTTCGTCTCCATGGCATTTTCCATAATTTTGTAACTCGGCATTGCGTCCTGGCTTGTGAAATAGTTGAGATTGTCTGTGGTTTGAAGCTTCTGAAGTGGAATGTAAGGATTTGGCTTGAACTCAGGCTGGCTGTGAATGTCATTGATGGACAGATCTGAAAGATTTTGGATTAATCTATTAGTATGTGGCTTCTTAGTATCTGATTATATGTAAAAATGCCACACCCATCCCAATGCCCCGCCCATCTTAATCTTCCACCCTTATACGAATACGGAGAAAAGTTTTCCCATCCTTAATGGGATTCATAGGAATCTTACCTATATTTTCAGTGTCTAGAGAATTATCCAAAATCCCTCCATGGCCAAAACTTGAGCTTGGGCAGAGAGAAACCAAGGCATAAATGGGAACCGTTCCTTGATTCGGCATTTGACCGTACAGGAAAGATGCATCATTGTCCAGGAGGTCCTCGATATCGTCATTCGTTACCAGGAACCAATTTTCAGACTTCTCACCCACTGGCATGTCGATGATGTAGTCAACCAGGAGATTTTCACCGCGAAAAGTTCTCTGGATCCTCTTATCCCACGCATCCTGGCCATTCCTCCGGATGCTGTTCTCCTCATGGTTCGACTCCTGATACACCTGCTGACTCACTGGCGGCTTTGCCTTGTCCTTCGCCTTGGACTTCTCCGCGTGCACGTGATGCAGGAAGTCCGTGACAGCGCTGGGCAGGAACTTCTCACCTGGCGCCAGCCACACCAGCGGCGCCCATTCCTGCACCAGAGTCTCCACTTGGGATGCAAGCGTGATACAAATTCTCATTAGGCCAGCGATCAACCCATTAAGATGTGCAGAAATAAAAGTGCATGGCATGAAATTGAAAATATAATTACACTTTCACCATTTCCATGTCCACATTTGGCCATCGAGCTTCTCCCTCTTTGTGGATCAATCAACGTTTTTTTTTTCTCAGACAAAATGGATCACTAGAGAAATTCCGAAGGCATTTCTTTCGCGCCGCCCCGAAAAAATCCCATCATCTCTAACTTTTACCCGTCAATTTGCAGTGCAATAAATCACGCTGCTCTTTTGAGTTCGCAAATTAATCCAATTTACCTGATTCGCGCCTCTGCAGGAAATCGCTGGCGCCACCGAAATCCGCGCAATCCATGCGCGCGCACAAGATCAGCAGGAGAAATGAGAGACATGACAAGTGGAGTCTCCTGATGACAATCATTTCACATCTCGTTCACATCCATGAGGTGGAAAGACGTCCAAATTGTCTCCACTTTCCACAACCATCACATGGTTTTAAAAGGCATTTCCGATGAGCTGCACTTTATTCACTGGGTTTTATGACATTGTTTTCTCACTTTGCACAGCAAAGACACAGTAAATTTTTCCTCAATTAAGAAAGTGTAGCATTGTTGGGAGCTCTTTAGACGCACAATAAAAGCTATTAGAAAGTTTATCTTAATCCTCATCAAATTAGATTAGAGACATGTTACATAAGCTTCCATAAATCACTTGAAGATCAACAAAGTCAAGCGTCAGTCTTGCAAATTGCTCAGAGATTGCAAAGAAAGTATAGATAAAGAAACAAATTCGGAATTGATTAATTTAAATATGCTAATTTGCTAACCGATATTCTACTTTCCGCTTTTAGAAGTGATCTGAATAATCCATTTTGATAATTATCTAGCCAAATTTGAGATCTCAAAACTACGTGTTGAGTTCACTAACGAATTGTTCTTTTCCACTTCTATAACGATCATAATTATGATACAGTAAAAATTCACACTTCACAGATATTTAATGATCATAAGCCGATTAGCGTTGTGATATTAAATAAGATCATAGTGAATAATAATAACAATAAATTAGAATAATTTAATTGCTTCACTAGCGATAAACATAAATAGCACACGAGATCATTAAGTTCATACTAAGTAGTAAAAACACTAGTGAAAACATTAATAGCACGTCGTTTTTGAGTGTTTATAAAAGAATTTTTAAAGGCAATAATAAGACTTTCTGCATGACGCTTTCGTACATGAAATATGAAATGATAATTTCTTTAGTTATTTGAGGGAAAAACCGGGAAATCTATTTAGAAATAAAGTATTGTAATTATATGTATTCAATTCATTGAAAAAATACTCTAAAAAAATAGACAGGAATAGCACAGTTGTTCTAATGTGTTATTATGCTTCTCGCTACTTCTGGAAATTCTCTTGGAAACCAATTTAATTTGGCTCGAAAATTGAAGAAAATAAATCTATGGATGAATTTACAGAAATTATCTCTAATTTGCATTGAAACTACAAATTATTCGTCATTCAAATAAAGCATAAACCCACTTAATATTACTGCCTTTTTAAGAGACACTCTAAACACACTGCGCTTTTTAAACAAGAGGATAAAACGTCTCATTTTCTTTAATTGATGGATAAAACGCTGATGAATGGACGGCCAGACTTTATGGGCAAACGAGTGGAACCTTTCGTTCACAGGATTTCACGAAATTAGCAAGTGGAGCATAACTAAATCTCTCAAAGAGGTAAAAAGAAAAAGTAAAACATGGGAGATGCACGTTTTACACGATAGTTGAGGTGAACATGGGTAATTGGGTAAAATTTTGATAACACACACGCCGTCCAGGGAGAAATTGCCTATGAAGATCAGCGATGAGGCGAACCACTAATTAGGAGCCACATCAAATATCCGGGTGATAATGTGTCATTGCGTCGCACAGAAAGTCTTCTTATATTTGATAATTTCTCCACTATCACTGCCAACACTCTTTCCCAAAGCTGGCCTAAGCATTCGAACGCGGCATCTAATTTTGGTCTTGGGCGAATTCTTTCGCCGGAGAGAGAGAAAAGAAGTGCGGAGAAAAAGATGCAAAACTGGGTCTCACTGTGAGGCAAAATTAATACAATTTGAGTCACCGACTTTTAATACATCGAGCTCAGCGCAGCGAAGAAGAGCTGTGGTTGTGTTAACAAGAGACAAACTGACAGACATTGAGTGTCTGTCCACGACTAGAGAATGAGAAAGACTGAATACCATCGCGAGCCATCTCAAGAAATCCGTGAGCCGCGCTCCCCACTGCAAACATCTGACGATGTTTGCACTCAAGAGGCAACTCATCGCAGTGCCAGGGGGGCACTTTTATCACTGTGATAAGCAGAAAAAGTCATGTTTTCTTATCAATCAACGAGGAAATTACGATTTGCTTTCACTCAAATTGTTAGTTTCAATCGTTGCAATGCTCATTCGCACGTTGAACACCTGTGAAGAATGAAGACATTAAGTTTCCTTATATTTCTCTGCACAATTTCTGTCAATTTTCCTAGTTGTGCATCAGAAAATCCACTCAGCGATGCACACTTCAACTTTGTACAGATCGTTTGGACGCAACAATCTCTACTGTGAGTTTCTTAAGCAATTGTTGCATGCATGAAGTTCACAAAATATCCTCTTTCCGATTTCGCCAGAGATACTTATCGCATGACACTGAATAGCTACAGTTTCATATCCACCAATGGAATGATGAATATCGTGACAAATGAGATCGAAGGCTGGCAGAGACGCATTTTGCAGTCCAGAAACATCAGAAACACTGAAGAATTCGGTGAAGCATTTCGTGTGTGTGTTTATGAACAACAAGCTAGACTCTTGGAGCTTCAAGAAATCATCTTATACTATTTGGAGGAACTTGAGAAAGAAAATCTGCACGTTCTTCGCAGTGTTATGCGCTTATTGAAAGACTTCAATCTCATTGAGAATCATGAAGAATTTTATAACTATGCCGTGGAAGTTGGAGATGAAATTCACCTCAGATTCATCAACGAGACTTTTCCTAACATGCTGGCAGCAACTGAAGACATTCTTCAGGAGATGATTCAACTTCCACCTCTTCTCCAGGATTGTTTGGACAGAATTTTCACTTTCTGAGCGAATTGAGGGTGAATTTGCTGCTCAAATTAATATTCTATTGAAATATTCTGGATTACAATAATGGCTTTTGGGATTGTTTTGCTCAATGATGTGCCCCTTGAGCTTACAGCCGAGGCGCGCATTCAAATGGATCAGTGCGCGTTCGTCTTATGAATGAATCTGCGGAGCTCCTCATCATCCTCCAATTTCTCGCCTCACGGAGCCTCTATTCATGATGACCAGAGCCCAAACGATTGGCGAGTCCGTGCCTTGATCGGAGCTTGCATTTCGTATGGCTGCAACCATGACCTCCAAAGAAGCCACAAGAATTCCCGTCGCCGTCGTGAGGCCGAAGAAAAAGACACCAAAACAGACGCCCAGTAAATTCTTCACCGTAATTTTCTCACGTCTCTTCACACAAACAGCCGTTCAGGTGGGAGTTCAACAGTATATATCGTTGAAAACTCGACATCGCCATGCAAGAGAGAAGCAATTGAAATGATCCTCGATACTCGCAATTGCTTCGCATTTGGAGAAGACCTACTTCCGTTGCCAAAAAAACATTCGCCACATTAAATGTCTTGCAATTTCTTTTAATTTCCACGCATGAAAATGCTGTGAAAAGTGTATGAAAAATAATGGGGAAAACCACGATTAGACACCTTCGTTTCTCATTATTGCCTTCTTTTCTCTTCATCGCGCCACGCAAGAAAATGTTTAGCGTGTGAGAGAAAGAAAGGCGGGAAAAAAGTGTCCAAGCCGTCCGAGCAGTGTAAAAATAAACAGTTTGAACCTGACCTGAAAAATATCGCTGAAATTATTTACAACAGGTTTTTTTTTCCTCAATTTCTTCATCATTTTGTCTATCATTCATCTAATATTACTGCAATTATCGCGTCGCGAAAGAGTCCCACATTTCTGGAGCAACACTGAAGAAGAGTGCCGCCGATTTGCACCTCTCGGCAAGCGACTCTCCTGAAAACACTTATGTTTAATTATTGCTGGCACAAAAGGCACTCTCAGTGAGCAAAAAAGAGAAAATATTGCACAATTTGCAGTTGCAGAGAATGTTTGTTTTCGGAGATCATTTTAACCGTGAGTAGATGCGTAGTGTCATTATACAATCAGGCAATTTGCACTTTGTCTCGGCATGACAATAAAATTATATTTATATTTTTCCCTTTTCTTGCAACACTGGATGATTTGCAGAGGAGGAATCTCTAACAATGAGATCCAATTTCCGCACTGTATTCTTGCCACATCCATTCTCATATTATTTACAGAACGCATATGCAAAAAATATGTAAAGAAGTTTATGTAATATAGCCGCTCTTTTGGATTGCTCTTGATACGCTCTACATAATCTTGCTTTTTTGGCTAATGAGCAGTGGTCTTTCCGATCTTAATTCGTGCTGATTTTCACGAGGAGCCTTTGTAAGACCTTTCTATAAGCCGAAGATCAATATAAAAAAGGTATTTTGTGGACTTTTTAAAAATTAATTATAATTGCAATTAACCGGTAATTCCTTGGCTGAAATCCCATTAAACAAAACTGTTTTCACATGATGAACTCAAATATCACTCATTCATATTTTAAATTATTATAGAATTGCAATAAAATGATACGATATGATTGCTATAGATTTTATTGCATATGCGATTATCACTGACAACGAGCGAAGGATTCAAAAATTTTCTCGATAGTGATTGGCAACGCCTCTGGCGGAATATTTCATAAAGTCTGAAGTATCAAGAAAATTTTGCAGGAGTGACAAAAACACTTGTTTTCATCTAAAATTCTCGATTATTTCGCGAAAAAGGAAAATTACATACTTATTAAATACACGAAAATAGGCATGGAGAGGGAGAATTACGAGAAATTTACATCGGGTGATTGGAAGATTGCACAGGAACCAATAAAGAATTTTGTTGATCAGGTGAGTATTCCCTGTTTGCTCTGAAAAGTTCAATTTATCTCTGATTGCTTATCATTGCTGACTGTTTAGAATGACCAGAAGTTCCACTTTGTCGAGCTGACGACGAATGGACAGTGGAAGTGCTTGTGGGAGGCGATATTTGCTCACTTGGCTGCACCAGAAGCTGCCCCAATCCACCGAGAGTGCCTTTCGGTGGTGCGAATCCTGAGCCGGGACAAGACGTACTTGGACCAGTGCATCACTGACCAGAAGATCGACTGTCTGCTGAATGCGGCGAACATCGGACCCGAGAGCCACGCGAATGGCTCTGGTGTGGTCATCGAGGCGCTCAAGTGCCTGTGCAATTTGGTGTTCAACAGCAAAAAGTGCCAGGAAATGTGTCTCAACAATACGTCAACAAAAGGGATTGTCGACCGTATACACTGCCACAAGTGAGCGGAACGGATTGAGCTTCCGTTGATCCGGGTGTAATGAAGCTGTTTGTATTGCAGGAAGCACGAGATTGAGTATGAAATCCAGTACTTCGACATGAAACTCCTCTTCCTCATCACTGCGCTCAATCCTCAAGTCCGGAAGAAGGTGCGAGAGGACAATGGGATGCTGTGCCTGCTGGAGAAGGTGCAGCAGATCATGAAGGAGAATCAGGAGTGTGAAGCATTTTTCGTAAGCTCCTCTTCTGCCCACTTTTGAGGAATTCTCTCACGATTTGTCTCTGATTTTGCAGGATAAGCAGGTGGATTTGCTAGGCGAGATTCTCAAGGTGCTATTCAATCTCACTGTTCCCAGCGAAGCGAGCAGTTCTGAGGACGACAAGGAGGATCCCTTCCGGAGTCTCACAGTGGTGCTGCGGGAACTCTTCTTGCGTCGCGCCACGTCGAAGGAGAAGCAGCACGATTTGTGGTCAAATTGTGTGAATCTGCTCACGAGCGTGCCATCAGAGTACTTCCCAGAGCTCGCGATGGACTGCGAGGAGGGCAAGGGCTTCGAGGGACAGGACATGGCAGTGATTGACGTCCTGCTGAACTTCCTGCGCCTCCGCCTCGAGTCCATGCAGAAGGTCTCCACGCAGAACGAGTGTCTCTCGCCCATTCTCACTGCCCTGGTGAAGTGTGTGCGCTCCAGCAGTCGCCTCCGTCGCTACATCCGCTCCCAAGTGCTTCCGCCGCTCCGAGATGTACACAGGCGCCCTGAGGATGGCACAGAGCTGAGGAACTACCTCTGTCGCCTCCTCACCACGCCCGCCCTGCAGGTGCGCGATCTCGTGGCGGAGTTCCTGTTCGTGATGTGCAAGGAGAACGTGGGCAGGATGATCAAATACACGGGATACGGCAATGCGGCGGGAATGTTTGCCAATCGGGGACTCCTGGGCGGTCACGGCAACCCCGCTGAGGGCTACTCGTCAGACAGCGAGGACAGCGACACGGAGGAGTACAAGGAGCTGCAGCACGGCATAAATCCCGTGCTGGGCTGCTACGAGCCGAAGCGGCCTAACATCTTCGAGGGCATGACGGAGGAGCAGAAGGAGTACGAGGCGATGCAGCTGGTGAGTCTGATGGACAAGCTCCAGCGGCAGGGCATCATGCAGCCGGGCAGGATCGGTCCGGACGGTCGGCCAGTGCCCGTGGATCACATCCTGGAGCTCCAGGAGGAGCTGCCGCAGCAGCAGAGCGACCACAAGCGCAAAACTTAAGGCCACAAGTGTGTGTGGTGGCATTTTCAGAGGGCTGCTCATGATGGATTGCAAATGTCTCTCGATCACCAGCATCAGCAGTATTATACGCGTTGCGAATTCATGGCGCCTCATTCACACAGCCATATATAATTGATCCTGTTGTGACGCACTTGTTAAAGGAAACTTGCCAAAGAAACTCACCATTTCAGTAATCTATTTCGGGCTAAGATACAGTGAATTTCCTCCCTGCCAGACACACTCTGGCTGTGTTCTCTCCACACTCTGACAGTTAGTAAATTGAATTTATCAATAAAAGGTCAAAGACGAACCTCAGCTTCACTCTCTAGACGCTCTAGACTCTCGTGGTCGCCTCGATGTACTTGGGCGGCGCCGGCTTCTCGAACTCATCCAGTTCGGCATCGTAGTACTGAGCGGCGCGATATGGGCGCAATTCCCACGGGATCTGATCCTCCATCTTCGTCAGTGTCACGTCCAGATCCTCGAGGGTGGGAATCGAGGGCAGGACGACGTCCGTCACGTGCTCCCTCTCCACGCGCTCCGGATGGAGTTCGCCGACTTTGAAGGAGGGACAGATGACTTCGGTGAGCTTGGCCTTTAGCATGAACGACGGATCCCAGCGCAGATCATAGCGACCGTAGGAGAAGAGTTTGGTCTCCTTGCGCATGACGCGATTGAACCAGTCCACGAGCTCGGACAGATAGTAGCGACGAGGCCTGCACAAAGAGAGGACAGTTTGAGCTGGTGGCCAGGGAGTTTTGAGTTACACAATCTTACCCAACAGCCTGATAGATTTTGCCCGCCGTCTCGGGATCCCTGGCGGCGTTCACGATGCCCTGGGCAACGTCAGAGCAGAAGACGGGCTGCTTGATGGTCTTCTCGCCCTTGTGCCACAGCGGAATGCCGGCCAGATGCTTCCTCCACGTGTGCGAGTAGTAGCGGATGAATCTGTCCTCCTGCCCATAAATGTCGGCCGGTCGGAAGATGGTCGCGTCGGGGAACTCATCGCGCACCGCCAGCTCACCGTAGTACTTGCTCTTGAGGAACTTGCTGCCCTCCTTGAGCACGAGGGGCTCCGGCGCGGCGCTGGCATTGAGCGCTGACACATGAATGAACCTCTCGACGCCCATTTCGCGGCACACCTTCGCCAGGCGTCGGGCGCCGTTCACGTGAAGATCGGTGAAGTTGAAGTTGTTGGTCTCCCAGTCGCGCCCCACCAGATTTATCACGACATTCGAGTGGCGCACCGCCTTCCGGATGGACTCTTCGTCCTCCAAGTGGAAGAACTGGAACAGCACCTGGCCCAGATCACCGGCCACCTTCAGTCGGATGGCGTCGTAGTGGTCACTGCGATACGGCAGTATCATCTGCGTGCCGATCTTGCCCAGTTTGTTGCACACATAGCGCCCCATGAAGCCCGTGGAGCCGAAAACTGTCGCCACCATTCCATTGAAGCTGGATCGTCCGCCGGTTCCGCGCTTCATGGCCGCCAAATTGGTCGTCTTCAGCGCTCTGGGAGCGTCCGTGGAGTACTGCGCCTTGGTGCAGAGCACCCCAAGACTTCCGGCATTGTGTCCTGGCCAGAGAAAACAGAAGAAGTAAACTAACCAACAAAAATTCTCCCGAACAATTACATAACAATCTCTCCGGAGAGGATGTTTCGTGCAGGAAAGATGCAATAGCGATAGAAGAGAGTCTCAAGAGTACTTACGTGCAATTTGAGCACTATTTAATAGCACTAATGCCGACATTTTCGCGTTGAAAATTTTCAGAACTTCTCAAGATGTTTTGACACGGACACTGAGGAAAAAAAACACCACGGAGCACTTCATCACATTCCGCGAGAGGCGCTGGCAATCACGTGGCGGGAAATTGAAATTGCACTCTTTTTTTGTTGTAGTCTATTCTCGAGTGTAAAATTTATTTACTTTTAGTTCAAGTGTGTGCTTAAAGTTAGCGAAATAACTGCCCCCGGAATACCAGGTGCGAAAGTCAGCATATGATTAATACAACATTTCTTTTTTTGTGAAAGTCTTCAACTAAACAATAAATTGGAATGAATTCCTATAAACCTCTACTGGCCAAATGCGAACATGTTTTGTATAAGCATGAAAGGCAATTCCTCAGAGCTAAGGCGGAATTTGAATATTTATTGCTTGAATTTCACACTTCCAAATACTTGTTCTCGAAATTTGAACCTCACCAAGATATTTCATTTTGTATATTGCTTTCAACAGAGTTTGGTTCTGAAATTTCTTCATTCAAATATTTGGACCATTTCTGCTTCTTCTCTTCTTTTTGTACTTCATGTGAAAACCGTCGATGTATTTTTTTTAGAACATTGAAATTTATATGAATTAACAGCAAAGCAGAGCAACTTTTCTTAAGCACTCCAGAGATTAAGTTGGAATTCTATTCTATACATTTCAAAGCGTTCAAAGTAACTGACCGCAATTAAGGGTTTATAAGGGTTGGAAAAATTCACTTCATTTTGCTCACTCTGGCCAGAGAGCGAGAACTAATAAGAGATAATAAAAAAAAAGAAACATTTGATTCTACACGGAAAACGTAGAGATAATAAATAGCCGAAGGTGTTCAACGCATCATTTCCTGCTTCCCAGCTCCTTATCGACTTTGGTAAGTGACACCGACAGGCGTGTCTTGGACGCATTCGTCCCTCCCAGGGACTTCCTCCGGTTCAGCTCCATCCTGGCACGCTTCTCCGTTCCGCCATTGGTCGTCCACGCGGACCCGGCGCTCCTGCGGCGCGGCGGCGAGGCGGGACCATCTGAAGAAGAGGGCAAACACACACTCAATTGAAGAATGCAAGGATTAGGAAACTCCACTCTCACCTCTATCTGAGAACCTCCTCTTCCCATCCTCACTCGTCCTGGAGCCGGACACTCTGCGCTTCTGCGACATCGCATTAGATGCCGACTTGATGGCCACGCCGCGGCACTCAGACTTGGGCTTCTGGAACGAATCCTTGTCCTTTCCCTCCTCCTTCACATCCTTCCCCTTCCCATCGCCCTTGCGCTCCTCCTTGGGGCACAGCTTCTGCTGCTGAAAGTGCCTCTGAACACCAAACTTACTCCAATAGTCGAGATGATCGCGTCGCGCATCCGTGAACACTTCCTTCCCATTCTTGTAGTCATTGAGGATCATCGTCTCCAACTTCTGTGTCGTCTTGTAGAAGGAGTCTGGCGACACGAGTCCATAGTCGAACAGTGAACACATGTGCAGGACGAAATTGCGATAGAGATTCTTCTTGATGATCTCATGTCCCTTCAGTTCCACAAACATATCACACGCTAGCGGTATTTGGCAGTCTCCAACGTAACTGGCAAATGGACATCAAAGGACATTGGAGAGGAAATCTCAACATTAGATTCTTATCATTTTGTCACTCACCCGTACTTCATGACGTGCAGATTCCACAGCTTCATGAGCTCCTTCTCACCCTCATTCACGTCCGTGAACTCATCGATCATCTGCATGGTCTTCTTGCGCAGCCACGGCGGATCGCACTCGCCCTCTGAGTCGTTATCCAGCTCCTTGGGATGCACCGGCAAGCATGTCATCGTGTGGTGATACAGGCGATTGTGCCCCGTGATGTACGGTCGCTGGCCGTTCAGCTCATTCTCCTCCAACTCCACAAACTCACTGAGTGAGGGCTTGAGACGCCTCGGTCGGCACACCAGAATGTGCGTCACTGAGGTGCGCCTCACGGGCCCGGAGCGCGTGAAGGCGAAGCCCGCGGGACCCACGAGATCGTGCGGTGAGCCCATGTAGGACCCATCGAAGCTGTCATTGATGCTCACATCGATGCGCGCCACATTTCCCATCTGCACGAAGTTGAAGATGAAACGCGAGTGGCAGAGCTGCAAGTGCTTCAGCAGCGAGTACAGACTCATACAGTTGACGTGACACCAGGGACACTCCAGCGACGGAGAGGGTTCCGTGCTCTGGCGCGATACGTTGTTGTAGACGAACTGGAAGGCGATCTGCAACTTATTAGCTGGGATACCGAAGATGTTGTGCCTGTTGGCGATGGCTTTGTGATTCTTCGACAGTATCTGGAAGTTGTTGTTGTGCCCCAAGATGCTGGGATTGTTCTCCTTGTTGGACATATCCGGGCTTCTGGTCAGTTGGTTCATTTCCGAGTAGTTCATCAGGCCCGTGTGAGGCTTCTCTGTCCAGTAGAGCATGAATTTGAGAATGGGCGCCTTCTCAAAGGGCTCCTCAACACTCGAATCAGCCGTGAAGATGGACAGATTCTCCCACGAAGAGTACTTCCGCGGAGACTTCCCATTCACCGCCACTATAGGCTGAGTTATCTCCTGCAGAGTCAATTGATACTCTCCCTCGGTGAGCAAGCAACGACCATACTTGTCGAAGATCATCATTTCCGTCCCGTACTGAACGGAATCCTTGATTCCGGAGAGTGTCTGCACTCTAAAGAGCAAGATATGCGTCACCTGACCCTCCTCGGAGTCAAACATGTCTGTCGAGAGGCTCATCACGGGCACCTTCTGACTCACCGAAGAGCCCACAGTCACTTCGGACACACCCAGAGTCTTCAGCATGGACGAGGAGCTCTCCTTGCGCTTCTTGTGGGAGATCTTGAGCAGCATTGTCTCCACGCGGACACTCTCCGATGACACCGTCGTGGATGAGTCCACGGCTTTCTCGAAGAAGCCCAGGAACACCATCGATAAGTAGTCATCCGGACAATTGGCTCTCTTGATGCTCTTCAGCTTTTCAGTGAGAAGAGAGTCCACACTGAAAGTGGCGCGTCTCTTGTGGCTCCTGGACATTCTCTGCGGCATGTAAGTCAGTGTGCGATGCAAGAAAATTGGCTGAAACATTTCAACATGTAAACTCCTCATTCCGGACCATCTTCCTTCCTAAATACTCACCGAAAGACGATTCCTCGCCCGCAAGTATCGATAAATCTGCGTCGGTTCTGCAATGAGACATTGAGGTTAGGGCACAATTGTCTCTCCCACGGAACCTTCCCTCCCACAAAACCACCCATCATCTACCAATTATGAGAATAAGTCTGTGAACACTCTCCCAACCCAGAAATACGCAAAAACCCTCGTTTTGAGAGATTTTTCCACCACTTTCAGAAGTCTTTTGTCAGCCAAACAAAGTGAAGCCATCGCGGAAGCGGCAGAAACAGCAAGATCACACAGTGGTACTCACTTTCAAAGGTCTGCAGGAAGTTGTCCCGGTCGGCTTGTTGCTCATTGCGGCTACTCCTCCTCTTTGGAGGCATTTTCAACCAAAATAAACTCAAAAATACACAATTTAGCCGCCGAGCTTCAGGGAGGGTGACACCAAACCAAGCCTAAGAGGGTTTCCGCGAGAGAGCGCTGCTGGGTTGGGAGGAGGCGGCACAAAAAATGCATACATCGCCTGGTTAGGCTGCAGCAATCCATGAAAACTGTGATTCTATCACAATATTGTGGAAACAATCAAGAGACAGGAAAATCTTGCGAATTTTATTTAACTAGACTTTGCGAAATGACCAACATGTTGTATGCTGAACAAAATTCTGAATCCTTCACCACATCTTTCATCCATCCGATTATGTTGCGAAACCACAGCGCAATGAAACATCTGATAATATTTCCTCCATTCGATTGCAATAGCAGTGGTGTATCTGTGGAGAGAAACAGTTTCTCTTGACACGACGCTCGCTTTGTTTCTTCCGCATAATTAGTGCTCAATTCCTCGGAATTTCTGCCTTATTTCGCGTGGAAACCCTTCTAAAACCGTTTTTAAGGATTCTCTGGGGCGTTTCGTGCAGTGTTTGAGTGTGACTAAAGCGCGAAAAGGCGTGAAAAGGTGGTAAAAATGGGAAAGTGAGTGAGGGAATGGCGGCGTGCATAGAAAGTATCGATTCTCCATAAAACATGCCTCATTTCCACACCTTCTGAACTCAATTCCGCGACAGTCGATTTAGAAGCGATTCTTGGCGGGGTTTCGGGTGAGTATTGGGCACTTTGCCAGCTCCAGATGTGCAATGAAGGTGTTTTACACATGATCGTCTTCGCGCCCCAGCAGATTCCGGTCACTGCCCTCACCGATCATCAGCGTGATCTTGTTCTCTGCATCGCTCATGCATCAAATGGTGAATTCCTGGCGTGCAGATAACTGTCAACACCGCGATTTGCCACTGACGCTGCCAGAGATCCCCAAAGTCGTCGCACAATGGATGCCGAGTCCGTGAAGTCCGAGCAGAGTTCACGTTCCCGTCGCACGACTCGCCAGCAGTCCGGCAGCCACCGGAGCCGCCACTCCCACCGCAATCACAAGAGCAAGCGCCCCGACATGGCGCCCTTCCAGACCACCGTCAACCTCGAGGACTCGCGCGACGGCCAGGAGATCATCGAGGTGCAGATCCTGCCCCAGGACGAGAACTGGGGCGAGAACACCACCGCCATCACGGGCAACACGTCCGAGCAGAGCGTCTCCATGGAGGATGTGAGCAATTGGCAGGGCGGCGGAGACTCGGGACTGGGATTCGCCTGCCAGCGCTACATGGAGACCACACTGTCGCTCATCCTCAGCCTTGTGGCCTTCTTCAGTCCGCTGGCGATGGTGATGATGCCGAAGCTTGGATTCTTCGCACGCGCCTTCGACAATGCCGACCTCACGCCGATCGCCAGGAGTCAGCTTCTGGCCTGCAACGCCGAGTGCAAAGGTGAGTGCTTCCCTGAGAGATCCTAAAACACTTGACTTTGCTGATATTGTGTTGTGTCTCATCTCCGCAGGACAACTCGTATCGCTGGCCGTGCGCATGATCCTCCTGGCATTGGCTCTCTGGGCAATCTTTCTGCGCAAACCAGCAGCAACACTGCCCAGGATCTTCCTCTTCCGCGCCACGGTCATTCTGCTGGTGCTCGTGTCGACGTTCGCCTTCTGGCTGTTCTACGTGGTGCAAGTCACCGAGGGCACCAAGGCGATCATCGAGGGCGCCGAGGCGGCGGACTACAAGTCCCTAGTGACCTTCGCCACCAGCTTCGCCGACACGCTGCTCTTCATCCACTACATCGCGGTGATTCTGCTGGAGATCAGACACCAACAGCCCGTGTACTACGTGAAAGTGGTGCGCAGTCCGGACGGCGAGAGCCGCAGCTACACCATTGGCCAGCTGAGCATCCAGAGGGCGGCTGTGTGGGTGCTGCAGAAGTACTACACAGAGTTCACCATCTTCAATCCGTATCTGGAGCGAATTCCGGTGTCCAAGTCGCAGCGCAAGGCGCTGTCCACGTTCAAGTACTACGATGTGGACGGCGTGAATGCATCGCAGCAGCAGAGCCAGTCAAGGGCAGTGCTGGCAGCTCATGCGCGGCGTCGTGACTCCAGTCACAATGAGCGTTTCTACGAGGAGCACGAGTACGACAGGCGGGTAAAGAAGAGGAGGGCGCGACTTATCACCGCTGCCGAGGAGGCTTTCACGCACATCAAGAGGGTACACAATGAGCCGGCGCCGGCGATTCCGCTCGATCCCCAAGAGGCCGCCCAAGCGGTCTTCCCCTCGATGGCCAGGGCGCTGCAGAAGTACTTGCGCGTGACACGCCAGCAGCCTCGGCACACCGTTGAGGCGATCCTGAGACACTTGGCGCACTGCTTGAAGCACGATTTGGCGCCCAGGGCCTTCCTGGAGCCCTATCTCGTGGAGTCGCCCGTGATGCAGAGCGAAAAGGAACGGCGCCCAGTGCAATCTTGGTCACTCATCTGCGATGAGCTGCTGTCGCGTCCACTGTCGGACGGATGCTCCTTCCAGCTCATCCAGAGTGACATTTCTCTTGTGGTCACAGTGCATCGGCTGCCGCACTTCCACGTGGCGGAGGAGGTGGTGGATCCGAAGAGCAACAAGTTTGTGTTGAAGCTGAACTCCGAGACGAGTGTGTGACAGGAGGACAACGCCGATGAGTGGCGTGAGGATGAGGCCAACGACAGGACGTACGATGAGATTATTTATCAGTTTCTCTAGCCCCAAGAGCGGGCTAACTTCTAGTTCACATATCTAAGATTGATCTTTCTCATATCCTCTTCTTTCTCTGCCGATGATCTTGTTTCTGAAACGAAAGACAGCAGCACAATAAGACGTACTATTTACACACACGTTAGCGTTGAGAAGATTGCACATTCAAAGGGCTTAGCTATTCTAAGGACTCCGTTTTGTGATCTGTAACTCAAGAAAACCTCTCTCAGATCATCTTTTCATCCTCCTGAGATTCTTTGAATGCAATCAACTCAATCAGTTCTCCAAGACTTGATAGCAAATAAGAGTATTTATACAACTGTAAGCATTTTTGATATCAAAGCATTTCTTAAGAAGTATTTATAGGTAGATTTACAAGACAGTTAGCTAGTATTTTTTGGCTTTTATCGGAAATATTTGTATCACATCTTTTTTTACAATGCATAGACTATAAAATCGCCTCTCTTGAGGCGAACTATATTTAATATTTAGATGAAAAATTGACAACTTTCTATGTAAATAAGAAAGAGAGACCAGTAACTTTGCTCGCCAGAGTTCCAGTGAATCGACATTAGCTGTAGGAACAATTTCTTTATCACTTTTTTTGTACAATATATAATCTTTTTGCAAAATAAATAGCAACACTTTAACGGTGAGTTTTTTCCTCTTGCTCGCAGTGTTTCGTTGCGTATGTTTGCCGACAGTGGCTGTCGTGGCGCGACAATCGGATTGTGTTTGTTTGTCTCGAGTGCGCTGGTGGAGTTTTTTGTGGAAAAATGTCAATTTCCCTGGATTTCAGCAAGATTTGCCGGGTGTGCTGCCTCGAGGGCAGTATGATGTCGGTGTTCAAGGTGCATATATCTAAGAAATTGATGGCCTGTGCGGCTATTCAGGTAATATTGCTGTTTAACCTCACTTCGGACGATTGTTGATGTTGCTCTGAATTGCAGGTCTGGCCAAATGATGGTCTTCCAGATCAGATATGCACGAAATGCGTGGCGAAATTGCACATTGCCTTCCAGTTCAAGAAGCTCTGTGAGAAATCAGACGCTCGACTGAGACAGCAAGCGGCCAGTGCTCCTGTGGAGGCGCCGGAGAGTGTTGAGAATCCGCCCAGTGATTATGTTTATGTGGATTGTCAGGCTATCGAGGCTACCTCGGGGCAGTACGAAAATCTCCAAACGTCGACTTACAGCACAAGTCTTCTGCCCACTTACTCCGGCCAAGGCATCTTCCAGGCCTACACGGTGCCGGCTGTGGAGATTCAACCGTCTGTTGTGACGCTGAGCACTGTCGCGCCTCCTGTTGAATCAGCTCCACAGGAAGAGAAGAAATACGTGTCAGAGGATAAGCAAGAGTGCACGGAGAAGGCGAAGCTGAAGACTGACCAGGAGAGTTCAAGGCAGTGCCACATTTGTGGTAAAGAACTAGTTTCTGCTGCTAAGCTGAGTCGCCACATGAAGATTCACAGTGGCGAGCAGCCGTACAAGTGCAAATTCTGCCTGAAGCGCTTCTCGCACAGCGGCAACTTCAAAGTCCACCTGCGGATGCACACGAACGAGCGCCCCTATCAGTGCACCATGTGCAATAGGGCGTGTCGACAGCTGCAGGATCTGGAGAAGCATATTCGCACGCACACGGGCGAAAAGCCCCATCAGTGCTCCGTGTGCTCGAAGAAGTTCTCCACGTCTAGCAACCTGATCGCCCACGTGAGGATCCATTCGGGCGAGAAGCCCTACGTGTGCAGCATCTGCGGCAAGGCTTTCTGCCAGTCCAACGAGCTCACGAAGCACACGCGCATTCACACTGGTGAAAAGCCGCACCAGTGCTCAGTGTGCCACAGGCGCTTCAACGGCTCCTCCACGCTCACAATCCACATGCGGAGTCACACTGGCGAGAAGCCCTACGTCTGCACGGTGTGCTCCAAGGCGTACTCCCAGTCGCGCTGCCTTCAGATGCACCTCAAGACCCACACCGTCTACGAAGCGCCCCCAGACAAGCCGCCGGACAAGGCAGAGTCCTTCTGAACACTCCAGTGAGTGTTTGTCTTTCACGAAATTCATAATGTGCAATGCACAAAAATTATGGCTGTGATTTCCATCAATTTTAAATTAAGCCCACGTAAACTACAGAATAATTCTACTATTGAAAGTAAAATTCCTATCTGCATACTAGCAATTTTAGTGTACTATATTGACCGTAGTAAAATAATTATGATTACAAAACAATTCACTTTGCAAACTCTTTCAGTCTGTCTGTAAGAATCTGCAGATTCTTGGTCAGTTCATCTCTCTGTTCGGCTGAATTCTCCACACTTTCCTTGGCATTCCTCAAGCAACTCTGCACTGAGAGGCGAGCAGAAGCTAACTGGGAAACGACCAGTGTTCTATTGTCCTCTCGGATGCAATTTGCAGCTTCCAGGGAGAGCTGAGACATCTCCAGACAGATTTTCAGCACTTTCTCAGACGATTCTGGCACTTCATGCCACTTGGGATTGCTCTGTGTGTGTCCTGTGAAGGCTTTGAGGAGCTTCTGGGCCCTCGACAGGGAATCTTTCGCAACCCTGGCGGCCATTTCCCAGTAGAATCCATCGCGACCGTGCTGAATGCAAAGCTGAGCCAGGATTTTACTCGCTTTCTCCGCCAAGCGATGAGAATCCGTGCCTTTCTGGTCCGGAACGTGGCCTTCAATGGCTGACGTGAGAATGTCCAACACTTGACGATCTTCATAGCGCGTCTTGAGCTCCATCAGTCGATTGTAAGCATTCAGGACATCGTCAAAGTGCCCTGTGTCCAGGCTGACCACCATGAAGTTCTCCCAAACCTGCCACACGTCATAGTTGCACTTCAGAGCCTCCGCCAGGACTTTCTGGGCGCGATTCTTATCACCCATCTTCACGTATGCCTTGGCCAAATTGTTCCACGCTTCGAAAGTTCCCGATTCCAGAGATGTGTACATTTGATAGGCATGAGCTGCGATCTTCCACTCTTCAGTCTCGAGAGCGGCGAATCCCAGGCGAAGCCACAGCGGCTCTTGCAGAGTGTTGATCTCCAGAGACTCTTGGAAGTGCGGAATGGAGAAACTGTACTCCTTTCGGGCAAAGAAATAGTTTCCCCAGTGTTTCTGGGCTTTTCCGCTGCGTCTCTCGGAAAACTCCCATGCCTTTTCGTACCAGGAGGGATCATCTGTGGCATCGCCGAGCAGACAGTAGAGCTTCGCCGTGGGACTCTTCGTCAATTCCTGCCGGATGACCTCCTCCGCTTTGTGGCGCAACTCCAGCATATTGTAGCAGGTGATCACATCATCCCAAGCCTGGATGCGTCGGTAGACGTCCAGAGCAGTCTTCACCAAGCCCAGGGACATCATCAGGCTGCCCAGCTGCATCTCAGAGCGCCAGATTGGCGGCATGCCTGAGGAGAAGAAGCCTAGCAGACGATGGTGGGATTCAGCACCTGGCATTCTCACCAGCTTAAGGATTTCCTCGCACTGCTTCAAGCTTCTATCCACTGTTCTTCGATTCTTCGCCTCCAGCTCGATATTCGCCATGAGGGCGGCAATTCTCACGCTCCACGCTCCATGATCCTGATGCAGCAGCGTCACGATGTAAGGCTGAATCTCCTCCTCGGCCAGATTGTCCTTCGGCTGTGACATTTGCAGCCAGTGCAGCTCCAGGACGATCAGAGACTGAATGACACTGGGAAGATTGTCAATCTGAGCCTCTTCTTCGTTCAGGAATTTGATCTTTTCCAGCCGCGTGTCATCGTCCAGATGCAGTAACTTTGGCAGGAGAATTGATCCATGAGTCTCTGAAGCACTGCTCAAGGAAATGACTTCCTTCCTCTCCACTCTGAGGATCATTTGAGGCAAGGGTTTCGTCTGAAAGCGCGTTCTCATGCCCAACAGTGAGGTGATGTTCAGCTGTGTTTTCAGCTTATCTTTCACAGAGTCCAGAAGCTCTTTGCACGGCTTCACACGTCGGAAGATGGCATATCCCTGAGCAATCTCCAGCATCAGCAGTGCGGAATCTTCAATGTCCAAAGTAGAGAAATCTTCATGTTTCAGAATTTCCTCGGAGATTTCTCTGAACTCCTTAAATAGAGAGTATGTCAGATCTTCCAGAACTTGCTGATGAAGACAAATCACTCGTGCTCTCCACACCAGGAGCACAAGATGATCACACATGCAGGCTTTCAGTGTCTTCCGCGCGAGAAAGAGGAGTTCCGGAAAGAGAACATTCACATCCAACTCTTCTCCATTTACCACGCATTCTCTCCTCACATTCACTTTCTCCAGGCGCTGTTTGGAGTGTATGAATTCCTGGACAACATCTTCAGCTAAGAGATTCCCCGTGAAATTGGCTTGGATGAACATTTCCACACATTTTCGGACAATCTCAAGAGCATCTGCTATGCATTCTTCCTCAATTCTATATTCATCATTTTCCAAAATTTTCCCGATAAGGGGTTGCAGATCCCTTCTCGATGCTTTTTTCAGGCAATTTTCACTTCGATAACAGAGAATTTTCAACATTTTTCCGAGAGTATTATTCCCAAGCTGGCGGACCGCGTGTTTTTCCAAAACAAACTCCTCACTAACCAAATGCAACCTCTAGCGGAATAATTTCCAAACGCAGTGGTAAGTAAAAGTGCGGGATTGGACCTTTAAACCCTTTAAAGATGTCTTTTATTGTTCACGTTCTTTACCTTGGCTTCTCCGCCGTTCTAGATGGGAACCTTCGTGATCTGGATGAGGATCAGCTGAGGCACGCGCTCGTACGTGAAATACTGTGGAATTGTGCGCATTGGAATGTACTCCATTCGCCAGCCTCGAGAGTATCTCAGTTCCTCAAAGTGCTTCAAGAAGTGCTCAAAACAGGGCGCCGTGGTGTCCAGATCCGTCACAGTGAAGACGTACCTCTTCTCCAGGGCTATCAGCACTTTCATGGGATAGTTGGAGTGGCTCAAAAGATGATCCAGCGTCGCAATGAAGGCATCCGTGATGTCATCGTCGTAAATTACATCCGCAGCGAGAACGTAATCAATCCCAGCGTCTTGGTCAGACTTCAGTGTCTCTTTCCACACTTCTGGTTGGAGGAAATCTAGCTCCAGCACTTGTATATTCTTCCGCACATTTCGCTGGACATTCCGACTGATGACACTGAGAATTCCACCTTCACTGATGTCTGTGCAGATGACTCGCTTGGCATAGGTGCTCGCCACGATGCTGGTGAGTCCACAGCCACTGCCCACCTCCAGCACAGTTTTCTTGCGGAAATAATCGCGCTGGTGAAGGATGTAATCGGCCAACAAGAGCGCTCCTCGCCACACCTGAAGCCCCACCAGCTTCAAATTGGTCGACTGAGAGTGTTCAAGCTCCAGACAAGATTTCCTCCGACGCACTACGACCAAATCTCCATCCTTGTCTTTCTTCGAGTGCGCCTTGGCACTCTCTTCGGGCCACAGAAAAGTAAATTTGGAGATGGAATCTACAAAGAAGCCTTGTTAACACGCGAAACTCCGTGGATTTCAGGCTGTTCAAGAGCTCAACTCACGTCCATTCACTCCAGTTTGGCTCCGGAAGTTCGTCTCGGTGTAGATCTCAGAAGATACATGGAAATCGCCGTTCTCGTTCGCCATGAGGAAAGCCCGTGATCACTAGGCAACAGTCCGGAGGACACTGAATCTCTACGGTTCCTCTGGGCAATAATTCATCGTGTCTATTTGTCTCTCATCGAGATACTCTCACGGCGTCTCTCATTGAATAATGGTCTTTTTTAAGACGTACACATCCCGAAAAAAAGCGGCGTCTTGGCACGCAACGCTGTGTGAGATAATGCGAAAGGTTTTCACGGGCAACAATACATTAAAATCAGCACATCTCGATACAGAGTTTAACAGCTGTGCTCTTCAGTTTGACGCTTAATTGTGAGGGTAGCGAAATTTCGCGCAAACATTGAAAGATTCACAGAAGCTCGTGAAATATTTCACTGTGATTGAAAGCCATTGTTTTTTTGCGGGAATCGCAAGGAATTTATTCTCACCTTAATATTACTCATTATTTACTTTAAATTAAACTTTACTTTCACGTACATAAAAAGTAGGTAAAGAAATGTAGATGTAACAGAAGTGCGGAGTTCTGTTTGATTCTTCCTTCGCGGCTCTGCTGCAACGCCTCTGCCTAAGTCTACTGGTACGTCGCTTTGGATCCGACGCGTCTCGCTCTGGTCTGACCGGCGTGCGTAGATGGAGAGCGGGCAAGCACGGGAGTGAGTGGGTGGATGCTGCTAAGCTGTGACGAACTTGGCCTTCTCGAGGGGCAACTCCTGCGCCACTCCGCCCCAGGCCAACTTGAAGACGCGCGTCCGCCACCGGATGGCTGGATTCCAGAGGGCGTGAAAGAAGAGATAGGGTCCAGTGCACTCGCGGAAGATCCAGCCGACGACGAAGTCGATCTTGCTGAAGGGCAGAGAGCCATTCTGCACGATGGAGAGCAGCAGCCAGTCGCAGAGGAACCACACGAGGATGTGCACCAGGTAGAACACGAGGGAGTCCCAGCGGAAGAGCACCGAGGCGGCCCAGGAGGCGAACGCGCCCACCACCAGGCACTCAGACAGTGGCTCCAGGAGAATCGTGGTGGGCACCATGGCCACGCGGAGCTTGGCCCAGCGCGTGAGGCGCGCTTGAAAGCTGCCGATATCACAGACACCCGAGTTCTGCCACGCCGGCTGGCTGCTCACCGTCAGACGCCAGCCGGCGTCCGTCACGGCCTTGGCGATGAAGAAGTCCTCGGCCAGGTAGCGCCCGAAGTGCGCCAGCCCGCCCACCTCCTCCAGAATGTGCCGGCGCACCAGGCACGACATGCCCGTGTGGCAGACGATGCCCAACAGGTCGGCGCAGAGGTAGATGCGCGCCTGCACTGTGCCGAAGTAGATCTTCTCGAACGTGGCGGCAAAGCCCTCGCGGTCGCACGTGAAGGGCATCTGATGCACCAGACCCACGCCGTCCACCATGTGATCCACCTGGAACGACAGTCAGTATTAGTCATCATCGGGCACTCAACGGGCCGGCAAGTGTTATGACTCTTGGCGCTGAATAGCCCAATTGTTCTCTCCCGCGCGTACCCTTGAGATGTGCACACAGCGATAAGGCGGCGTTCGCGTTGCGTAAGCTCATTCTAAATTGATTGCTGTTTTAGGGGATTTTCAAAATTACCCATTCGACAGATATTTGTGATATTTGGGTGTTCACGGTGATAAGGTTTACAGAGGAAGAACATTTTTCTGCACCTGTTGAGGCACTCGCGCATAGAGAACAGCGGGGCTCTTTTCAAGGCAGATACAAATCTAGAGATAGAAGCACTTGCAGCCACTTCGTCTTGAGACAATTGGAAGAATCAACAGTGGTTTTCTCCTGATAACGTTGCTTAATCATCGGCTTGAGTCATTCTATTATGATTGATATGACGGTTTCAACATTCTTCTGAGAGATTTTTTTTTACACTAAGAAGCTCTAGAGCTGACCAGTTTGGCCAATTCAAAACGGTTCGTCAGATCAATGCTGTTATCTAGCTAGTTTTTACTGTTACCGCAACTACTGTGCAATAATAATAAAAATTTGGAGACCTAATTGTCTTGACATGTGATCAGCATTGTTTTCTTGATCTTGTGGCATTCATTGATCGCCTGGCACTTGACCTAGTCTTGAAGCCTTTAAAATTACACTGATTCACGACAACCACGATTGTCGTGAGATTGAGAAAGTGTTATTTATAGACTGTATTTTCAAAACAAGACAACTTCATTCTTTATCTTCTTATTCGGCAGTTTATTGGATAATTTATAGCGAAAAAATATTGACTATCCAAATGTTCCCTACTCTCCCGTAAATTGATTTATCGGCTCGATGACCCAAATTGATATTCACAATTTGCAGGAATCCAAGTGGAAAATTCAGAGTTCATTCGCCAGTGAGAGGCACTTCATATCTGTTTACGAAAGGCCTCAAATCTCAGAGTCAGATTTAATTACTCTGTTTGAATTTAATTGGTTTTATATTACAAAGCTCTCTATCAGAGGAAAGATGAGGCGGTAATTGAATTGAGACGATAAGCCTGATAAGCGCATAGAGTGCGAAAATGAAGCTGAAGAAGACGACACATGTGAGGAGTTGAGGTAGAATCAAGTTATCACAGCACGTATGTGGATCTATGGCAACGGTTTTAATTGTTTCTCTGATAAAAAAGAACACTATTGACTTTCCCATTGAGTGCTATGCAGAGTGTGTTTCCGTAGGCCTTGGCGTGTGCAAGGGACGATTGACTTCCTTGAGATGTTTTTGTACACAGTAACAAAGAGACAGTGAGATTCGGCTATTTGAATACTTCGCAGACCACAATTGCGAAGACTTTCCCTTATCTTCAGGTAGATAAGGGGAGAATAATGGGAATAATGCGAAGGAATGGTGTGATTATGGGAAATTTGGCATAGATACAACTTTCAATAGGTAGGTAATCCTCATGAGAAAGTGGGTCTCTGATAGGCGCCAGCGAGTTACTTTTATTGGACGTTTCGTCACAATTTTCGGCCAGAGTGGGAAGAAGACTTTAGAGTTTCCCTTCAAAAATTCCTCTCATAATTAATTGATGAAAATTCATGAAGTAATTGCCGCCCATTCTGTCCCACCGTCGAAGGCCGATAGGAAAATATACGCGTTCTCTGAAAATAACTTTGTCTAAGCCATCGGGCATATTTTTATCTCTTTGCGCTTCTTATCAGAAGAGTGTAAGAATTTAGAATGGAGGAGAGTGGAAAATATGATAAATTTGTCGCACATTCTCCTCAAAATTGTGTTTATTGAGATGAAATCATAGGAAATTTTGTGAGAATTCCGAAAATAATTGACGCAAAATGCCTTTTCAGCACGATTCTGGCATCTTTGCTGAGGTTAAGTGAGTTATCGGGATTATTGGGAAGCTGTGATTTGAAAGACAAGCCACACCTACAGAGAAGCCCCGCCTTCCTTCTGACAACTTAACCTCGCGGTCGTATTCTTGAGTGCTTCTTGACCTATTTCTAAAAGTGCGCGATCACACAGTGAATCATACCATATCCAGAAGCGTGTCTTCCTTCATCCTGATGCCGCTGTCACTGATGAGGATGAGCTCGTGGCGCGCCGCCACGAAGCCAGGATACATGTTGTTGATTTTGGGGTTGACGCCCACGCGCGTGCCCCCGGTGAAGATTCGCGCCTCCACGGCTGGATACTTGGCCATGAGTTGCTCCACGAGAGGGATGGCGGGATCGTGGGTATCCTCGATGCAGAAGAGCAGCTCGTATGCGGGGTAGTTCATAGTGAAGAAGGTCTCCAGGTTAGTGGAGAGATTGGGATCCACGCCCATGAGGGGCTTGAGAATGGACACGGGCGCCGGAGGCGTCTCGCGTGGCTGCAGATTCGTCTTCCGGTGGAGCTTCCACTTGCCATAAGTGATGGCCATCAGGTGCACCAACCACTTACCGCACCAGAAGACAAAGAATACCAGCGCGAAGCCGTACAGCGTGTACGCGAGCGGAGACATTGGCGCAAATGGGGCGTTGAGGGTTCCCGGTTCGATTGGCCTTCGCTCCAGCCACCGTCCAAAGTCATAGCCCCCGGATCAGCAGATGAGCGCGTGAGTTCACAGGCACAGACGGCGTCTCGCTGGCCAGGGCATGTCGTCACTCAGCTTTCCAGGAAATCACTCGATGTCACACTAGCAACCTTTGCGACACTCCCGCGAGACACAAGCGCACCCAGACACAGATTCACGATGACTAATGGACAGTGAGGCACTTCGCCACGGAATTTATCACGCCTCGCGAGCGACTTGGACCTTCGTCGGGTGACTATCAGGCGATTCTCCTCTGTGGAATGTTTTGCAACCCAGAATTCCGCCCGTCAAGCCAACTGTTATACCAGCAATTAGGCTGCGGCGCGATTCCAGTGTGTGAAACACTGTGATGTTTCGCGAAACAGGAAATCTTGTAAACTTTACTTGATGATCTGTGGCTTAACAAGACTGATGTACCTAAACTTTGGGATCCGGCAGCGTTGATTATCCTAGGTAAATAAAATCTAACCATCTTCTTTGTTCTTTCCGAAACTTTCAATAACACTGCATTGAAACGGTTGAAACATTGAAATTTGGGAACGCTAAATGCGTATAACAGTATTTCGTGCAGTGTAATTTAGGCCGCAGCGTTTGTGTGTGCATTTCAGTCTCCGGGAAAGTATAGAGTTTTCGTGAGTTTTCTACGCTTTACCTCATCATAATGACTACTGATGTGGCCAGAGATATCCCCCAGGCTGGGTTTGCTTTTGATAATTGCCAGAGGTACGCTGTTTTGGAATGTTTGGCAAAAGTGCACAGTCACACCTAACCTCAAAACCTTTGCCGCAGGAACAATTTCCTCTTGCAGAAGGGCTACGTCGCCCCCAAGACCGTGAAGACGGGAACTACAATTGTTGGGATCATCTACAAGGATGGCGTGATCTTGGGCGCGGACACCAGAGCCACTGAGGGGCCGATAGTGTCTGATAAGAATTGTGAGAAGATCCACTATCTGGCCAAGAACATCTAGTAAGTCGGTGTTTGAGGGATGAGAGAGTCAGGGAATGACTAAATGGAGTCTCATTGCAGCTGCTGCGGTGCCGGAACGGCTGCAGACACCGAGATGACAACCAAGACCATTGCTTCTCAGCTGGAGCTTCATCGTCTCGAGACTGGAAGAGTTGTGCCCATTGCAGCGGCGAGTTCCATGCTGAAGCAGATGTTATTCCGCTACCAGGTGAGTTGTGTAATGAGCGGGATCTGGTATTGGTTATATTAACATATCAATTTGCTACTTTAGGGCTACATTAGCGCTGCTCTGGTCTTGGGAGGAGTGGACAACGCTGGTCCTCACATTTATTGCATCCATCCTCATGGATCCACTGATAAGCTGCCCTATGCTACTATGGGCTCAGGCAGTTTGGCTGCAATGTCTGTGTTCGAGTCCCGCTGGCGTCCGGATATGGCAGAAGAGGAGGGCAAGAAGCTCGTGAGGGACGCAATCGCTGCTGGTGTGTTCAACGATCTGGGCTCTGGCTCTAACGTTGATCTGTGCATCATCCGAAAGGGATCCACTCAGTATCTGCGCACGTACGAGGAGGCGAACGAGAAGGGTCAGAGGAGCTTCTCCTACAAGGCTCCTCCGGGCACCACGAAGGTGATCAAGGAGGGACTTCGCCGATTGGACATTACTGAATCTGTGAGAGTGACAGCGGGTTCCTCCTCCGAGGGTGTCACTCCCATGGACACTGCATAGAAGGGCTGGGCTTTTTCATGGTTTTTTCAATAAATACTAAATTTCCTCTAACTTGGTGTTTATTGTAAATCACAGCAGAAGGCAGCACTTTCTTCGCAGGCTTCTGAAGCTCACCGCGGCAGGCGCTACTGTGCTTCCCGCGAAGCGCGAGCAACTTCAGTCGGTTGCCACTGAGACGTCAAGAGAGGTGGAGTGTGATGAGATCACGGAGCAAAATCCCAACAAAATCGCCAATGAAATAATTGCATACGGTCGCGAAGTGTGCTACTTTTCACGCCATCCAACGTCCAAGTGTCGCGTTCAGTGTCAGTGTTGCGAGCACAAGTGCATTTTGGAGTACCAGTCAAGAGGAAGAGATTGCCAAGGGATTGAGAGGAAGCCACTGCCAATGCTTCAATGGACGCAGCGGCGATAATAACGCAAGTGTCCCGCGATGATGAGCAATTGAATGCATATCCCGTCGACAAAGGTGAGTGCGGGAGTTTGGGGAGCAGTTTGGGTGCCTTGGCTGGCTGGGCCGTCGCGCCCCCCGCGAGAGCAAACAACATCACACTCTCGTCCTCCTTCTCGTACCTCGGAATTCCCACTCACGCACACACTCGCGCGAGTCCCCGCGCGAGACAGAGAGAGGGAGAGAGGTGCTATTTTGGTCACTACGCACACCACAGAGTCCCCATTTTTCCACACAAGTGCGCCCGCCATCGCGGGAACAAGTGTGTGACGTCTATATTTGTGCACCCCGTGCACCAGAGTGGGCCCCGCCGGAGGCTCCACGGGAGAAGAAGTGTCGCTCCCACAAATGGCTGCTCTCACACACACAAACGCACGCAGCCACACACGCCCTCTGTGTGCACCTGTTCGCCTCCGGGCGCCCCTTTCGCTGACCAGGACTCCCCGCAGGAAGTCCCGCGGGTATCTCATCAACCGACCTGGAAATTTCCTTTGGGGCGAAGCGCTCCTGCGCCGCGCCAGTGACACATCCGTGAAATGTTTTGTTTATATCACTCAGCTGACCCCCAATGTTTACAAATCGTTCACCCAAGAGCACTTTCCGTGAGTCATGCGAGGAGAAGTTCAGCAATACAGCCCTTTGTGGGGCGCATCAGGGACACGGTGACACGCCAGCGAGTGCCAAAGGACATTGTAAATCTTTGGTGAAAAGAGGAATTTCCTTGAGCTATAAATCTTTGGGTTTCTTCAAAGTAATATATTTCAAGGAATTTACTTACTTCGCTTCTGCATGAAACAGTTAAAATAGCCTGTGCAATTTGTAGTGCATTTTCTGAACTCCCAATATTCATTGTAAAAGCCTTAGCAGACATGCACTTTTCGTCAGGATATAATGAAACTACTCGAACTCGAATTGCCAGAATGCGTACGGTTTCAAGGCAACTACTTATTTGAGTGGGCTGATTCGTTCTCTTCATCCCTAATTGAGCTATTGCCTTTCGATTTTAACCATATTCAAACCTAAATTGTGCTCAAAATGCAAATTACTATCTGCTAAGGGCCTTATTAGACTTGAATTTCTGTCTCCACTCCAATCAGATACACTTTGGCTCCAAAAGTGTTCAAACGGGTTGCTGGATTCTTGTAATTAAAAGTGGTGGGAACTCTCCTTTCCCTCGCGTTTTCCCCTTCTTAATTTCGGAAGTTTATACCCAAAAAGTTCGATAGAAAAACAACCCAGTTTGTTAAGGTGATAACGGGATGAAATCCGTGAAATCCTTATTTCTCTAACCCTTTTGCATATTATAAGGAATTTGACTATACTGGTTCTTTCTCTGGAGTCGTTTTAATTGGTGACACTGAATTTAGCTTCCTGTAACAGTTTGACTGTGGAAAAGTTAAACAGAGCGAAATATCAGTGTCCTTTTGAAGTGAATTTGTCTGCACTCTACAACACTTTGATGGTGTTTATTTGTTAACTATTCGTTATACTTCTGTTTGCTATTTGCTTGGCAAATTTACCGTTGCCAGGAGGATTTCCTTTCGTATAAAATTGAGAGAATTGTAATGGCAAAACTTGTAATAAAATTGTCACTATCATTTCAACCTTTTAACACTCGCCAAATCAGCTTCAACATAACTTTCCACGTCTAAAATGTAATGCAAGAACTAATCTCGTGTCGCACTTTTATCAATCCATGGCGAGATTAGAGGTTTTCGATAGCAACTGGCTGTGGTCGTGACCGGGATTTGTGCTGAAGACAATGCAAATGGCAAAATATCTGTAATTTCCTTACGTAACCCTTCGTGAAGTTGAGTCCCAAGGCATAATTGTGGCGAGGGAATTTCCACGCGCTGTAGGAAATTGTGAGATGTGCCAGTGCGAGAGTGAAGTAGCGAATTATATTTTCTCAATTCTCGCCCGTGTTTGTCAACCTTGGAGACGATATTGAATTGGTGTGCTTTTTGCCTAATGCTGCGTGTATATACATCAGCAAGTGAGCTGAGGCTGTATTGTGTGGGGAGAACGTGTGAAAATTTTCACAAGCAATACGGTGGAGCCATTCATGTTCCCGCAGCTCCAATACAATTGTGCCAATTGTGTTTATTTTCAAACACGTACAACTCAATGAATTGGACAATTTTGCTAAATTCCCTCGCAACAAATCGCGCGCGCCTTGCGAACTCCTTTTTCTCTGTCGCTTGTCGCTCATTTGCGTCTTAATCGTCTGGTTTTTTCTGTTCGTCTGTCTGGATTTCGGGCGGATTTTATTCGACAGATTTCGAAGGGAGAGGAAAAAAGAGGTCACATAAGTGTTGTCTATATATCTATGAGGTGGAAATGTGGTTTTTTTAACATGAAAGCTATCTTATCGAAATATGCTGTAGGGAAATCTTTATTGCACGTGATTATAATTTTTATTCGCCATGGTCTGAAAGTGTGTGACATTGCGAGAGAAGAATGCAAATAATATGACACACAGAGAGAATCAAATTGACACAGTATCGTGTTGAGATTGATATCACGCATTTGCTGCGCTGTTCTCAACACTCACCTGTACAGTAATTTTTGCTAAATTTTCCTCACATCATTTGATTCAGTGGGTTTTATCTGCTTGTGTGTGAGTCTCTGTGGGTATTTGTGTACGGTTGATTTCGTTGGGTGTTCTTGGGTTGTCTTTTTTATAGAGCACAAAAGTATCTCGCGACGTTTATTAATAATAATAAAATGTGAGTTAGACCCATTAAAGCTGAAAATAATTTATAGAAATTAATTTAGAGGAGGATCTTGAGATATTTTAACTCATACAGTCCATGGTGTGAAGAGTTTGAAAATTAAATGATTTGATCTAGAAGAAGTCGGTCTTGCTATTGCAGAAAATTTGCTTCTTCTCATTTGCTATCTTCTATCTCCTCGCCAATTGTTTGTTTGATTGCCATTCAATAAATAAATAATAGATAGATTCTCTCAGCATTCCTTCACACCTCAGCATGAATCATTTTGTACATACGAAAGCACCTACTGAATTTATCGTTTATTTTCAATTTTCTCTCACATTTCATTTATGGAAATATGTTTTTTTTTTCTCTCCTTCGCAATTTGTCGAGGAAAACTGTTAACAGATTCTCATTGTGTGATTTATCTCCATTTTGCCATTAATAATTCATTAATTGGCAGTGCGAGGGGGGAAAAATGTCATAGAATCTGAGCTTTTTGCATTTCTTAGGCTGGTCTAGGCAACAAGCACGTGACGATGATGTAGGAAGAAATCCGCCCAAATGCGACGAGGCATATTTTATGTTTGCTGGATAAATAGTGAGCACGAAGGTGGGAGGAAAATGAGGACAAATGAGATGAAAGAGTTTCCGACTTCTTCACCCACATCCGCAACCAGAAATGATTGAGGTGTCGGTGTGTGTGTGTGTGTGTGTGTTTGTGTGGCGTAATTGAAATTCCTGGGCTTCCACATTGAAGCCCAATTCCGGACGAAGGAATTTTTCCTTTCGCCACATCCTCACTGGGCCGTAATTGACCAACATTTGTCACGCTGACACGTTTGACTTTCAATTTGGCTCCTCTGGGAATTTTCCCATTTTTCATCACATCCACCAAGTTGAATTCTTTTCCCACTGAGTGTCAATTAAATATCTCTGAAAATTGATGCTGAATACAGGAAATATTGCTCACTTCCTGTGAGCTGAGCAGTTGGAGAGGAAGGGAGTGTGTAAATTGGGTGGTAAAATTAGTGTAACGATCAATGGCTATTGATTTAATAATTTTATGGGTTTTATGGCTTCTACAAAATAGACCACTTAACATGATTAATGAGAGACTTAGGAGAGGTTTTATAGCAAAAACGCGTCTAGGCGATTTGCTGGAGGAGTAATTTCGAGAAGCAATCGATTTTCTTTCTTATTCTAAATTATGCACAGGGTGTGTCGTAACGAAGGTAAACTCTATGTAAATTTGGTATTCTGAGAAATTCACTGGGTAAATATGATTTAATAGAGTGTCTAATGGTAACTTCCAATTGGTAATTGATGGCTTTGAGGCAAGAATGTGAAAATACATAATTAATAATTATTTGTCTCACAAGAATGAAGTTTTGATCTTAACTTGTTGGCCCGGAAGAGACATTGCAGACAATTCGGCTCTATTTGTGCTATTTTGAGACATTTAACCCTTTTTTGTGGGCCAAACCATGTTTGTAATCACTAATTAAACTATTACCATTCGATTTCGACTATTTCCAATCGAAAACCGTGCTGAAAAGCTTCAATCCAAAATTCAGTTAAAGAGTTCGCGTAAAAACATCCCTGGTCTGAAGTGATTAGACCAGGAAGTCTAATTGGGAGTTTAGAAATCCATATCATCGAATTGGTTCTGTAATTAGAATTTCGAATATTAGAATTTTGAGAAGTTGTAAAAAAAAGTGTCAGAATCCCTATTTCTTGAAATTTCATTCGTCTGACTTGACCTCATTAAATTGTTAGCACTCTTGTATATTTTGAATTGATACAAGCATTTTGAATCAAGATATTTGTTTATTATGTTTCTGGCCTTGGCTTACTAAATTCTACCTTTTTATGCAACTGAAACACCCTCCATTTCCAAATGGCATCGCTATTAAAGACTGATAGGCTGTGAATTTCTCTTGCTATATACACATACATTGTGTGCGAAGCTTTGTGATAAAAATTTAATTGGTTATTGAATCTGCAATAGCAAAATTACACATTTGCATGAAAAAACATCTCAAATTAAATATTTACCTTTTCGCGCTTCCCCTTCTTTCACATGCTATTGATTTTTTTTCCGTGAACTTCATGTGGAGCTTCAAAAATCATTCGATACATTTTTCCGTTTATAATGTTTACGTGCCGCTGAAGTTCTCGCAATCAAATGTAAAATGTGGCTCCTCTCCTTACACACCACATCCGGTGGGAGTGTTTGAGAGACTCCGTGTGAGCCGGAATATCGCAGCTGATCTGCAGCACGTGCCCGCTTGTGACGGGGAATCCCCTGGGGTGGTGTTCTCCCGGCTTCTGTGTCAACTGCTCGCCACTTCTGTGTGGCGCACTCACTTCCTACTGACCACTCTCTGGAGCCGCGATGTCGGAAAGTGAGCAAGGTCAGGTGGTTTTTTTCTCACTGCCCCATTCACTCTCGTACATGTTGGGTTGCGTAATTGCTGAACATCTAATAAACTGCGTGTGAACTTGCCACTCGTTTCTTCTCGATGGCAATCTTTTTTGGTGTATTTTCAACTGTTTCGCAAGAGGTTTTCGTTGTACTTTTGGACGTGAAAATTTATATTGTAAATTTTGAGGCATGCACTAAGTGGAATTTGATGCTCTTATGGAAATTCTTTCAACGCACAAACACACACACAGAGATTCGTGCATTTTTTATGTGAAAATCTCGTTTGACGGCATTTTATCCATTCCAGCTCGGCTGTAAAATTCAAAATAATACACCCATAGAGGTTATATTCAATCTGAAGTTTCATAAATTCTCAACTTACATCCATAGTGATGTTTTCCGATGGAAATAACATACGGGTTTTCCTGCTTGATAACAAATGTGTGAATTTTATCGTCACAAAAGTGTTTTGTTAACACTTCTCCTCTGTCTCGTGGTGGTGGAAATTATTCATTAGGAGTTGTTTGGATATGGATGGAAAGTTAATGCAATTAATTATTATGATTATTATGGTGTCTGGGTGGCACCCGTGACGTTTTAATTAAGTCATGCAGTCGAATTAACACTGTTCGACGGAATAATTCGACCGGACGGTGTTTGTTGTTGGTGTGTGCCATCAGGCCGTGCAACAGAGTGTAATTTTCGATTGCATTTTTGGCGACATTTTGACTGGGAAATTGCACTGATTTCTGCTGCTACAAAATCTAGCCATTATGCAGTGGATGGTTCATTGATAATTCAATTCTGACCTCAATTGTTTGTTTCGCTGTGAATCACATGTGTTCACATTTGATATGAGTGATTGTGTACTAGTCGATACATGATATTGTTACTCATTCATTGAATGAATGCATTAAATGGACGGCGTTGGGAGAAGCGCTTTGTGGGGGAAATTATGATGCTTCATAAAGTGCTAAGCGGGGGTATTTCAAGGGTGGTTATCCAAATTTTCATCGCTTTATCATAAAAAAAAATCCTTTATGATACACTCAATGCGGCTTTAAGTGTTGGAGTTGCTGAAAGAAGTCACAGCTTTTGTAAGTGGTTGAAATATTCAATGAAAAATCTATAAAATGTAAATAATCACTAAGTTCAAAATAATTAAAAATTATAGTTTTTATGGTTTTGTCTCCATATTCATTGTAATAGCAAGTTCACATTTAGGTACACAAGAGCTACATTTGACAGAATTTGGTATCTTGATATTTTTATCTTAATGATAGGAAGCTTAGCTAACTCTAACCTAATCCTTGAAGAAGGATTTACCGTACGTTCCACTCTTTCGGGTGCCTCAAGTCGTGAGGACTGAGATTTATGTCAGGCCAGAGGTTCTTGCGGAGAAGGAGGAAGAATATCTGGCCGAAAAGGGTGTGAGGATTATGATAATGGAGTTATTTTGAGGGGTGAAAAGAAGTTCTTTTGGTGGAGAGCCTTGAATGGCACTGCGGATGGGTCAGGGCGGGCTGTTGAATGAGTCAAAAGGGTTTTTGGATTTGCTGGGGTTACATCATGCTGTCGTCAATGAGTCACACGAGCTCGCAACCCCATATGATTCGCATTGGCCAAAGAGACCGAGAGATTAACAGGTTAAAGTGTCTATTGGACCATTTTCCACACTGTTGAATAATTCCTCTTCTATACACCCTTCTGATGGTATCTCTTGAGTGGGTGGTCTGGGATTTTCCGGACTTTCCACTGTCCCCCTGAATGGCGAGTGGGAAATTTCCTAATTTCCTCATCATTATTATTTTCGTAAACCACTCTAAAATCAATATTAATCAATACACACACTCTGTCACTCTGCCACCCTTGCAGATTTAGGTCACAATGCTTCACGAGCGCGTTGCAGAGTTTCTCTTGTTTATGTAATTGGATTTTTATTGTGCACCCCCGTCACTTTGCATTATGATGTGGACATTGAAAGCGCCACATTGTTTTTCTCGGTCACAATCAAGAGGTTTGTTCTCGATATGGGATTCCATGGAATTAATACTATTTGACACATTATAGTGTGGCATCGTAAGCATCCTTCGAACAGGGTGGACTATTTTTTCTTATCCATCACACCGGAAGGAATGCGGAGTGAAAAGGTGGGCGGGAAATAGAGACTAAAAATAAAAGTGAGAGTCTGTTGGAAAGTTCTCGCTGTCTGGCTGTCTGACTTTGCCTTATCTCGTGGCTGAAGATTGTGGGTTTTTGTTGAAGAGATACTATCGTGACTCTTGTCTGAGTTCTTGTGGCTGTGTCGTAAAATGTTTTAAATATGCAGCAAAATGTGGCATATTAAAGTTTTGCAGAATGTTGAAGTGTTTTAAGTGAAACTTGTGCGTGTAGTATTTCAGCCAAGATTTATGCTTATATTATATAAATTTTACTGATACTTAGGACTTGAGAGTGCTCTTAAAATAACCTCAATCTATTTGGGAATGTTTGCAGAAATTGGCCTTTTATTCAATGTGGTTTTTTTTGTTGAATCTCTTCTTCTTGAGCCTCTTGGATTTTAGTCTGAAACCTTAGGAAGCGTTCCAGCATAGAGTTTACCATTTTATCTGCGGAAAAGTGGCACAGAACTTCTCAATGAACCTTCCTTCTCGCAACTCACTTGCTCAATCTGATACACTTTCCCGCACTCGAGTGGGTTTATGTGTTGTGCTAAAATGAGAATCCTCGGGGGAATTCAATTCACTATCAATGTCAGTATGTGATCATTGTCTAACATTCAATTGAATGGCTAATTTGGGACGCATCGTGGCCAGTGGAGTTGACAGAGCGCCTCTCTCCCCCGAAGTGTGTGTGTGCGGCTGACGACGGGCTGTGGGGAGTGAAATGGGCAACAAATGAGGAGGAAGAAAAAAAAAGGTGAAAAGGGAGAGAAGGTGAATGATGGCGACAGCGCGATTGATGGGTAAAAATAGCCCTCTCGATAGAAAGCCGGGTGTTCTCTCGCTGGGTATTAGCAATTACACAGACGACATGGCTAGAATCCGGAGGCAGAGTCACACTGTGCGATTGTCAGTGAGATTCACCGTCTTGCCGCCCCTCGGCTTCCCCTGGCGAGAGGAGAGGTTGGCATATTGGGACTCTCGAGTGAAATTTTACACAGAATTTAATGAATCTAATTTGGGCGAGGTCGAGAGAGTGTTGCGTCACACACTAATGCGATATTATTCAATAATTGGATTACCTTATCCTCATAATATACACTCTTGCTGTTGGGCTATAAGAAGGTGTCCTTAAAGATTTGCCTTGTGTTGTGCTCTTTGCAGCGGAGAATGTCGACGACAGGCTAAAGCCACCAAAGCGAGGCTTCTTCCAGGCGATATTCTGCTGTTGGCGACGAGCGCGGACGAAAAGCAACCAAAATGGGACGCCGGTGGATGGATCAATTACGCCACCGCCACTTCAGGGACCGCAGAAGTATTTGCTGCCACCGGTTCGGCATTCGGATATGCACAAGAAGTGCATGGTTATAGATTTAGATGAGACCCTAGTGCATAGCAGTTTTAAGGTGAGTCACTGCATGATCATAGCGACGTAATCAATTTCTTAGTTTACATTCTGTGTGTGTGTGAGGCAAGAGAGATATTTGGCAGATGAATTTGTCTGGTCAAGACAGAGAGTGTGTGTGTCTTATCGGTCAAGCGGAGAGGCTATCATTGGGGAGGATCGAACGTCATTTCCTCAGAAAATAGACAGTGTTCTATAGGGAAATAAAGTATGGTAAACACGTATGATGGGAAGAATGGAAGCACAAAGGCAAAAGGGAGATTTTCAGTGGAGGAAACAGCAGAGAATTTATCAGAAACTGATAGCAATTTTTGCTTGTTTTCCATTAAAATTTATATATGAAATAATCATTGGAAAATATTCTCAAATCACTTTTCTGTAGACATGAAGAACTGTCTGTCTATTACATTTCAGACATGTGTTATTTATATTTTCGTTAGTGTAATTAAATAAGCAACAATTCTATAATTCATTTTGCATACTCAAGACGAGTCATTAGATATTCTGTTCTACTTTCTTGAGTTCCATCTTCTTGGGCATTTATTTTTTAAAGTTACGCTAATTTCTTTGAGAATTCGCGACAAAGTTCAAAAGAGAGACATTTTTTCAGTGTTTATTTGGTTAAGAAAGTGTCTCGGCGTCTCACAATGATTAGCATGTTTGATGGAGAGAATTATGATTGTTGTCAAAAATGATATTCATGCGAATTTGTGTTGGGTGGCAATTTCTCGAGTGGCTGATCTTGAGCAAATGACATGATTTCAAATTTCTCAAGGAGCTAAGAAGTTGATTGTTGCGATAAATCCGCTTAAGCGAATTAAAAGCCATTGTGTGGCGGATTGTGACGAAAAAATTAGGACTTGTGTGACGCATTGAAGAAATCTATCATTATCTTATCACATGTGCCAACGGCAGCACACAAAGTGATTTCAATTGTTGGCGGCGTTTTGCGGTGATGGAAAATTCAGGGGCAACTGTTGCCTGTGAGCGGAATATGAGATCACATTGAGGGGTGGGTGGGTTTTGTGCTCTCTTGGTAATTCTGCGCTAGGAGATGATGATTCAGTCCACTGAACTTGTTTCTTGGCGTGTCTCTTCATCGCTCGCTTGTTTATCTCTCTCTCTCTCTCTCTCTCTCCCTCTCTCGGTGGGCTGAATTATGTTGCACAGAGAGAAAAAGAAGAAGAAGAAGGGAAATGGGCAATTGAGGAGACAGTGAGATTGTCTATTTGGAGGGCAAATCGTGCGTCAATAGCTTAATTAAATGCGATTCTCGATGTTAATTTATGGTGAAGAAGAGTGTCTTTGACTGAAGAGTCTTCGACACTGCAAAGAGAGTGTGTGGATATGTAATTGAAGAGAATCGATTTAGGAGTGGAGAATGAGTGAAATGAAATTCACTCTGCAATCGTGTGTGTCTCTCGAGTCACATACGCCGGAAGTCCAAAATGCATGAGGTGTGAGCCGGTCGTGTGACCAAAAGCGGGAAGGCGTGTGTGAAGTGTGGGGAGTGATGCGGGGAAAGGGGCGAGATTGTGACGAATGTGGTGATAAAAGTCTTTCTCTCTTCACAGCCTATCCCAAATGCAGACTTCATTGTACCAGTGGAAATCGACGGGACTGTCCATCAGGTGTACGTCCTCAAGAGGCCGCATGTTGATGAGTTCCTGAAGAAAATGGGTGAACTCTACGAGTGTGTCCTGTTCACAGCTTCACTGGCAAAATATGCCGATCCCGTGGCGGATTTGCTGGACAAGTGAGTTGATCCAATGCACATGAATTGCTTCTGATAAGCTATAAGAGGGTTAAATGCTTGCTTATAATGCTGAAAACACTCATGTTGGTGACTTTGCAAATGTCTCAATTAGAGATCTATTCAGTGGCAATTTTAAGGCCCGAAAGAGGCGAGACAGAAGGATAAATCTTCGAGAAAATGTTGCTGCATTTGAAATGCAAATCAAATTTGATGAACTTTCTCATCAGAATGTGATGACTCTTTTTATTTGGGGTGAAGAAACTTTTGTACAGTTGAAGTATACTTACTCTCTTTTCATTCTCCTTTTTGCAGATGGAACGTCTTTCGGGCGAGACTCTTTCGGGAATCATGCGTCTACCATCGAGGCAATTATGTAAAAGACTTGAACAAGTTGGGGAGAGATTTGCAAAAGATTGTCATTGTGGATAATTCACCTGCGAGTTATATCTTCCATCCGGACAATGCGGTAAAGCTCTTTTCTCCTTTTTTTGCGAGCGCTTCTGCGCTGACTTGAGAGATTTATAAATTGGTCTCTTTGGCTGCTTTCTTTGTAGGTGCCAGTAAAGTCCTGGTTTGACGACGTCACGGACTCTGAGCTGCTCGATTTGATACCGCTGTTTGAGAAATTGAGCAAAGTGGAGTCAGTGTATAGTGTATTGTGCAATTCGAATCAGCCAACGCTGGAAACAGGCAGTCCGCCCAGCACAAATGACGTGAACAACACGTAACAGTGGGAATACTATTTTATAAATATTTAAGGGTGGGCAGAAAATACACGAAGGGCGCGCGCGTGAGATGATCAAGGAACATTATATATATATGAAAAACTATATATAGAAATTGTGTAAGGATGAAAATTTATAAAGTGGAAAACCTCTAGGCAGATGTTAGACATGTATCCTCGTCGGTATCCTTCTCTGTCCCTTTTTTTTAATTTGAGATACAAATATTTTAATTTCTTACGATAAATGCAGGAGGAAAAAAATTAGTCTGTAGTGCTATTTTGTTGTAATATTTGGAAGAAGTGAAAAAAGGGGAGAAAAATCAAAGGGAAAATCTTGAAAGATTTTTATTATTTCTGCATGTGAAGAACACAATTTGTAAGAAAAGACGTGTGAATGTTGTGTAAAAAGCATGTAAGTCAAAAAAGAAGGGTTTTTTTGGATTCACTGATGAATGTTCTTCTTTCTGTTTTGTTCTTCTCTTTGGCAAGATGAAAGACTGTATGTGAATGATGTTTAATATAATTATGTAATTTTTTTTTTAAAGTGTGCGAATGATTTTTTTTTAAATTTTATCTTATCTGTTAAGCTTGTAAAAAATAGAAGAAATAACCAGTAAACACACCAATTTTAGTTACATTTTGAGAGTGTCGTTTCATGAATTCATTTGGCAATCACTGCACGCCGTAATGATGTACTTGTTGAAACTCTCAACTATAGGCAGAGCAGTATTACTTATCTATTGAGCCACCCAATAAATATTAACACTATTTTACTTCACGAGGAACTATTTAACAAGCAACATGCATAAGAAGCATCACATTGAACGAAATAGTGTATAGAGAAAAATCATGGGAGAAAACAAATATCCTTTTTAAAAAGAAAAACGAACACAAAGTTAATCATGAGCAAAATGGACCACAAAATAGAAAAAAAACGAGAATCAGAGAGAAAAATAGTTCTGAGAAGCAAAAGAGACAAAGGGAAAAAATCACCTGTAAATTGACAAAGAAATCACTTTTAAATAAATTGAACTGAATTTGTATTTTTATACAATTTGAAAATAAAAAAAATAAAGAGGGAAGAAATGAAACACACTTTAGTGGACAACAAAAAAAAAACAATTAGTTATAGGCATACATTTGATATAGAGAGTGAGAAAAAAGTGAGTGTAAATGTCCTTTTTGTGCCAATTTAAATGCCTTGGAATTGGTGTGCGTGAGGAAACGAGAGGAGAAAGAAAAATTGAAGTTTTGCTCAGTAGAATTGTAGGTTTTTGGGTTTGGTTGTTTTTTCTCTCTCACACAATTGAAAGTAGAAAAAAGGGAGAAAAGCAGAGGAGAAAACACCCCGTCCTCACTGTTAACCCTTTCCTTTTGACCCACACAACAGTCAATTGAGGATGAATTTTTGGTTTTTGCGTTTTGATTTCAAAAAAGAAAAAAAACAGCGATGGAGAGAATTTTCATGTCCATCGTGTGTGTGCGAAAGGGTTGAATTTATTTTGGCACTGGAGGAATTTTCAGCATCAATAGAAGGTGTTTTCAGATGGTTTGACAGCTGTCAATATGCAAGTGATTTGCTGTCAAGCACAATTGTCATTTTCATATTGAAAATGACTGTTAATCGATAATCTTAAAGTACTAAAAAAAAAGAAATCAATAGAGGAAGAGCAAAAAACCGCCAACATTTCGTCACTTTTCAATCACATCCAGTCAACGTCTATGAAGATTTCTCCAGTGTTTGTGATGGACATGAAACTGTTTCTCTCACTGTATTTTACACATTTATGAGATATCTGTAAGATTAAGTAATGTAATTTATATAGTAATATATATACATATATATATTTCGTATAATTAATTCTATCTAAGGTCCATTTATTGAGTGGTCTGAGCGAAGGAGAAGAGAAAATGAAAGGCAGGAAGTGGGTGGGCTTGAGTTGATCAATTTTTTTTAGAATTTTGTAAATAGGCAGACAAGAGAAAATAGTGGAAAAATGACATGAAAATTGTGAGCAAATAGCCAAGATTATAGTGCGCTTCTTATAAACTTGATTGGGATACAAAAAGAGAAGTAATAATAATTGATGCAAGTTAATTTATATCACACAAGCAATATTGTATTTGTTGAGATGATGATATGAAATTATTTATTGTTAATTTGTAAAAGCAGGTGCGAAAGGAGATGGAGAAAAAACTGTTGTGACGCCACACTCTCAGCATACATTCAAATATGTCACTGTGCATCAGATTCAATTCAGCATTAAGGAAGAGGTGCAATTTTGTTATCACAAAGTTTTATTGCAAATATTTCTCATTGTGGAAAGTGTGACAACCAAAGAGGACTCTTGGAGGGATTGCTTTTACAAAGGATTTCCTTACTTTGATTGAGGGAATTGTTCATGGGATGGAGAAAAGAGGGAATTCTTTTGTGCGCACCAGACAAATTTCCAGACAAGACGAATTGCAGAACAAAAAGAAAGCACGAGCGAAAGCTCACTGAGAGAGTGGGTGGTTAAAAGTGGGTGGACACGAGCATGAGAGACACACTAATGGCATTTTTTCTTAGAGAAAGAGAGGGAGAGAGAGAGAGAGGAGCAACAGGAAATGCTGTGATGGCAAAGAGAGATCACATATTGTGAATTCCATCAACTTCACAACGCGAACAACAGTGTAGAATTTAACAGAGTTTTTTCGTCTTAATTTATTTACTGTGTATCAATTAGGAGTGCGAAAGAGGACGGTAAAATATATTATATATATATATATATAGAATTATATACTGTGGAAACGTAATATCAAAAAAGTGAGTGGAAGAGAAGGAAAAAAACAACAAAATCAACATAATCACACTCTTATATCGCCTTTTCTATTGTAAATACATTATTATTATTATTATACTTCAGGATGAAACCAGAATAAAAAGAAAGGAAATGTCTATTTAATAACTTGATTCTTTTGATATATTCTTCAACATTCTTTTTCTCTCTCAGAGAAAATAACTTTTTGTCTTTACAATCATCAATCAACAGTTGTCGTTAGTTTTGGTAGAACTTGTCGCTGAGGATGTGCTGATAGGCCGCCTTGAGCGTGGTGATGCAGTAGCCAGTGTAGCCCAGCATCAGCGCCTCGAAGTCCCCGCCCAGGAGATCCTCGAGGAGCGCTAGTTCGGCGCCCAAGTGTTGAATGTTGGCGCGCAGCACAAGTAATAGCACCAGCGGAATTGTGTTGTCAGCATTGAGGGTCAGACTGGCGCCCACTGATTCCGTCTTGGCGTCCTCCAGCAGCTGGAATGTCTTCTCGATGAGACTCACCATCTCCAGTGGACAGTACTTGTCCTTCACCTGCTTCAGACACCCGATTGCGTCCTCGAAGTAACTGCTCTTCACCAGTGGCATCAAATCCCTGCAGAAGAGTGAGAAATATAAGTAAACATTCATATGCGTGCAATTTGCAGTCTGATTCGAAGGAAACAACTTTAGATAAATTAATTTTGGGCGTTTTGGTCTAAAAATGCACTCAATGATTTATGTTTTTCCTACATTTTACAAGTTAGTGAAACACTAATTGAAATATAGCATTAATAATGCCATTTTTTCACTTAAAGTTAAACATACAAATAAATTGTTGCGAATTGCATGAACAACCGTATTTGGCAAATTGACGATTTATATGCATTGGCGTGAACGCAATTCATCACTAAATGCACTGTAATAGGCAACAAACTTTTCATGGCACTTTTCCCATCACTCGAAAGCTCTTCTCTCGCCTTCTTGAGTCAAAAGAGTGTGAGTGGAGGAGAACTTTTCAATTAATTAGAGTACCTCTTTTGCCATCTTTTGCCCTTTTCCCGCCTGTCTTATTAGGAATTCTACTCACGTGTCAACGCGCAAGAAGAGCGCCAACTCCTGATCCGTTTTCCTGTCGCAGCCAATCATCCGCTGGCGATACATCTCGTCACGGTGGCTGCACTTGCTGGCGTACAGGACGAACAGGAGGGAGTAGATGCCCTCGGACAGCAGAATGGGGTACAGAAGGCTCCTGAAGGACGCCCCTGAGTCCGGCAGTGCGGGAAACATGCGGCAAATGACCGAGTGAATCCTGCGACAGATGGACTCCCACTCTTGCATGGCATGACGGTGCAGAATGGCCGTGGGCTTGAACTTCCAGCAGCCGTACGAGGAGTAGAAGCAGTGCGATATCTTGGAATTCAGCACACCCAGCGGATGATTGAGGTCCTTGAAGGCCTCCTTCAGGTACTCCGTGACCGCTGGCAAGTCATCCGGGTCGCACTTGGTGATGCCAAAGTTGGGAATGTACTCCAGAGTGGGATTCTTGCTCCTCACCGACGACGATCGACTGACACAGTCTAGCGCCTCGAATTTCTCCTCCAGCTTCTGACTGAAGGCGCCCAAATCCATGATTGTGGAGTTTCCCACGGGCTTTCCCATTGTCAGCGGATGAAAGACATCCCCGAGATCCAGTGGACCCTTCTTGGACGATCCAGTGCCACTCCTGATGGACAGCCTGTCCAAACTCCCACTCAGGTCAGTCTTGTGGTAGAAGCAGATGTTCTTCGAGGCGAATCCCTCAGACTTCAGCTTATCCTTCGCCTTGGCATTCGTAATGAAGATGGCAATCTTACTCCAGATCTGCTTGTTGTCCAAATTCTTACCACTGCCGAGCAATTGCGCCTCCCAATCATCAAACAGACTCCGCCACTTCTTCTCATTCTCCACCGTGTACTTTCCCAGGAGTTTTGAGTACTTCCTGAATATCTGATGCATCGCCAGAGTGCCGTTACTGATTTTCACGTCTGCCCAAGTGCCTGAGAGACTTCCTGCCAGGACAGATCCTTCGATTTCTCTCAAATCCCCATCAGAATCGATCCGGCAATCGCTATTCTTGCGCTCGCTCACGCCAACGAAGAAACTCCCTCGGCCATTTGGTCCGAACAGTGTCATTTCTCCCTCGTAGTAGGAGTTATTCTCGAAGCTGGCCACTCCTTCTCCCGCCAGCGCGTCATTGATGAAGCTCCCCTCGAAGTAATCTCCGCACATGGTCACGCACACTCCCAATCCTGCTCGCTTTCCATCCACAAACATCCCCATGTATTTGTCACCGGACATATTGTCGTCCAGCACTCCGTATCCGTGCTTGGATCCGCCACTGAATTCTCCCACGTACGTGAACTGGTCCGTGATGAGTGTCCCATGGCCATGGTACACGCCATCTCGGAAGTTTCCCTCGTAGGTGGCCTTGTTTTGGTGTTCCAACACGCCATACCCACAGTACTTTCCATGCTCAAAGTCACCCTCATAAATGCCCACACTGGGCGTGAACATTCGCCCGTAGCCGTGGATCTCGCCAGCACTCATCTGACCGTTGAACACCCTTCCGTCCGCCATCTCCAGATGGCCAATGCCATGCATGCTGCCCACATACCAGCGCCCGAAATACTTTGCCCCCGGAAATCTCGGGTGCTTCTCGCTGAAAGTGTAGCTGGCATTGCGATACTGCGGCACCTTCGACTTGGGCACCCTTCCAAGGCAATTCCTGATGCCACTCTCAATCCCATCCAGCCACATGAGCTTGTTCTCGTGATTCTGCGCACACAGAATGAGCGTCTCCTCCGGCGTGACGATTTTCAGGGCGAATTTCCGAGTCTCTCCGTCAGCAATCGACGCGATCCACAGAGTCTTCAGGGGATAAACATTCAGATGGCCAGACATCGAGCAGAGCGAGTCAGAGAAGAGAATGAACCACTGATTGGAGAATCTCGCCGTCTGACTTCTCTTCAAGCTCAACTCCTTCGAATCCAGGATGAGCCGCCGATCGGGCGATTGGAGCTTCGCAAGGGCAGACTTTTGATTCACCTCCCAGAATCTGAGACTCCTCTCCGCCTCTTCAATGGCCAGATCCTTCTCGTTGGAGAACTTCTCCCACATGGCGCGTCGCTCATCCAACAGTTCGCGATTCGCCTCCACAGGCTCCAAAGCCACCAAGTCGTAGATCATATCTATAAAGGCCCAAATCCTCCGGAAGGGTCTGTGAAAGTGGAACGAATTGATCATTAATCTTAATCTACAGAGATCCAGGGAATTGTGACATTACCTGAAGAATATCTTGTGGATGTCTTTCGATGACTTCTCCGTCAGCATTTCAATAGTGGGAAATCCCCTGATGCACATCACATCGCAGAAGCGCTTCGTGTAGCTCCTGTACATCACAATCATCTCCTGGCAATTATTCAGCGCCACGATGTCTGTGCACGTGATCCTCCCGTGGCCAAACTCCAGCAAACTCCTCACATTCAGCGCCGCCACATGCACGATGCTAAGGTAGTTCTGGCACAGGCCATCGAAGATTTGGCTGTACGCGATGTTGCTGATACGCTTCAGGAAGGGCTTCAGCAGACAATTGTAGGCCACCAGCGAGTCCTGTAGGAACTTCTGCTCCGCCGTGAGGTGTTTCGCAATCGCCCCGAAGACCATATGATTGAATAGTGTGAAACTGCCAGACGCCAGCACAGGTTCCACCGAACCTGGCGGCGGATCGCTGTCCACAATGTCTCTGGCCGTGGGCGTGAACGGAGACACACCACACGTCTTGTTGTCCTCCTGATGATCACTCTGCTCATGCACTGTCAAGTCATTCATCACCACGGACGAGTGTTGACTGCCACAAGCCGCCGCCAACACATTACAGTCGCTGAGCAATTGAAACCGTCTTGGGAAACTGAAGTCCTCAACGTCTTCCCGCGATATTTGCTTGTGCAGATTGTTTCCCCAGAGATACAGCCTTCCGTCAAGAGTGAGCGCCAAGCTGTGCTCCTTCCCACTGTCAATTCGCACTACTCCCTGGCCGCCGAGTCCCAGCACAGCATTAATTCGGGCTCTCTTGATGTGATCACCTGTGCCCAATTGTCCGCGGTTGATGCTGCCGAAGCACCAGACTTCTGTGGCCAGAAGCGCTCCGCCCAGTCGCGCCAATTTGGCCACTCTGCCCTCAGTGCCAGACTCTGAGTGCAGATCCACAGTGCTGCCCAAGTCGATGCTGGATGTCTCGGAGACGCTCGTCTCGCCATTCACTAGGGCTCCAGCTGTGGGATTCGTCTCCTCGACGACCGTGTCGTTGTTGTCCGAGCCGCTCATGTGCCTGGAGAGCGTTCGCACGCCCTCGTACACCATCGTTGTGATATTTGTGACGTTCTCCTTGAGTAACTTCGTTTGTTTGCCCGCCTCAATGAGGTAATCCTCACTGGACAGCGACAGATCCAGCAGGAAGTTGATGGCGGCGTCTTTGTGGATCTTCAAATGAGCCACTGAGCTCTTGTGTGTCTCCTCAGCCACTCCCGACGACGCCAGATCATCAACTGCATCGAAAGTGTCTGAGAGGCAAGGACTGGAGGCCATTGAAGTCTCCGTGGTGCTCTTACTGATGCCACAACCCGCCTTTCCGTGCACCGTGAGATGGTGATTGATGTCCGGCACGCACTTGGGACAATCCACGCACAGGAAGCCCTCACTGGCATCGCTGGCTACACTCACATTGTCCTGTCCGCCGTGCTCCGTGTGCAGTCGCTTGTGAGTTAGCACCACGGCGAAGTTCTCGCCCGTGGACACTTGCAGGATCCTCAGGCCGCGGAAGCACTCCACCAGCACCGGAATGTCACAGTTGGCGATCTCCCCGAAGTCCCCCATCGCAAACAGTTCCCTGTTGCATGTGGTGAAGAGCACTCCGTCCTGATTGCAGTTCACAGCCACCACGCGGATGCTCTCATTCACATTGCGCATCCCATGCGGGCAGGTGCGCGGATTGGGAACAGGAATCTCGTGCCAGGTGAGCTCCTCCTTCTCAATTGCACTCCACTTGCTGCTCCACACAACGCCACTCGTGTCCACGATGAAGATCTCACTGCCATCACTGTCCACATCCACGACATTCGCCTTCACGAGTCTCACGCTGAGGCGGCTGTTGTCCTCCAGATCCCCACACAGCAGCTCCAGCTTAGACGTGAGCACACACACGCGATTCTTCACCGCGCACAGCCGCAGGGCGTACTCCCTTCCGCTGCCGTACTCCACCCTCACGGGCGTGCCCCCATCGTGAAGCGTGAAGAACATTGTGCTCAGGAATGCTGGCGAGGAGAAAAGAAAGAGCGTGTGATGAGGGCTGCATGACTCATTCGGAAGTAACCTACAGTTTGAGCTGACACCATTATTCGGCTATATCACACTTGCATGATGTACTCCACAGTAATTTATATGCAAATACAGTCGGATCAGGTGCTAATTTAGGGTATTTTCTCTGGATTTCTCTAATTTTCCTCCTCTATTTTGCTCTGCTCACTGACACTTCCTCTTAGCGGAGACACACTGCTAGAATTTCCCCACCCTGACCAGGCATTTAAATCGTCACGCAGATGCGTTGAGAAAAACACTCATTTCCCGAGAATAAATACTTGTCATCTGATAAAACAGCCAATAAACATAAGATTATGAAGCATCATAGCAAAATAGATTATTCAGTACATCAACTAAATGTGATAAGAATCTCTAATTACGGTCAGAAAATCGTGAATTTTGATCAAAAGGGCGCCAGAAGTGGTAGTCCAGGTGCAAATGTCCCATTGCGACTGCAAGAATGCGGTTCGAATAGTGAAGGGAAATCAAACGGATTTCCAGAGAAAAATATTAAAATATGAGTAAGATGCTAAAGATGCTTTTCTCAAGGAAATTATGGTGCATTTCACATACTGTGAGGACCTATTATCCTTAATAATTTGAGTCTCTTTATTAGCAGGAAAGATTCTATAAATAGAAGATTTTGAACACTTTGTAGCGTCTGAATGATTTCTAATTAATTGAAGAGCAATTGTGCATTTACCACACTGAGATATAATTCCGAATGGCGAAAGAGATAGATTATATAGGAAATTTTACGAAGGAATAACAATACTTCGAAGACGCTGAAGTTCCGCGACAAACAAACTTTTCATGCCTCGTGAAGCTCACGAGTTGATTCCAAGGAACTCTGTTTAGTGGCTAATTAGGCCTTATTAAATGGAAAACCTGTATTGCTGTGCTCACATTATAAAAGCGCCAAATTACGAACTTGTGGCTCAGAAACAGTTGGAATTTTCCAGTGGTGACACTAAAGAGACTCACCATGAAAGCCGCACTGTGTTTAGTCGCTCTCATTTCGGCTGCATACGCAATTCCTGTGCTCCAGGAAAAGGATGTGCCCAAGGAGACAGTAGTGAAGTTAAGTCCAGTTGAAGTGAGTGAACATTGAGGATTTATCGAGCGATTTCACTGCAAATTCATTCATTGGCAGGGAGTCGAGGATCACGCCGGCGAAGAGGGAGCTGACTTGCAACCTGCCCAGAACTTCTACGGTGGCTACGGAGGAGGCTATGGAGGTTGGGGTGGTTTTGGGGGAGGCGGCTGGGGTTGGAATGGTGGCTATGGAGGTGAGATTACACTGATTTTTCGTTACTCGAAACATTTCACACACTTTAGCGAGAATGCTGAGAATATTTTCCAGAAAGTGGAAAATTGAAGAGCTTTCCTTTATTCACAGGATATGGAGGATATGGCGGTTATAGACATGGCTGGGGAGGAGGTGACAGAAGTGTGAGCATTTCCATCTCCAACGAATACTAAGTCTTATGACCAGAACTAATTAGAACCTATTGACATCATCGCAAAAAGTGATTTCGCACACAAATTAGCGCTCCTTAAGAGTTCAATGTGCCGCTGCTACACATAAATGAGACAATCTGTGGTTATTCTTCTACAACGAAAAATCATCTTTTTTTTTGTATATTTCATATGCCAAACAGTATTGATGTAATAAAGTGAGGTAAACTCACCAAGAGTTCTTGTCTCTAAAATACCGCCGAAACCGAGCTGATTTCCGCCAGATCGCCATAGATCTCATCGATTCTCGTCCCAATCTTCTTCGCCAATTCCAACTTCTCATTCATTGGCAGCTGAATGAATGACCAGATCAGTTCTCCGTCCACCACACAGCGCGCCGGATTAGCTTGCATCTTCCTGGAGGTCTTGATGGTCCGGAAGACCTTCGGATTGAGGCCACATAGGTGGGCAGAGTGCACCATCAGGAGATTCTGCAGCATGAAGAGTCGCCGATAGGTCTTCTCCGGCAGTGGCAGACAGAAGCCCAGACCACCGTCCAGTGTCCCGAAGAAAGTGATGTGCTTGTGTTCGTAATTGGAGAGCAGGCGACGCTCGTCCTGGCGCTGCTGCTGCTGATCCTTTAAGTGACACTGCACTCTGAACATGGCATTGATGCGCTGTCCCAGATGATAGTCAGCTTTCCGCAGCAATCGTTGGCCACCAAAAGACTCCCTAGACTCGGGATGGTACATGTAGATTATGATATTGCCATCGGCATCGGTAACCAGGAAGGCCAGATTGTTATTGTCCACAACATACTCCGCACTGAACACTGTCTGCGCCTGGAAGTCACGCGAGACGAGCGACAGAGTGCGATACTCTTCCTGGAAGCGCAGAATGCTTATGGATTTGTACACATCCGCCACGAGGATCAGACTCTTGATGGACACCATCTCGTGCACGAAGATGTTGGTGTCTATGAAGGCCACACCCACGAGATCACTGTCCTTCAGCTGCCACAAGTAGATCTTCTGGCCCACGGCCGTCACCAGGAAGCCCAGCACGTGGGTAACTGCAGAAACTGGTCCCTTTTGCTCCTTCTGATACACTTCCTTGAAGCGATACCTCGTGAGGGGCTTTCCAGGCTCCGGCACCACCTCTATGATGTCATAAATAAGGATTCTTCCCCTGGAAGTGATGTCCTCGCTGTAATTGTAGTTTGTGCCCACGCAAATGTACTCTTTCAGACCTGAGCGCGTTCCTTCGCACAGGAGAGAGACATTCTTGAAGGCTGTCACGTGCTCCCAATCCTCGAGATCAATCTGGGCAGACGGAACAATCTCCCAAGTGGTCGGCGCCACCAGGACAACCGTGAACTTATCCACTGTGGGATAGATGAATCTCTCTCCCTTGTTCTCCTCCGTCAACTCCTTGTCCTCACCATTGAATCTGAAGTACTTCTGGCTGATGTCCGACGTGCTCGTGACCAGACAATAGATCTTCCTCTCGGTGTGATAGCAAATCTGCATTGGTGTGCACCTCAGTGGGATCTTCCTCAGCGGCCAGTCGGCATCGTAGGTTAAGTACTTGGGAAACACGGCGATCTTCAGTTCACTGCTGTCGTCGAAGTAGAGAAATCCATTGGGACAATTGACATTGTTGAAGGGAGCGAAGCTCTTAATGACACTGCTTCCGTACAAACGATGCGTCCTCATCTCACCTTTGGACGTCAACAGGATAAAGTAGGGATTCCGTCCGCACACTGTCACACCATTGTAGCCGAAGATGTTGCCAAAGTACCTCAATTGACTGACATGTCGCTGACTCTTGGACTCAGTCATCTGATATATGATATCGTGGTTGATCTTCCTGAAGCGAATCTTCAGATGACCCTTGGCATATCTGAACACACGATAGATCAACACATCCAGCTCCGTTCTGATCATCAACAGTGGACGACTTCCATAACTTCCCAGGCCTACAAGGAGAATCTCCTGCGCTGTGGCTTGACACTGTGGTCCAGACATGATCACATCCCCTTGAGACGGATCATCAGGATTGGTCATCAGCGGCACAAACTCCATGGCATCTGTCAGCACTTTGTTCCCATTCGCCACATTGTTCACCAAGTACGTGAGCTTCAGGTCAGGCATTGAGTAGATCTCCAAATTTCCATTGCTGCGCGTTACCAGAAGCCAATATGTCGGTTTGGATGTCTGCACGCCTCTTCTCCACCATTCAGCCCCCTTCGTCTTGCCCCCAACTGCCATCTCAGCCATGCTGGTCACCTTGAAGCTATTCCCAGCGTCGCCGTACAGCAAATCCTCCTCATCCTCAATCTTCATGTTCGGCTCTGGCTTTATGTATCCAAATCCGCTGTTGTACAGCGAACTTCCCGCTCCTTTGTCCATCGAGTCCTCATATTTGGACGTGAACATGCCACTGGTGTCCCTATAAGAGCACAGAGTCATGACAGGAGGCAGGGGACTCACGGTGTTCTTGTTAACCGCCAATCGAGGTGTTCCTTTGGCTTCTCGCAGCGCCAGCGTGAGAACTGCTCCCTTCTGCGACAGGACACACACGTAAGGATCGGCAATCGAGGCTGTGGCCAGTGGAGCCTCCTTGTCAAATGGGATATTCTGTAGCAAGCGTGTTCCCTGCAACAGTCGAATAGTCCTCGTGGTCACCTGCACAATATATCTATTATTTCCCACATTTCCCACATAGATTGTGGGCAAATTGTTGGCAAATCCCGTCTTCTCAATCTCATTGATCTCATCTCCCGTCTGCAGCACCATCGTGGCATTCTCCTGCGACATTATCATGAAGGCATGTGTGGAATCTTCGGGCTTCTCCACCTTCTTTCCCGAATCATCCGCCACTGTCCACACATCTGTGCATCCTGACAATCCAAAACTCGTGATTATCTGTGGCTTGATTGAGTTCTGCAACACACACAACGCCCCATTCTTCCCATGTCCACTTGCAGTGACAATCTCCAAGTCCCACTGCGTGGCCGCCTCATCCTCTTCGGTTTCCTCCTCCTGATCCTCCTCCTTGGCGCGCTGACCAATGCACATGTGACCAATTGGACCGATATTCAACACACTGTCGCACACCTCGAACGTGAAGCTGGTCAGCTGCACAGATGTCTTCGGTCCCGAGCCGTACACCTCCAATTCCTCCTCCTCGAGGCGTCGCTGCTTCGTCATCACATCCTTCTCCTTGTCCACCTCCTTCTCCGTGTCCTCAATCGTGATCACTGTGCTCTGATCCTTCTCAGTGAGTCGCAGCAGCAGAGAATTGCCCAATCGAGAGCCCAGGAAGAGGTACTCCTCCTCACACACGCAAATGCAACTCGTGAGAACACTCGAGGCGGCCTTGCTGAAGTGAAAACTCCTGACACTCCGCATGGAATCGGCACAGAGCGTGAGGACATAGAGTTCACCATTCTTCAGTGACATCACCAGCTTGTCATTGTCTATGAAAGTCATCTGGGCTGTGTCTAGAGTGATCTTGACGCCATCCTGAGGTTCTGCAGATCAGAAAAGAAGATCGTAAAGAGAGGTTGTCAAGTTCAGTGATAAGAAACAGAACTTACTAAGGGGAAATTGAGTGCTGTGGTCCGCAATACTGTTCACGCTCACTCCGTACGGAGGCACACTCTGATTCAGGTAGACAATGGCATTCACGGACACCACCAGGCATCCTCCAATGGGCTTGTTCACCGGCACCACTTGGCAGCAATCGAAAGGCAAGCCGGAGAAGCTCCAAATCACCGGATGCACTCTCTGCTGAATATTCAGCGAAATCGCCACCATTGTGCATGTGTCCGATCGCACGGCGATTCTGCCCGGGAATGTCCTCACGGGTTCATAGAGGATTAGCAGCGTTGGCTCGTAGTAGCCGTGCAGGAACTGAATGTCAATGATATTGTCCACCTTCTCATCCAGATCCTTCAGGGTGATTATGTAGGATGCAAGGATTGGAGTGCGTGCTATCAGCTGAATCGGTGGCTTTTTCATCGGCTTCACATCCTGCAGTTCAATCTCATCGAGAGTGCTGTCCCGCCGGAAGGGCAGCACCACCAGCTTCCTGCCGTACACCAGCATCACGGCACATCGATTGTCCGGGTCGACACGCACAATTGGCACGTGATAGTTTCCCGTCCAGCCGCCACGAATCTCCTCCTCTTCGAAGTAGTGCAAGGAGAGTGTTTTCAGGTCATAATTGTCCGGATCGAATTGCACCACAGACAATTTGGCATCCTTGAAGCTCACCAGCAGAGCGTCGCGCTGCGATCCAGCCAGGGACACTGATTGCAGGGACATCACATTGCCGAAGAGAGTGTACATGGCCACACACTCCAGCCGCATCTTCGGATGTCGCATGTCTGCAAGAAACGACCGGGTGACTTTCCCTCCTCAACACTACACGCAAAATCTCACCTGTAAATTTTTCCTTAGCATTTGGCTCTATATCCGGCACGATGCGGAACACCTTCAGAACATTGGCACCGGCTGTGACGAGGTTTTTCTCAGAGTTATTGAAGAAATGGCAGGAAATGGAAAATTCGATGCCCGTCGCCGGATGGGTTTGCTTGCAAATCGCGGAAAACATGCTGATTTATCTATTACCACATAAACGTCCTATTCTAATCACTCTCATCTATCTGATAAACCACTAATTAGTGCAAAATTCACACTGAATTCGGGAAAATTTGAGAAAATCCTTCGGAGGGACGCCTTGTTTGTTTATCACGCTGTGACAGAAACAATATTTCAGGTTATGACCGGCCGCAACCGAGCATTTCTTCGGGTATTTTTCGCGTTCCGTCGGGAATTTTGGAGGGTGCTTTTCCAGAAACAATAACAAAGAGGTATTCTGTCCAGGAAACAGCCAAGAAATAGAATGTCGTGTGATAAAGAATCTCTAAAATTCTCCCAAAGTGTAATAAGAGGTTTGAAGTGTTTGGACGACATATCAGACAATGAAACCGTGCAAAAGATAATTGAGAAAAGCATAAGAAAAACTACAGGTAATATTTTCTATCTTCTGGTAAACTTCTTCTCAGTCCACATTATCTTCCAGCTACGGATAATGCAGGAAGCGCTCCAGATATCCTGGCAGGAGGTTCTCAAGCTCAGATTGAATATGCACTTGTGACTATCGTAGTGATTTCTGCAAAGCACAATCTCTCCAGCAATGAATTGAAGTATCTTCTGAGTCAGGAGAAGATCAGGAACACAATTTGTGACCAAATCTGCCGGGAATATGAGATATTGGTTCCTGAAGTGCGAGCTAGACTCTCCACTTATGGCTACACTGAGCCCTTCGTCGCTAATGCCAACTGGAAGATGACCTGCAACGTCCAGTCAGATTCTGTTGACTCCAACGGCGAACTTCTGTACAAGATCACCTTGGAGGACTTCGATGGCAATTCCGGTGGCTCTAAATCAATTACCAACTTCACGTGCAACACTGAGGAACTGCAATTCCTTATTGCCAAGCTGAAGGACATCGAGAGACATTGCGACAAGATAGGGAATGGTAAATAAACACAACCTTTATTCCAAAAAAAATCATCGGTTATCAGCAAATAGTCCTAAAACCCAATGTAATCCTCAAACTCCCTGTTGTCCTTCAGCCTCGGGTCGAATTCATTGATGATGCGCGCAAGACTTCTGTTCCTCAGCATCGACGCGTGATCGCCGTCAATGAACCTCAGGTGGAATTTGCCTTTTGTCCACTGCGCCATTCCGTAATCGCGTTCGATGTCCGCCACGGACACGTCCGTGGGCCTCACTAGCGTGATCGGGGACTCCACAGGATCGACCATCTCGGCGTTGCCCGCACGCACGCCGCGCAGGCGGCCGCGTAGGAGCTCCGCGATGTACATCAAGTGTTCCTCCGAGTACACGAACTGATTCTTGCACGCCTCCGCCAGCTGCTGCACGCGCTCACGCCAGTTGCGCGCCTTGCGCTGGCCCCACACCTCCCGGGGATTCTCCTCCGGGAACACGACGCGCAGGATGTTCTCCACGATCAGCTCCTCGACGTCCTCCTCGGCGAAGTTATCGCCCAGCTGCTCCGCGAGCAGCAGCCTGAAGAACTCCGGCGCGCCGTCGATCAGAAGCACTTGTCCAGTCATTCCCTCCTGCTCCAGCAACCTGGCCAGCTCCAGCGTGAGGAAGACGCCGAAGGAGTAGCCCACCAGGTAGAACATCTGCGACATCTTCAGAGCGTCCCTCTTGATGACTGGCAAAAGACTCCTGGCCAGATCGGCGACGGACAACAGCCCGATGTCTTCGGTCACGCGAAGGGAAAACACCGGCAAGGCGATGTTCAGGCTGATCTCACGCAAGTCCACATCCAGGATATCCACGAGGCCCGGAATGAGGACAACGCAGGAATTGTACTTCGCCGTCCTGTCGCGACTCGGCATTCTGCAGATCTTCTGCTGCGCACTCGAGTTCCTGTCTTTGAGGAACTGCAACAGCATCTCCAGTCCCTTCGGCTTCTTGTCGTTCGTCAGGATCAATTTACCTTCGTTTTCTCGTGCTCGTTCCTTGACCATAGCCAGAATCTGGCGGCAAGTTAGATTCTGGAGATTCTGAAGAGTGAAATGTAAGTCAAACTTATTTCTCATCTGCTTCTTCAATCTCAATACATCCGAGCGATCGAATGCTAAACTCTCCACTGTTTCATCTAATGAAGTAATTTCCTTCAACTTGAGTGCTTCCTTGATCGTGTTGAGGACGCAGAATTTCTTGGGCGTGGTTTTATCCAGGATTCTGTGAGCCACAATGATTTCATTGTTGAGCATCAGCTTATCAACTTCGGTCAGACAAGAGAAGATCTTCTGGCTCAGAACTCCCTTCTCGGGCTTCTGGCCCTCAAGAGATCCCAAGTGAATCACTTTCCCCGGAAATCCCTGAGCCGCTCTCTCCTGGACGATCTTCTCCGCCATTGCGATGCTCAGTTCAGCTCGGCATTGCTCCACATCCTCGCTGTTCAGCCATCTGCGCGAGAAGACGACAAATTGGGCGAGATTCGGACACAGCTTCCTGGACAACTCATCGAAGTTCTTCGCCGAAGAAACACTGACTTCCGCTGCGCTGGCCTCGAAGAGCTCGTCTCCGTTCCAAGAGCTGCACAGCGAGGCGCTGAAGATGCCAGAAATCGGTCCCAGTTTCCGGGCGAGATCGAGCAGTTCCAGGCACTCCGACCGGGATCCGCGACTCTCCAGCTTGTGGACGACCTGAGCGCCGTAACTCTGCCAGAGTCTGCGAAAGAGAGAATCAGTCTGCGCTCATTGTTCTCCTGGAAATCCTCACCTCATGCGGTACAGTTGATAATCGCTGAGCGATTTTCCGAGCGACGTCAGAACGACTTTTCGAGCCCCTCTGACGATCAGCCAATCGACAAACTCCAAACCGAAGTCATCCAGGCCACCGAAGATCACGAAGGAACTTTCTGGCTGGGCAGAAAATCGAGGAGAAATTGAAATTGGAAGAGTGGACTTGTCGGTGTCCTCGTCGCTGGGATCGTTGATCTTTAAAAGGATTTTTCCAACATGATTAATATTCTTGTAATAGCTGAAAGCATCATTGACACAATTAGCATCAAACACTGCTGCTGGTATCGGCTGAATTATGCCCTTTCCGACATCTTGGCGGAACAATTTCGCAAGATCCTGGAACAAGAAAAACATGAGAAAATATTTGTAAGACCTTCTCCGGGCAAGTATACATTACCATCTTGTTTTCGTATACATCTGTAAAGATACCTTCAATCTGAACTGCTAGGAATTCGAGATCATTCAGGAAAATACCCATGCCAAAATCACTGTTTTCAATCATATCCCATTTTCCCACATGCAGGAATTTTCCACCAGTGTCCAGACAATGAACGGAATTTGTTAGATTTCTGCCCTTCAGTCTATTAAACACATAATCAAATTTTCTTGGTTCAGCTTGATCTGGACGGTCTTGATTCATTTCCTGGAAGCTGAAATCAAAGGAACTTCCAATTTGGTCCTCTTCCAGTTCAGAGAACATGCTGAGAAGGAAGTCCTTCTTTTCAATCGAGTCAACGGTCGTGAAAACGTCCAGTCCGTAGGCCAAGGACACTCTGATCGCCGCGATTCCCAGCTCATCAGCTCCGCAGTGGATCAGAATCCTTCTGCCGTGCTTGAGCGGCGCCAGGATATTGGCCTTGAAGAAGAGAGCCCAGTAGACCGTGAGATAGGCCATCGGCACAGTGGCCGCCTCCTCCAGAGTCCAGTGCTCCGGCACTGGGAACGTGAACGCGTCGTCGGCCAGAGCCTGGCTGGACAGAGCGCCGTGGGGAACGACGCCCATCACACGCCGGCCTTCCTGATCCACGCCCGCGAACTCCGATCCCAGCGCCATCGCGCAATGGCGGCGCGACAACCCGGTCTCCTCCAGAGGAAGCTCACCGGACACGATCTCCTTGTCGCGCAGATTCAGGCCGCAGAACATGACGTTCACGAGATTTCCTTGCGCCGCCCCCAGGACGCTTCCGGATCTCCACTCGAGGGCGTTTTCCGGCGAAGTGAACTCCACGAAGCAATTCCCGGCGTAGGCCTCGAGCGGCGCCCTATCTGACAGCCTCAGCCAGCGGAAACTTCCCCATTGGCCGTTGCGGAAGACGTTCGAAGCCAGAGTCAGCTTCACCTGGTTCTGGAAGCTCGCATCGCTGAACTTCTTGTCCTCAACGGAAAAGAAGTTTATGCTCTGCCCAGGAATCTTCTTGCGCACCACATTCGCCAGGCCTGAGATGCCGGGATTCGAGTCCTTGCTCGACATCAGAGTCACTGAGCCGAGTTTCGCGGCTTCCTTGACGTTCTTCAGCCACTCTTCGCTGACTGAAAACTGCGAGGCCTCGAAGACACTCGTGCTGGGAAGAATCTTCCTCGATGACCGCTTGAACACGACCAGAGTCTCATTCTCCACGGGCAGGAAGAAGATAAGGCTCAGGTCTGCAGATGTTGCGACGCTCTTCAGCTCGATTGACTTTTCCTCACGCGAGATCAAATATCCACCGTCGGCGAGACTCTCCAGGGACTCCTCCGGAAATGTCCCGTTGCGGAAGAACTGCTTCTTGATGACGATGTCGCAGTTCTTTTGAGTATTCAGCTCTCCAGCTTCCACGTGGATTCCATCCAGCGTTGCCTTCTTAGACGAGAGCAAGATCAGCATTCCCCGAATCCCGGGCAAGTCTTCAACGGCATCACGGAAGTTCGGGAGAATCTCGTGGGAAGACTCAACCGAATCCACTTCCACGATCTTCACCTTCGACGAGCGGTGATTGTCCAGGAAGCTCTGGACGCACACGCGAGCTGCGTTCGCGGTCGAAAGCTGCGGCGCCGGAAGATGTGGAATGAACCTGAAGGATTCCGAGACAGGCTTTCCGGTTGGCTGGTTCTTCCTGAGGGTTTTCATCCTCAGGTCCACGATTTCCAGTCCTGGTGAGGAGATCGTCTTGAGTTCCGCGCACACTTTCACCTGGTGCAAACCTCGATTCTCTTCTGCCACTCTCAGCACTTCCTGAGGCCTGATCCTGATCGCCTGGATGGACTTGGGCAACATCAGATCTCTGGTATCGCGACCGAATGCGAAGATCTGGACGAAGCTGTCCAGGAAAGCCATCCAATTGTTCTCGAACCTGACTTTTCCTCCGCTTCCGTCGCTCTTGGCTTCGGTGACAGATTGGAAGGCGCCTTTGTATTCGTAGCCGCGAAGGTAGAGCTCCTTGTAAAAGTCCTTGGACTTCAGGACGATGTAATCCGACGAGGAATCTTCCGGGAGGTAATCTTCCGATGGTTCTTCTTCTAGAATCTTGATATTTCCTGAGAGAATGGCTGAGTTTTCTTCACAGACCTATAAAAAAGGAATTTTATAATAAATTTTTGCGTATAAAGCAGGTAAAGCCAGCATAATAAAAAATAACCTGAAAATATCCTGTTCCAGGATGAATAAGTATCAAAAATTCTCTTTCCTTTTCTGTGGTCAAGAAAATTTCATTCTGGAAACGTATTTCTGAAAATTCAACATCTTTATCCAAAAAATGTTGCCCAAATATGTTAGAGAAAGTTTCCCAAACACTGAAGATGAATCCCATGTGTGGATAAATGAGTTCTCCTACAAAAATCAAGCCAATAAGCACAATTGAAAGAAGAAATATTGGGTTAAATTTTACCATCAATCACGTAACCAAGGATGAAGTTGTGTTCAAGATCATCTGGACTGACGGAAATATAGCATCTTCCTGAATTGAATTCGTGTTGAAAATTATATGGTGGAATGTACCAGTCAACCGAGTGATCCCATCGAATGTGGGGGGAAATCATGGGAGTTCCTTTGGACACCGGGAACTCGATCGCCGGATAGAGATTCTGAATGGGGAAGTCGATTCCGTTCATGTAGATTTTCCCGAGCGCGGCCAAGAAGAAGTTCGTGTTGTTCTTGTTTCCGCGCTGAGTCAGAGGAATGTGAACAGCCTGAGCCTTGGAACGCTTGACGATGGCCTGCAGCAGTCCGTGCGGAGCGATCTCGATGGTCAAGGCGTTGTTGGGGATCATGGCGAAAGTGTCCTCGAACAGCACCGGATTCAGGAGATTGTTGGTGTGGTACTGAGCCGAACTGAGCTGATTTTCCTCATCTTCCCACTTCGGTTGCGGAACGCTGGTGCTCAGCCACTTCGCCGACCTCCTCTTCGGCTCCCGCACAACCTCGGTCAGCAGCTCCAACAGCTTCGGGCCCATATCTGCGATGTAGCGCGAGTGGTAGGCGATGTTGGAGCAAGGGACTTCCTTGGCGAAGACGCCCTGGTTCTTCAGGTCGGCGACGAAGGCCTCGACCGACGCGGCGGGTCCGGAGATGGTCGAGGATGTGGAGCTGTTCCGACACGCCACTTCGACGTCCGGCGGCAGCATTTTGCGGACGCTGCTGTAGCCCAGGCCAACGGCCGCCATGGAGCCGAAGATCTTCTTGGTCTCCACGCTCACCTTCCCTCTGGAATAGGCCGACAGGATCATTTCCTCCGCAGTGAAGCAGCCGTCGGCGTAGGCGCAGCCCAACTCCCCGACAGAGTGGCCTGGAAAGGAAAGAATGCGATGGAATCCTGGTCAGGTGTGCAATGCGAGGCAACTCACCGATGATGATGTCCGGCTGAATCTGCAGAGCTCGCAACACGTCGACGATGGCGATCTGCACGGCGGCGATCCCGACGAAGGAGTTCAGGATGTTGTCGAAGGTCTCTGGGTCGTCCGACGTGAGTAGCCCAATGAGGTCCACGCCCTTCGCGAGCAGGACTTCGTGGCTGCGCTCGACGGATCGCCTGAATATGGGAATGCTCATGAGCGAGCTTCCCATCTGCGGCCACTGGCTTCCCATCCCACTGAACAGCCACACGACAGGCCGTTTCACCCCGGGAAAGTGCTGGACGCTCTGTTCCAAAACGACAGCGTTCCCGCCGTCGACGTCCTTCTGGAAAACTCCGAAGCCGCGGAAAATGTTGTTGGACACCGTTTCCGTCTGCGTCTCGTGCACGAGGCCCACGAATTCGGCGTCGAGCGGATGACTGGCCATGAACTTGAACATCTCGTGGACGCCCTCCTCAGTGCGACCCGCCCAGGAGATCAACCGCGGAAGATCGTCGGCAGGCAGGCCGTTGTTCAGCTTCTCTTTGGCGACGCTCTCCAGCAGAACGTGCGAGATCCCGCCAGCGAAGCTGACCGAGTTCACGGCGGCGAAGTTCCGGCCTCTGAACTCCTCGGCCTCCGTCACGACCTGCATCCGGCCCTCGACCAAGGCCTTGAGCTCGGGATGCGGCCTGGAGAAGTTGATGTTGGGCGGAATGGCGCCGTTCTCCATCCCGATGATCACCTTCGCGATGCCGCAGATCCCGCCGCAGGGCTGCGTGTTGCCGATGTTGGACTTGACGCAGCCCACCTTCAGCGGAGTCTTCCTGGCCCTGCACATCACCGCGTCCAGCGCCGCCACCTCGGCGGCGTCGTACTTGAGCAGTCCTTCGCAGTGCGTCTCCACGTAGGCCACGTCCGCCGGATCCAGGGAAATCTCGCGGTAGAAGGTCTCCAGCAGCTTCACCTGCATCTTCACGGAAGGAGTCGTGATGCCCTCCTCTATGTATCCCGAGTGGCTCGACTTGGAGTGTACGAGTCGCGCGTAGACGCGCTTCGCGTGCTTGGCTTTCTGCAAGAAGATGCAGCAATTCGCCTCGCTGTTGGTCGTGCCGCTGATGCCCTCGTCGAAGGTCCGCGTGACGCCGTCCTTGGAGAGAGCGCCCATCTGCGCCAGCTGAGCAGTCACGAAAGGATGCAGGATGACGTTGGATCCCCCCACAATGGCTGCTTCACACTGGCCGTTTCTGATCGCGGAATAGGCCACATCTATCGCAGTCAGGCTACCGCTCGTCAGTGTATCTACGTACATTGACGGTCCTTGGAAATCAAAAGAAAAAGACAGTCGATTGGCCATCATGGCTCTATTGCATCTGTAAATTATATTGGTATCAATCGAAATTATTGTCTGCTTTAAAACATAGTGATAAGTATGAGAGATGATTTAAAAAATAATATAGGAAGAAAACCCACCCGGTTATTGCGAATCCGGCACCGACAAACTCATATGAGTAGAATATCTGATCCATGTCCAAAAAAGTCGATCCGATGAAAACTCCTGTGTTGCTGCCACGCAGAGTCAAAGGATTGATTCCAGCATCGATGATGGTTTCATAATTGCATTCCAGAATGAATTTCATGGACGGATCCATGAGATTTGCTTGTTTATAGTGCACACCGAAGAAAGGTGAGTCGAATTTTCTAACACCTCCTGTTATCCCTAGTGTCTCAGGAAGTTCTGGGAAGGGTTCCTTCCACTGCGGATCCATTTCATCCAGCAAGTCAGCCTTCGCGTAGAGATTCTTGGTGAACTCCAGCATGGTAGGCGACTTGGGAAACCGTCCAGATATCCCAGAGATCACAATCTCGTCCTCAGGACAGTTGGCTTGAGTCCTGCAGGACAAATCCTTTGGTTCTCTGCCGTTAACCATTTCTGCACAGTCACACTTGCACTTCTAGTCACTTTGGTCACTATTTTGGAGCACTGTTAGGCGTTTAATCCACAATTTGAGCACTGAAGAAAAACTTCTGGGCTGCAACTGTGCAGCAGTTCGCAATTTATACTCTTCCTTCGCCAACGATTTTCCATATTCAAATTCCAAAGGAAATAATGTAGCCCTTTAATGCTTTGACCTTATAACAAACCTCATAATTTATCATATTGCATTATACTTTATGTTCGTCCATTGAATTCATATACTGACCATTACCAAGCTCAATACCATAACAATCGGCGGTGAACTCTAATCGCAAATGCAATTTCAAAGCACATATTCAAATTTCAAATAAAAAGTCAACATAAATTATTACACCAAAGTCAGAAGAATACAGACGAAGTCAAGGCAAGGGCCACGGTTTAAAAATGAAGAGCTTGAAGATATAGAAAAAATTTAATCCAATAAGAAACCCCAGATACCTTAAACTTCCTTAACCCTAAACCACCCTTTAGATTCCAACGTAATCCTCAAACTCCCTGTTGTCCTTCAGCCTCGGGTCGAATTCATTGATGATGCGCGCAAGACTTCTGTTTCTCAGCATCGACGCGTGATCGCCGTCAATGAACCTCAGGTGGAATTTGCCTTTTGTCCACTGCGCCATTCCGTAATCGCGTTCGATGTCCGCCACGGACACGTCCGTGGGCCTCACTAGCGTGATCGGGGACTCCACAGGATCGACCATCTCGGCGTTGCCCGCACGCACGCCGCGCAGGCGGCGGCGCAGGAGCTCCGCGATGTACATCAAGTGTTCCTCCGAGTACACGAACTGATTCTTGCACGCCTCCGCCAGCTGCTGCACGCGCTCACGCCAGTTGCGCGCCTTGCGCTGGCCCCACACCTCCCGGGGATTCTCCTCCGGGAACACGACGCGCAGGATGTTCTCCACGATCAGCTCCTCGACGTCCTCCTCGGCGAAGTTATCGCCCAGCTGCTCCGCGAGCAGCAGCCTGAAGAACTCCGGCGCGCCGTCGATCAGAAGCACTTGTCCAGTCATTCCCTCCTGCTCCAGCAACCTGGCCAGCTCCAGCGTGAGGAAGACGCCGAAGGAGTAGCCCACCAGGTAGAACATCTGCGACATCTTCAGAGCGTCCCTCTTGATGACTGGCAAAAGACTCCTGGCCAGATCGGCGACGGACAACAGCCCAATGTCTTCGGTCACGCGAAGGGAAAACACCGGCAAGGCGATGTTCAGGCTGATCTCACGCAAGTCCACGTCCAGGATATCCACGAGGCCCGGAATGAGGACAACGCAGGAATTGTACTTCGCCGTCCTGTCGTGACTCGGCATTCTGCAGATCTTCTGCTGCGCACTCGAGTTCCTGTCTTTGAGGAACTGCAACAGCATCTCCAGTCCCTTCGGCTTCTTGTCGTTCGTCAGGATCAATTCACCTTCGTTTTCTCGTGCTCGCTCCTTGACGATGGCTAGTAGTTCTCGAGATGTCATCCTTCGGAGTTGAAAGACGGTAAGGGATATATCATACTCCTTCCTTATTTGCTTCTTCAGATTGAGTACATCGTCGATCTCATGCGCTAAATCCCTCATAGTTTCATCTAATGAAGTAATTTCCTTCAACTTGAGTGCTTCCTTGATCGTGTTGAGGACGCAGAATTTCTTGGGCGTGGTTTTATCCAGGATTCTGTGAGCCACAATGATTTCATTGTTGAGCATCAGCTTATCAACTTCGGTCAGACAAGAGAAGATCTTCTGGCTCAGAACTCCCTGCTCGGGCTTCTGGCCCTCAAGAGATCCCAAGTGAATCACTTTCCCCGGAAATCCCTGAGCCGCTCTCTCCTGGACGATCTTCTCCGCCATTGCGATGCTCAGTTCAGCTCGGCATTGCTCCACATCCTCGCTGTTCAGCCATCTGCGCGAGAAGACGACAAATTGGGCGAGATTCGGACACAGCTTCCTGGACAACTCATCGAAGTTCTTCGCCGAAGAAACACTGACTTCCGCTGCGCTGGCCTCGAAGAGCTCGTCTCCGTTCCAAGAGCTGCACAGCGAGGCGCTGAAGATGCCAGAAATCGGTCCCAGTTTCCGGGCGAGATCGAGCAGTTCCAGGCACTCCGACCGGGATCCGCGACTCTCCAGCTTGTGGACGACCTGAGCGCCGTAACTCTGCCAGAGTCTGCGAAAGAGAGAATCAGTTTGCGCTCATTGTTCTCCTGGGAAGTCCTCACCTCATGCGGTACAGTTGATAATCGCTAAGCGATTTTCCGAGCGACGTCAGAACGACTTTTCGAGCCCCTCTGACAATCAGCCAATCGACAAACTCCAAACCGAAGTCATCCAGGCCACCGAAGATCACGAAGGAACTTTCTGCCTGAGCAGAAAATCGAGGAGAAATTGGAATGGGAAGAGTGGACTTGTCAGTTTTATGCTCTCGAAGTCTCAAAACTACTTTTCCAATATGTTCCTTGCTAGAATAATAGCCAAAAGCTTCATTAACGTCATTTGCATTAAATACAGTTGCTGGAATTGGCTGAATCACTCCTTTCTTTATATCTGCTTGAATGAGCTTAATTATATCCTGAAAAAGAAAAAAGGTGTTTTAGAAAATATGTAATGGAATCGTTGTAAAAATATTTACTTGTCTCATTTCACATTCTTCTCCGAAAACAGCTTCAATCTGAACTGCTTGGAATTCAACCTCTTGTATGAATATATATAATCCGAGATCATTGTTCTCTATCATATCCCATTTTCCCATTTGCAAGAATTTTCCACCTAGATCAAGGCAACGAGCAGACGCTGCAAGCTGAGCACCTTTGAGAGTATTGAAAACGTAATTGCAAACTCTTGGCTTACACTTTTCCTTAACCATTCTTTCAAAACTGAGGTCAGTAGTACTTCCAATTTGATCCTCTTTCAGTTCAGAGAACATGCTGAGAAGGAACTCCTTCTTTTCAATCGAGTCAACGGTCGTAAAAACGTCCAGTCCGTAGGCCAAAGACACTCTGATCGCCGCGATTCCCAGCTCATCAGCTCCGCAGTGGATCAGAATCCTTCTGCCGTGCTTGAGCGGCGCCAGGATATTGGCCTTGAAGAAGAGAGCCCAGTAGACCGTGAGATAGGCCATCGGCACAGTGGCCGCCTCCTCCAGAGTCCAGTGCTCCGGCACTGGGAACGTGAACGCGTCGTCGGCCAGAGCCTGGCTGGACAGAGCGCCGTGGGGAACGACGCCCATCACACGCCGGCCTTCCTGATCCACGCCCGCGAACTCCGATCCCAGCGCCAACGCGCAATGGCGGCGCGACAACCCGGTCTCCTCCAGAGGAAGCTCACCGGACACGATCTCCTTGTCGCGCAGATTCAGGCCGCAGAACATGACGTTCACGAGATTTCCTTGCGTCGCCCCCAGGACGCTTCCGGATCTCCACTCGAGAGCGTTTTCCGGCGAAGTGAACTCCACGAAGCAATTCCCGGTGTAGGCCTCGAGCGGCGCCCTATCTGACAGCCTCAGCCAGCGGAAACTTCCCCATTGGCCGTTGCGGAAGACGTTCGAAGCCAGAGTCAGCTTCACTTGGTTCTGGAAGCTCGCATCGCTGAACTTCTTGTCCTCAACGGAAAAGAAGTTGATGCTCTGCCCGGGAATCTTCTTGCGCACTAAATTCGCCAGGCCTGAGATGCCGGGATTCGAGTCCTTGCTCGACATCAGAGTCACTGAGCCGAGTTTCGCGGCTTCCTTGACGTTCTTCAGCCACTCTTCGCTGACTGAAAACTGCGAGGCCTCGAAGACACTCGTGCTGGGAAGAATCTTCCTCGATGACCGCTTGAACACGACCAGAGTCTCATTCTCCACGGGCAGGAAGAAGATAAGGCTCAGGTCTGCAGATGTTGCGACGCTCTTCAGCTCGATTGACTTTTCCTCACGCGAGATCAAATATCCACCGTCGGCGAGACTCTCCAGGGACCCCTCCGGAAATGTCCCGTTGCGGAAGAACTGCTTCTTGATGACGATGTCGCAGTTCTTTTGAGTATTCAGCTCTCCAGCTTCCACGTGGATTCCATCCAGCGTTGCCTTCTTAGACGAGAGCAAGATCAGCGTTCCCCGAATCCCGGGCAAGTCTTCAACGGCATCACGGAAGTTCGGGAGAATCTCGTGGGAAGACTCAACCGAATCCACTTCCACGATCTTCACCTTCGACGAGCGGTGATTGTCCAGGAGGCTCTGGACACACACGCGAGCTGCGTTCGCGATCGAAAGCTGTGGCGCCGGAAGATGTGGAATGAACCTGAAGGATTCCGAGACAGGCTTTCCGGTTGGCTGGTTCTTCCTGAGGGTTTTCATCCTCAGGTCCACGATTTCCAGTCCTGGTGAGGAGATCGTCTTGAGTTCCGCGCACACTTTCACCTGGTGCAAACCACGATTCTCTTCTGCCACTCTCAGCACTTCCTGAGGCCTGATCCTGATCGCCTGGATGGACTTGGGCAACATCAGATCTCTGGTGTCGCGGCCGAATGCGAAGATCTGGACGAAGCTGTCCAGGAAAGCCATCCAATTGTTCTCGAACCTGACTTTTCCTCCGCTTCCGTCGCTCCTGGCTTCGGCGACAGACTGGAAGGCGCCTTTGTATTCGTAGCCGCGAAGGTAGAGCTCCGTGTAAAAGTCCTTGGACTTCAGGACGATGCAATCCGACGAGGAATCTTCCACGAGGTAATCTTCCGATGATTCTTCTTCTAGAATCTTGATATTTCCTGAGAGAATGGCTGAGTTTTCTTCACAGACCTGCAATAGAAAGGGTTTTTTGGATAAATCCATGAACTGTTTTACGTCACTAACGTTTGTTACCTGAAAATATCCTGTTCCAGGCTGTATTACTACCACAACTTCTCTATGTTTATTAATAGTTAAATCAAAATGTTGTAGCACTTTAATTTGCGAAAATTCCACACTCATTTCGTAGAAATTTTTCTCTTTACTGAGGGCAAAGGTTTCCCATACAGTGCGGATAAATCCAGAAACGGGATACAAAAGCTTGTCTAAAAGGATAAAAGTGCTTAAGTCACGAAAAGATTAAGAAAATTTTTAAGTCTTACCATCAATAATGTGGTCTAAGAGAAAATTGTACTCTTGAGATTCTGGATTAATATCCATGGTGTGGCGGCCTGGCTTGAATTCATATCCATAATTAATGGACGGGATGTACCACTCTGTTGAGTGATCCCATCGAATGTGAGGGGAAATCATGGGAGTTCCTTTGGATACCGGGAACTCGATCGCCGGATAGAGATTCTGAATGGGGAAGTCGATTCCGTTCATGTAGATTTTCCCGAGCGCGGCCAAGAAGAAGTTCGTGTTGTTCTTGTTTCCGCGCTGAGTCAGAGGAATGTGAACAGCCTGAGCCTTGGAACGCTTGACGATGGCCTGCAGCAGTCCGTGCGGAGCGATCTCGATGGTCAAGGCGTTGTTGGGGATCATGGCGAAAGTGTCCTCGAACAGCACCGGATTCAGGAGATTGTTGGTGTGGTACTGAGCCGAACTGAGCTGATTTTCCTCATCTTCCCACTTCGGTTGCGGAACGCTGGTGCTCAGCCACTTCGCCGATCTCCTCTTCGGCTTCCGCACGACCTCGGTCAGCAGCTCCAGCAGCTTCGGGCCCATGTCTGCGATGTAGCGCGAGTGGTAGGCGATGTTGGAGCAAGGGACTTCCTTGGCGAAGACGCCCTGGTTCTTCAGGTCGGCGACGAAGGCCTCGACCGACGCGGCGGGTCCGGAGATGGTCGAGGATGTGGAGCTGTTCCGACACGCCACTTCGACGTCCGGCGGCAGCATTTTGCGGACGCTGCTGTAGCCCAGGCCAACGGCCGCCATGGAGCCGAAGATCTTCTTGGTCTCCACGCTCACCTTCCCTCTGGAATAGGCCGACAGGATCATTTCCTCCGCAGTGAAGCAGCCGTCGGCGTAGGCGCAGCCCAACTCCCCGACAGAGTGGCCTGGAAAGGAAAGAATGCGATGGAATCCTGGTCAGATGTGGAATGCGAGGCAACTCACCGATGATGATGTCCGGCTGAATCTGCAGAGCTCGCAACACGTCGACGATGGCGATCTGCACGGCGGCGATCCCGACGAAGGAGTTCAGGATGTTGTCGAAGGTCTCTGGGTCGTCTGACGTGAGTAGCCCAATGAGGTCCACGCCCTTCGCGAGCAGGACTTCGTGACTGCGCTCGACGGATCGCCTGAATATGGGAATGCTCATGAGCGAGCTTCCCATCTGCGGCCACTGGCTTCCCATCCCGCTGAACAGCCACACGACAGGCCGTTTCACCCCGGGAAAGTGCTGGACGCTCTGTTCCAAAACGACAGCGTTCCCGCCGTCGGCGTCCTTCTGGAAAACTCCGAAGCCGCGGAAAATGTTGTTGGACACCGTTTCCGTCTGCGTCTCGTGCACGAGGCCCACGAATTCGGCGTCGAGCGGATGACTGGCCATGAACTTGAACATCTCGTGGACGCCCTCCTCAGTGCGACCCGCCCAGGAGATCAACCGCGGAAGATCGTCGGCAGGCAGGCCGTTGTTCAGCTTCTCTTTGGCGACGCTCTCCAGCAGAACGTGCGAGATCCCGCCAGCGAAGCTGACCGAGTTCACGGCGGCGAAGTTCCGGCCTCTGAACTCCTCGGCCTCCGTCACGACCTGCATCCGGCCCTCGACCAAGGCCTTGAGCTCGGGATGCGGCCTGGAGAAGTTGATGTTGGGCGGAATGGCGCCGTTCTCCATCCCGATGATCACCTTCGCGATGCCGCAGATCCCGCCGCAGGGCTGCGTGTTGCCGATGTTGGACTTGACGCAGCCCACCTTCAGCGGAGTCTTCCTGGCCCTGCACATCACCGCGTCCAGCGCCGCCACCTCGACGGCGTCGTACTTGAGCAGTCCTTCGCAGTGCGCCTCCACATAGGCCACGTCCGCCGGATCCAGGGAAATCTCGCGGTAGAAGGTCTCCAGCAGCTTCACCTGCATCTTCACGGAAGGAGTCGTGATGCCCTCGTCTATGTATCCCGAGTGGCTCGACTTGGAGTGTACGAGTCGCGCGTAGACGCGCTTCGCGTGCTTGGCTTTCTGAAGGAAGATGCAGCAATTCGCCTCGCTGTTGGTCGTGCCGCTGATGCCCTCGTCGAAGGTCCGCGTGACGCCGTCCTTGGAGAGAGCGCCCATCTGCGCCAGCTGAGCAGTCACGAAAGGATGCAGGATGACGTTGGATCCCCCCACAATGGCTGCTTCACACTGGCCGTTTCTGATCGCGGAATAGGCCACATTCAGTGTATTCAGCGTGGCATTGGACAAGGAGTCAACGTGAGCTGAGATTCCTTGAAGATCGAAAATGTAGGATACGCGATTGGCCATCATGGCTCTGTTGCATCTGTTGATTAGATGGATATGCTAATTTATATGTAAGTCATGAGCTCATATAGCCAAAGTATATAATACTTCTGTCCTGGAAATTGACCTATTTACCTATACTTCCTACACGTTTTAAAAAAAGCTACTTAGAATTTCTAATTAGTCACTTGCTAGTCTAATGGGAAGTGTAATGAAAGCTCACCCAGTTATCGCAAAACCTCCACCGACTAATTTGTCATTATAAAATATTTTATCCATGTCCAAGAAAGTTGATCCAATGAAGACTCCTGTATTGCTGCCACGCAGAGTCATAGGATTGATTCCAGCATCGATGATGGTTTCATATGAACACTCCAAGATATATCGTGTAGATGGATCCATCAAGTGTGCCTGTTTATAGTGCACACCGAAGAAAGGAGCATCAAAGTAAGTTACATTGCGGTTTAAACCAAATTTCTCAGGAAGTTCCGGGAAGGATTCCTTCCACTGCGGATCCATTTCATCCAGCAAGTCAGCCTTCGCGTAGAGATTCTTGGCGAACTCCAGCATGCTAGGAGACTTAGGGAACTGTCCAGATATCCCAGAGATCACAATCTCGTCCTCAGGACAGTTGGCTTGAGTCCTGCAGGACAAATCCTTTGGTTCTCTGCCGTTAACCATTTCTGCACAGTCACACTTGCACTTCTAGTCACTTTGGTCACTATTTTGGAGCACTGTTAGGCGTTTAATCCACAATTTGAGCACTGAAGAAAAACTTCTGGGCTGCAACTGTGCAGCAGTTCGCAATTTATACTCTTCCTTCGCCAGCGATTTTCCATATTCAAATCCAAATGCAAATACTAAGGAGCTCAAACAAAAAAACTTTGACCTATGTCTTGTCTATTATTCCTGCTATTTACTTGCAGCCTGATCAGTTATATGTTTACCCTTCTAATACTGTTTCAGCGCAGTATTAACCGTTAACACACTGATAAGCACTGTAAATATGTATTTTCATTTCAAATTACAATTTAAACTGAAATTTTCCTGCATGAATTTTAAGTAGTAACTAGAATTATTTACTAGGAATTTGCTTTCTGCTTTTCGAAGAACTTCGTGAATTCCTCATTGATGAATTGAAGAAGGGTCTTCTCATATCGCGATCTCTGGTAATATTCTAGAGCTTCCTGCAAAGAAGATAAATTTGTTATATTCATTGTCGATATTCTGTAAAATTACAATTTTTCTACCTTTCTGACTGCGAAAAACTCCTCTTTGGCCTCTGGATGGTTCTTGTAAAACTCCAGGTTCTCCAGCATCACTTCATTCTCTGGGAAGAAGAGCAAGTAAGTCATTGTGCATTTGATGGCCTGCTCAAGATTGCCCACATTAAAATAGGAGAACTGGAGATATTCATAGTGACTGGGAAAGACGTCTGGATACTTTTGCGTGCCCACAATACTCATGTCCTTTGTACAATTCCTCTTACATCTCAGGCAGTAAGTGAAGTGATTCGCGGTTGAGGTGGTGAAGTCCGGGTGCCATCCCTGATTAAATGATCCTTCACAGAAGGCCCGGCAAATGTTTTCCTCCTGGTCGAAAGTCATCAGAGACTTTTCAAACTCATCAATGCAATTCTGCCACTTTGACTCCCTATAGAAGTCCATACCTTTGAGGTATGAGTCAACAAAGCGCTTCTTTTCCTCATCCTTAAGGAACTCTGGCCGGAATTCTTCCAGTGTTGAGTAGTACTTGAGATTCCCAACACTCAATTTGTGCTCCGGATGCATCGCCAAGACGGTGGCAGCGGCAGAAACTGCCTTCTGCAGATCACCATTTTTGAAGTGGCAAAGCTGGAGATACTCATACGGTTTCCTACTGTGAAAAATTTCCCGGAAAGCATCGTCCACTTCGAAGAATCTATAAGCCTTGGCCAAATCCCTGAAGAGGCACTTCTTCAAGCACAGTGTCTTTCTCATAATCCCATCGAAGAAATGAATATTCTCCGGATTCTCGGGAAACAGTGGTTCCCCATTCTGCCTCTCGTACTCGCAGTTAATCCGACAATTTGCCACCACCCCAGAATAATCCCTGAACTCCTGCACAGCCTTCTCGAAGAAGTACGCACACCCCAACCAGTCGTTGTGCAAGTATGCATTATTGCCCACTAGATAATACTCCACAAAGGTTCCACCATCTGTCTTAACCTGCTCAGGATGATTGGGAACTTCGTCAGGCTTCTCTGGCACACTCAAGAACACCTCGTTGATCACGTAATCCAGTCGATTGGTTGTCAGATGTCCAAGAGTGCTTCTCGCGAGGAGAACAAGTAAAATCTCACGGATGATCATTTCTCCTGGAGAAATTATCACAATTCAGTACACAAAAACATCCAAAACCCCTCAAATATTCACCGAAATGCTGCAAAACACTTATCGCGTGTACAGCATTTGACAGAGTCTGAGCAATTTGACTCCGAGATCATTTTTTCTCGCCTCTGCCTTCCTTTTCTTGATCCTCCAGAGTCGAACTATATAGGGCGATTGGATGCGAGTTGTGCAGAATTCACAAATATTGTTACAGAATGCAGTGCGTCGAACATTGGGTTTAGTTATTAAATTAATCGATAAATTCGGCAATAGCTCATAATTTGTAGAATATTTCAGAAGCTTTCAAACATCTGAAGTACATATGGAGTTAAGGAAACGAAGAAAATTTAAAACAGCAATACTAAAATTTTTCCATTCAAGCTCTGAGCTAAAACAAAATTCTGTATTAAAGGCAAAGAAAAAAACTTTTTGTTCATTATTTCGATAATCTCTATTATTTGATTAGAAATTTTTCTAGTCTGAACTCTAATATAAGATTTTAATCGTACGAATCCCTGCTTCCTTCCAATACAAACCTTCTCCTTGTGCTCTATGTCTTCTGCTTTTCATATCTCCGCATGACATTTATCATGTTTCACACCTGAAAATACTGCAAAATACCTTTCCGGGCACAATTTCGGTGACGCAATGACTGCTCAATCTTCTAAAAGGCGCACTCAAGCGTCCAATAAGTGGCCTTCCAATGCGCCTCTGGCGCCCTGGAAGTGTGTATTGGTGATTTCCCGAATCGCTCATCTGTATTTTGAATGCCACAGGGCGCCTCAAAAAGTCACCCACGGAGGCCTTCGCCAAAGAGCCAATTTTGCGCCTCAGCTGCGTCTCATACTTTCTCTCGCTGTCTTTTATGCAATCACCCAACATCATCGTCCCAAAACCCACCCAGTCCAGTGGAAAACAGCGAGTGCATTTAGAAAAATTAAAGATTTTTATTCCTGTTTCACAAATCTCATTATACAAGAATTTATGCGCCTGGCTCGTGTGCAGCATTTAATCCTATATGAACAAAAAAAGACCTACCGAGACCTCTTAAGCAAGATCTCATTTTTTTCAGAGGCATTGGACACTCAACATTTAATTTAAATACAATGAGACTTTCTCACACATTCACAATTGTTATATCTGTGGCAAACTTTTAACTCTTCCCTCTCTCTCTCTCCAACTCCTAAAACAGAGTTCGACGGTTAAGATTCTTGCAGCGCTGTGCCCTCCCGCCAAAATCCACGCGAGATCTAATTCTCTTAGAATGTCTAATCCCGCCCTGGTTAACGGTACATCCCCGTGGTTGTGAGAATCGCTGGCCAGCAACCTTCCTCATGCCGTCATCGCTACGCTGGACGTGTTGGTGGTGTTCTGGCCGCGAAATGTGTGCAAATCCGCTGGCGAAGACGCAGGTGATTGCCTCGTGAGGTTGCCAAAGCTGAAGATAGACACCAGCGATGTTATTCGACTGATCTCCATGGGTTCCGCCACTGTGCTGTGCTCAGATTCCTCGAGGAATGGCTCCGCCGCTGTGGCCTCTTCTTCCTGTTCAGGACACGTCGTGGTCACTTCAGGGATCTTGTCCTCGCCACGGCACAGTCTCTTGGGCAGAATGGAGAGCACGGCCTCTTCTGTCTCCCACTCGCTCACCTCTCGTCTCCTCTTGGGATTGTCTCTGATCTTAATGTGGTTGTCCAGGTCGTAGTACGTCAGTTCGATGGGTGCTTCGTTCTCCTTGTCGTCCACCTCCTCCTCTTCTTCCTCACCGCACATTCTCTCAGTGTCGTCCTCGGGGTCTTCCTCGTCCTCCTCGAGCTCCTCCTCTTCGCCCTCTCTGCCCACAATCTCTCCATCGCGCCTTATGATCAGCTGATGTTGCTCCTTGTAGCTCCTGCACAGCGCCTCTTGCTGCTCGCAAAAATAGCGATTCCTCATCTGAGCCGCCGCAGCTGAGATGGCAGCCGCTGCCGCCGCCGCCTGCTCATGAGGGTAATGTCCGTGCACCATGTGATACGCCTCCTCCATGAATATGATTCTCGCCTTCTGCAGCACTGTGGCCACCAACAGGTTCTTGTGCAGCGAAATTCCACCGCGCTCCATTCGCGACTGAGCAATCTTGCTCAGCGAAATCCCAATTAGGCGTTGTGCTTCCGCAGCCATTCTTTCGTCGGACTTCCTTTCCAATTGCTTTCTAAGACTCTGATGATTTCCACTAAGAAATATCCCTGTGCCTCGTCTATCGATTTTTATCGCACCCGCGGGTACTTTACAAGTGAATCACAATTATTCTCTCTCTTTCTCAGAAGACGAAGCGAAAAAAAATGTCCAAGCAATTCACAGTCTCTGTGTGTATTTGAGGCAATCAAAATGCTCTTCGTCACTTTATGCTTTTTCGAGGACGTCAACGCGATAAGAGTGAGTCAGAGGAAAATTTTCAGTCGCACACAAACACCACTGCGCTTGATACTTTTCCGTCTCTGTCCTCCTATGTAATTTTTTCTCAACTGAAGAAAATGTGACTAACTCGGGTGATGTAAAAAAAATTTGTCTACGTGTTTGGTGATAATTTCTCAATATCACTCAACAATGCCTTCTCTCACTTCCACACCAAGACAGTGTGTATGCTCACGGTCTCTCTTGTCACTCCTCACTCTGTTCCTCTGTGTTATTCCCAATTATTTTGCATTTCACTTGCTCCACATAAAAATCACCATCTGTGGGCCTGTGCTGTCGCTGCGTCTTCAATTGGGTGATCCAAAAACTATGTCCATTGATCTCTTTTCACCTTCCCACCAGTATTGATTCCCGCGCCTTCACTCTCTTTCCCGCGCATTCATCACTCGTGGGCGCTCTCCTTATTCCTTTCTTTGTCTCCTGACGCCACACACTCCTTCCTCAAGCACTGTGTCCCTTCCACGCTATTTCCACTCACTGCCTCCTCTATCGAAAATCCACACGACACTACCTATTGTGTGTGTAGGTTGTGTGAAATTTTATTGAAAAACTCTTTGCACACACACGCGCCGTGTGGCATTCAATGGGGAGAAAAAAGGTGCCTCTTAAATCCAAACTCGATACATCATCCAATTCCTCAAGTGACTGTCTCACTGCTATCTTCTGTCCTTCTCTGTTCTGCACACCTTGCCTCTCACGCTATCCCCTTCGCACACAGTCACTGTACAGATGTGAACACACACACACAGTGTCACCCTCAATGTAGAAGTGATTAATATTGCGCGCGGAATTATTGAGCTTTTGAACAAGAGTCTCAAGTCGTTAACCGCTGAAACTGGATTGAGACTTCTGCCAACCAGTGGCTCCTACTTATAAACTCGGCATCAATCTTTCTCCCTCTTCACTTGACGTCACGGCCTACATACTTTACGAAATATCTCTCTCACTCTCCAATACACTTAATATTCACATTCATGTGAACTCTTCGTATTCATAGTGATGATGAAGACGAAGTAATGTCCTGGTAGGTGACGAATGCTTGCACCAGTTGTGATTCTCACACAGACCATGTGATTATTGTTAGACTATCAGGTGATTCAGTGTCATGTTATGCGTTGGTTATCCATCAAAAATTGTTATCTTCAGTTGCTCTTCCTGCCTTCCCAGAGAATCTTGATGGGTAATTGAGGAAGTGAGAAAGTCATTTTCCTGCCTCTGTCCGTCAATTCTTCTTATATCTCTATCTAAATCCTTTTTCCACTGCATATTTCCGATCCATCCAGAGCAGCCTCTGTCTTGAGACTGCATTTAGTCTTGTAGCTTAGATTAGATAATAGAATATTGGACAGTGCATTCAAATATTCCGTCCATCACCAATTTACCAGCTGACCGTATTCAATGCTCAATTGGTGAAATTCCCAATCAATTGCAGCAGCTGTGATCTGTCGCGCGACCCGTTTGCTGAAAAACTCCCCGAGACAAAACATCGTTAATGCCGCGAGAGCGAGAAGGCACACATAGAGTCAATTGAAGGAAAAAAAACGACCATACAAAGCTGTACTTTTTGTATTCATTTTGCACCTCCATTGTCAGGTGGAGGGGGCGCTAGATGGAAGAATTGATTGTGCGCCACAGAGAGTCAATAATCCATTCTTCCAGCCGCCTCGCACCTCACCTCACCCGCCATAGTCGCGCAAAGCCAAGAAAAACGTACGCTCGCGTCACCCACATCCATACTCCAGCATAGTCACACACGCGTAAGTGTCCGTGGGCAATTGAAATGCAGCATATGAGAAAATTGTGCGGACGAGAGAGAAAGAGATGTCGTCCTATATGGAATTGCCGATGAGGGACGATTGTGTATACAGTTTGCTCTCCATTCGGTTCACCTCTCACTCCCATTGTCCCCTCCCAACATACAGACAGATATCTAATGCTCGCGACTCGCATGAGTCTTTCGCTCATAGCCACGAAAGAAATCATGCACACAACACTTCGGGGGCTCTCTAATATCTCTCTCGCACAGGGCGACACACACTCACGCCAAATTCCACCAAATCGCCCATGAGAATGTCTCTCCACCGCGCACCGGCCCCCCAGCCCGCCCCGTGTCGCACAAGGTGCAACCAGACATGGACTCTGACCGCGTCCAAGTGGGAGAGAAGACATCAATTCGCATTCAGCGAATACACATCTCCTCTTTACTCACACGTGAATTCCATTCTCACATTTCGCACCCCTTCCCGCCCATTCACGCTCTGGACTCCTCTTCTGCTCATGACCAGCCGAAAATATTATCTCATTCTCCCGCAGGAGTGCACATTTTTCTTCTCTCCCTTAATCATGATGCAGAGAAAAGGGTTTATCATTCTTTTTATTCCTTCTCGCAACAAAATGCAAATGGCAGAATGTTTACAATATTTCTCTCTTGACTTTATGTTCTTTTCTGTATGCCACAAACAGCGTCACACATTTAGGTATGTGCGCTTCATTTGCAAATTAATGCTAATTCCATTGCATTTCATTAATACAATAATTCTCTTAAAAACATATCTTATTGTAGTTGTATTAACTCTTGCAACTGTGTGACAATTTGCCACATTGTCTAACAAGATACAAAAACTTCGCTTATCAGCCTTTTCTCACTATGCTTTATCTCATTATAGATTGATAGAATGGCCTCAATAGCTGTGACACCATTGATTTTGGGGAGTTTCCAACTCCTTGGCAATCAATACTTACAAAAAATTGTACAGCCGAACGTTTCTTCTGGACTTATGAGAAATGTATTAAAACTAATTACAGCTGTTATTCCCGATAGCCATCAGAAGTAAAATGAGCATTGATTTTCAGATTAAAAAAAAATGATATGGTTGATATGGTTATAGGGAAAGATGATGAAATGGATTCACCCAAAATTTATCCATAGAAGTTGAAATTAAGAAATTAAATAGACAAGCAAAGCAAATATTTCGCTGAAGATGCAGATAAAATTCAACACTGACGTTATGAAGAGTTATTATTCTAATAAGATATTAGTAAGCTGATAAAATGAATGCATCACTATATCAAATTGATCAAATTCAAATCCGCTTTTAGAAAAAACCCAACGAACAGGATTTGAAGAGTAATAAGTTACAACTGAATTTTGTCTACATCTCAATTGAAATAATTGCAATCAAGAAGATCTTCAAGAGACTTGCGAAAATGCCTAAAAACAGAGATTTCTGCCATCCAAGCGATTTTCTAAATTTGACTAAACCGTCACAGAATTGAAGAAATACATTCTCATTCAGGCGAATCATGCTAAAGAGCGTCACAAATCACTTCCAAGAACAATAAAATCCGAAATAGACTCATGATAAATCCAGTGAGAATTGCAATTGCACTGCACACGGATGGAATGTGCGAAGAGTGGCTTAAGTGATCGCTTATATTGATGTGTGAGTTGGGCAACTTTAGTGATCTCACACGGTGAATGCAAAAGACAGTAAATGGTAGGAAAAAGCTCACCGTTGCCTGCTATTTGAGGCTGAGTTAGTGAGAGAGTGAGAGAGAGAGCGAAGAGAGGCGCTTACCTGTGTGCCAGGTGGACACGTCGCGGGGTCATCGGCGGGTCATAGTCGCAGAATTTCTCCGATCGCTGCTCTCCTTTGTCTTGTCGCTCGCTCAAAATGATCTCACCCGACATTCCGATGATTCATAGGTGTTTCTCTGCTCAATGCCACGCGTTTCACAGTTCCTCGTGAGTGGGATTCCTCTTGGTCGCGCCGCTGCCTTTCGCTCGTGGCGGGAAAGCCCAGAAAGAGGATGGCAGACCGCGAACATCGCGCGCGCGCTTCACGAAGGCCGTGTAGGAGGACACGCAGTTGCCGATGAAGTGATTAGATATCTCCAGAATGGCCAGATCGAGGTGGGGATCATCTTCAGGCAGCTTGTAGACTGTCACACCTGTTCTCTTGAACGCCTCCGTCAAGTCACCGATCATATGATTGCTGTCCGATGCCACGAAGACACTTCGGATCTCATCTCCATGATGATACTCCTTGTATTTCTTCATCTCTCGCTTCAGCTGTCGCACGATGGCGTCGCGCGATGGGAAGCACATGTCGTGCGTCAGGGCGCCCTTCTCGCCGCGGTAGCCAATGCACTGGGCGACAGCGAAGAGTGTTGGGCTGTCTTTAGTGTGCTCACACGTCCGCACCCAGTCAATTCCGTTCCTCAGATGGATTCCCATGAAGGCGCCACGCGGCAGAGTCTCTCGCCTGAACTCTTGCGCCCTCGTCAAGAGATTCTCGCTGAACTTGAGATATTGCTGCAGCTCAATGTTCTCCCGCTGGACAGGAAATGACGCCGGAGCACCGCTAAAGGCCAGAACCGGGAATTTCTTGGCTGGATATCCCTCAATCCACTTCTCAGCTACACTGCCGTGGTGTACATCGTAATTCAGTGGCCCGTAGAATTCTGAGTCGACAAAGTCTACTTGGAATTCATCCCAGAATGCCCCAAAGGGATTTCCATCTTTGGCATTGCAGCTGTTTGTCTCCTTCCCATCCAGAGACTTTCTCGCCATGTAGCAAAAGGAGATTCTTTTGTCCTCGGGCCACACATCCTTCCCTATGGTGTCCATGAAGTTCCTCATCAGGATCACTCGATGGTATTTCCGGAGAGGCTCCACTTGGAAGTATTTGTCAAAGGGCACTTGAATAGACTTGGAATGTCCCTGCCGGTATTCCACCCACGGAGGCAGTATCAGGGTTCTGTTTAACTGTCTGGCAAACGCCAGAGCGCCCAGGAAGTGATCAGCTTGGTTGCCAAAGCGCCCTATTCAGTGGAAACAGAGAAAATTGTAATTTTTCCGGTAGTAATCAAAGATAAGTGGGGTTAGGGTCTCACCCATGCAAGGACAGTACGCTATGTATCCGTTTAGATCCACTTCTATCAGCTCACAGGCGCTCCATGTGATCCAGGAGATGATCACAAGGAGATAGCTGATGGGAAACCACAGCATTTTCACTGAAAACCGACCAAAACACACACTTTCCAGAATTCAGCAATTCAACGACCTCAACGACGCCTCTTTTTGATGAAGGTGTGGACCAACAGGTGGCGTGAGCAGCTGAAGAATTATTTAAATGTGCCAGAAAATTGTTGTTATTTTAACTCCGTTGGTTTTGCTTTTCACAGTTCTGGACTTTTGGGAAATTGAAACATGTCCTTAAATATTCTAGAAGACATCTCACAACAAGCAGTGCGTAAGTCCATGGGTATTCTTCATAAAATTTACCAAATTAAAGTATTTTCAAACTACGCCACTGAACTTGCATTCAGTGCGCTGAATTCAACAGGAATTTCCGTTACTCAGAGACTCAGAAAGATCCAGTGTCCTCTTTGTCCTCCAGTTCTGCCCCAATTTTACTCAACGATGGACGCGTCGAACATTGCGGATGAGAGTTTCCCATCAGATGTGCTGCTTAGCGACTCCTCAGGCGATGAAGACTGTCGTAAGTCATTTCCTGGCATTAGTATTCAGAAGACACCGGAAAACCTGGGCCAGAAACGCTCAAAGTCAGTGGATGAGCTGAGCCATTTTGGGACTTCAAGGGGCGACGACTTCAAGACTTCAAAACGCTTCAAGGGGCCTAATCATTATCGCAATGTGCCCAGCAAGGTGGCCCAGTACATCTCCGCCTTGCCGAAGCCAAAACCAGTCACCAAGCGTCTTGCGAAAGTGCAGACGATGCCAGAGATGCGCGCGCTGGATGAGCAGGTGTCGGGGCAGGAGCTGAAGAGGACAGAGGCGGAGAAAAAGGTGGAAGAACTGGTGGGCTACAACGCTAAGCTTCGCCGGCAGATCCAGGAGATGGAAGCGCAGCTGAAGAATGCCCGGGAAAGCGAAATAGCCACGATTCGACCCTCGGAGATTGTCCACGAGGCAGACGTTGGCGTCCGGAGGCGTTTCGTAGCGCCCGCAGAGGAACCGGAGACAGTCGTGTTCGACAGCTCACTGGTGAAGCATCGCCACGGGAAGACGCAGCAGCTGAAGAAAACCGTGAAGAAGCTGCTGTGCTGCACCGGAAGCGACACTCAATCGCTGGCTCGTGAGAACTACACGTACGTGAAGCTCACACACAATTCCCGGACCTCTGATTAACTACTTTAAAAAAAAAAACTTCTTTTCAATGTACTAAAATCAGTATTTTACATTTATTCAATAAATTTCTTACTTAATCATCTCTTTTTTTCATTTAAACAAACTTCACCTTTATTAATCTCTCTCTTCACTTTCTTTAAAAGTTAAAATAGTTTATCTCATCTTTCCTTACATTATTAATTTAGTAACTTCATCTCTAATTTTATTTGCTATTTCTTATTTGCTTTTCAAGTTTAGTTTACTCAATAAATAGTTTTTTTTTATTCTTTTAAATCTTTCTCTTTTTTACTCCTCAATGTTAGGGTTTTTCTTTCTTTCTTTCTGTCTGGGAAATATTTTATAAAAATTGAAAAATATTTCTTCAATTCTTCTTTTCTAATTCATTATACAGTGAAATCCTCTTTCTTAAGTAGACTCTTTATATATATTTCTTCTTGTCAAGATTAAATTCCATAAAATCTACCAATAGCTATCAAGTGATAAAAAATAGTCTGCACAGAAGAGGGAGAAAGATGGGATTTTAAAGAACATTCAAAGCCATATCAAATAAATTACTTCTTTGTACTGGATTTTGTTCTGCTTATGCAAGGTTTTTTTTTTGCTCTTAAAAAGATGAATTCTTTTGTTGTTGTCATTCCCATTCGCGCAAAATCACTCCCTCGGGTTTCTTAGGAAGAGAACAGGTAAAAGTAATTTTACAAACTCAATGTATAAAAAAAATTGGGAAAATTCTTAATTCTAGTTACTATTTATACTATGTACAAAATCTTCACACATTCTCTCCATCATGCATGCGATCATTGCTCAACGAAATTCTTATGAAGAACTTCCAATCTTCACATTCTTCACATCATCATCAATTATCAATAATCTACAGTTATTCTCTAGCGAACCTACGAAATATTTGCAGCAAGTGAACTTCTAATTTAACCTTTATGAGGAAGAAAATCAAAGGGAAAGAAACAATTTTTACACACTAATTTTCACGTATTATATACAGAAAAAAAACTACTTCTCATCTCAAACTTGAGCAATTATATGTGCTTTTTCTCCTCAGCTTGTCATGTGTCTCATAACAGAGCGCCTATGGCACCTCCTTCCTCCTCCTTCTCCTTCTCCTTCTCCTCTTTTGTACTATTCTCGACCTTTGTCCCGCTCTCCCCCTCCTCCTCGTCCCTCCTCTCCTCACTCGCAGTTGTCGAGACTTCCTGCATCTCCTCACAATTCGCGACATTCACCGTGGACGATGTCACAACATCGCACGTTGTGCTGGACACATTCGGATTCTCCTCGCTGACCACCGAGCTGTGGAACACTTCTGCAATTGCAACGCCACCTTTTAGTTTCTATGGTCTCATTTGGAACATTGCGCCACTGCAAACACACTCTCACCTCGAGCTGGAAGTCCACTCGTTAGCTCCTGAAGACTCTTGTAGGACTTTAGAGACTTGAGACGCTCCGACAGTGACTCTTGCTGCAGTTCCAGCAACGTCGGCGTCGGACTGAACGGAACTGCAAGACAGAAGAGGACAAAAGTTGTGATTAAGTCAAGCATTTATCATTCAAGGTGTTAGTGACAATTAACTCTCTTAAAGCTTTAAGAGGCGTTTTCAGGAAAACTCTCTCAGAAACTCACCATTCTCTTCAGGAGTCGATGGTGTTTTTGTAGCACTTGCACTGCTACTGCTGTCGTCCTTCAATTCCGACAGGATACTGGATTCCATGTTCTTGGCATTGACAAACTCTCCTTCCATCTCCTTTCCACCATCGCTATCAATCGTCAGTGGCGATGTTTTCTCACCGGTTGGCGTTAAGTCAGTGGATTGTAGTTTCCTCTTCCTGTATTCCGTGATTGAGAGCTGAAAAGTGCAAAAGCCACACTGAGAATAGTCCTCTTAAAATCATTGAAATACGCACACTAACCTTCCTCTTGGGCGCTGGTGGCGGCTCTGGTACACTGATGTTGGGATTCAGCCTGGGATCAGCACTGGCTGTTCTCGAGTACACCCTCGGCGTCGGCGTAGCGGCGACAGGAGCAGGAATGGGATCCAGCGAAGTGAAAGAGGCCTTCTGGAGAAAGCCAGTCTGAACGACAGATGGAACAGCAACCGGCGGCGGCACTGGCTGTGGTGGAGGTGTGTTCAGCGTGGTGAAGTATCCAGGCGCTGCCGGTGTGAACATATCCCGGAACGCTGTATTCTTGTCCAGATAATCGGACAACGGTGGCGGCGGAACACTGACATTGGCCAGTGGTGGCGGTGGAAAAGTGCTGAACATCGGTGGAATACCAAAACCAGCCGGTGGCGGAGGAATACTGGTCATGAGATTTGTAGCATTGTTCAGCAGATATGACGAATACGATGCCACTGTTGTCTGAGGTGGCGGAATGCTGGAGTTGAAGTTCGCAGGAAGTTCCAAAGGCGGCATTCCGTGTGGAATGACAATCGGTGCTGGTGAAGGTTCAAGTTGAATCTCTTCAATATCTGAACTCTGTCTCTTCTTCGCCACTTTCTGTGGCTTCTTGTCCACAAACTCCTCAGAGTCAACTCTCTGCTTTGCTTTTCTATTCCTTGACTTCAAGAAGAGAATGTTTTCGGCATGAAATGAGTGGATTTTCTTCTGCAAATCCGCTATCTCATCACTATTGACATCCTCAATTTCCACCAAATTGCCATGGTCCTTCAATTTAACTGCCTCCAATGGTTCTATGTCAAAGGATTCTGGATGAATCTCCTCCTTGATCACCGTTTTAACATCCTCAATTTTCTCATTTTCCTTCTTCACTGGAAGAAGAGTCTTCTTCTCTTCCGCCTCCTCTTCCAGCACCGCCTCGTTTTTTACCTCAACTGGCTTCACATCTGCAATCTCCACTTTAGCTTCTGGCTTCTGTTCCTCACCAAATTCAATCTTTGCATCCTCAGGCTGTGGAGTCATCGGAAAAAACCCCGATTGTGTCGGTGACAGATCCTCAACCATGTCTGAGCATTGCCTGGCCAGACGCCTCTTCTTCAGCGGCGTCATGAAGCCATTCGGTGGCGATGGCACCATTTCATCCAGGCATTCCTCCGAGATCGCCTGACGCAGCCATCGCTTCTTCACAGCACTCTCACTCCCACCAACTGTGGGCGGAGTCGGTAACGGCGGCGGCACGAGAACAGTGCTGCTCTCCTCCTGTGCACTATTCCTCGACTGATCCTCCTCGTCAGCCTTCGTGTCTGTCAATGTGATAAACTCTTCCACCTTCTTCGCCATTATGCTGAGATTTTGCGGCTCCTCCTGCATCCTGTGCACCCCACGATATTGCTGTGTCCCGTGAATAGACACCGCCGCATGCACTAGAGTCTCCAGATTCTTCCCAGGACTAGCACCAGCATTCCCAAACAGTTCGCTGCTCGGATAAGTGACAGCATCCGCCTGATTCAGCCACTCATTCATAATAGTCTTCTTCGTCTTTGTCTTGTGCGGCAACTTGAAATCATTCTCCACACATTGATTCTCCAGCGGCGCCACAGCAGCCTCGACTAGCATACAGACACTGGCAAATCCACCGACTTCCGCCTCCGCCTGCTCATTCTTCCTACCATCTCCAGCCCCTCCTGGTGTCCTCGCCAATGCCAACAGCATTCCTGCTGCATTATCATCATTTGCAGGCGTCTTCACAGGTTCACTATTCCTGTACAGTGACGCCCCAGAAATCGGTGGCGAGAGCATCGCGCCAGACTCCTCCGAAGTGGCATTATCTGACTCATTGGAATTCATTCGACTTCTCCGTCTCTTCCTCTGAGTATTCACTTGCTGATAAGATTTACTGCCTTTGCGCTTCTTCTTCTTCTGATGATTGTTCAGCAATTTCTTCTCGTCCTCATCCTTGAGACTCTTCTGTGTGCCAAAAGGTGAAAAACTATTCCGCCGTCTCGACACGGAACTCGATGAAGTTCCAACACTTGCACTGCCCGAACCCTTTTGCTGCTTCAATTCCTGCTTCCTCTGTGATGTCTTCTCCATCTTCTCGAACGCCTTCAATATCGCCTCCATCTTTCGCTCTTCCCTTGTCAGCTTTCGCGCCTCCGGAGCCTCTTTACTCGCCACAGACTTCTCCTCTTGTTTCTCCTTCACTTTCACCTCAGCAACATCCTCAGCGCTATGTGATGTCATTGATTTCTGCTTTACCACTCTTTTCGGTGGTTTTGGCGTCGCCGGCGGAGGATTTGGCGTCAGTGGTGCCGAAGCAGGACTCAGTGGAACAGCCTGAGGTGGAACCACAGGCGCAGGAACCACCTGTGGTGGCGCTACGGGTGTCTTCACTGGGGATTCCGGGGCACTGGGTGGCAAAATAGGTGACAAAGCAGCCAAAGGGACGGGTTCCTTTACTGCTGCCACCGCCTCAATATTGGGCGATAGGAGTGTTGGTGTCCCAGGAACACTTATGGTAGTCGCTGATGAGGCTGTCGATAGATTGAGTTGATTCCTCGTGGGCGACGGTGGATATTGAGTCACCATTTGTGTCACCGTTGGCGGGAGACTCGCTTGAGGAGACGACAATGCAGCTGCCGCCGCTTCCAGAAGCTGTGGCTGAATGCTAGGCGGCGCCAGAGCCGTGCTGGAAATTTGCGTGGGCACAAACACCTGTCCATTGGGAGATAACATGCCCACATTGCTCTCCCCAGACGAGGACGTCGATCTATTGCGACTGAAAGAGTTCTTGCTGCGCTTATAGCCGCCACTCTCTTTCGGCTGCTTATGATAGTTTCCATTCACTCTTTTACTCGCACTCTTGCCTCCGCCCGTTGACTGTGACAGAGATGATGACACTCCCGTGCTGGGAAACAGACAGTCCTTCGTCAAGCCACACGCACATACAGTGGATGTGGGCGACGAGACACTTCCCTGACTCACGCCTATCAAGTCATGAGGCTCATGCCTGATGGTGATCTCTGTGCTCTCCTTAATGTTCAGCATTGACACAATGTACAGATGAATTGTCCCCTTCTCAATGAAGTGCACCACCTCGGCATTGGGTCGACATGATCTCCTCACGAATCTCGCCTCATTGCCATACGTTCGTGTGTCCACACAAATCTCAGGCCCGTCATTTGGCAGGCGATAGAAGAAGATGAATGGCCCCGGATTCTTACTCACCCGACTGCTGGCCGTCAACAATTGCTGCTTGTACTGTCCCGACAGCATATACTTCCCCCGGATCTCCACAATGGGCATATTGGGCGTCAAGTCCAGACTGCTGATGAGTATCTTCCCACCAGCATGCGGCACTGTGCCACACTTGCCATCCAGATTGCCCACATTCTTCAAATTGTACGCATGATTGTTGAGTTGCTGGTGACTCAGCTGCTTCCCCAGCGCCTGCAGACGCGCCCTCAACTCTGGTGAATAGTGATTCGTCACCGCCTGCTCATAGTTCTCAATCCACGTCCTCAGATTCATCACACTCTTCTCCACACCACCATTCTCTGCACTCTGCTGCTGCTTACTCTTCCTCTTTGTACCCTTCTTCGTCTCCTTGCGCTTGCCATTCGCCCGACTGCCACTGTCACGCTTCTGCCTCTTGCCCACAAATCCCTCACTCTTCTTCCTGCCCAAAGTTCGTTGCTTCTTCGATGTCGGCGACAAGTTGTTCAGCGGCGCAATACCACTTCGTTGTTGTTGCTCCATCACCGGCATCGTCACAGTGCTGTCAATGGCAATCGTCTGCTGCGGCAGCGGATTGAACATCATCAACTGCTGCTGCTCCCTTCGCTTGATCAGCTGCAACGACCGCGCGCGATTCTTGTCCACCGGCCTCGGCTGACACACCTCACAATTGTACTCATCCGGAATATTTTGCCTATCAATTCCCATGCAGTCCACATGTTGCCAAGCCCTGAAAAATGCACTCATTAGAACCCTTTCTCTGCACAATTTTACACACACGCCGCACACAAGCTCCAATACTTACGAGCATTTGTCGCAGCAAATCATGTAACCATCATCATGCGTGAGATCACAAATGCACCGCGTCACTGAGTCATCCTCACCCTCACCTTCGGGCGCCGTCTCTGTCTCCTCACCCAAATCGTTCTCCAGGGCGTTCTTACCACTCCGTGAGTCATTGCTTATCACCGAATTGTTATCATCATCGTGTCCTGCAAACAGACAAACAGTGTGATTTCGTGTGTCCACGGTAAATAACTACTTTTCGCCTCCACACACGGAAAGTGAGTTTGATTTGTATGCACAAGAGCTCAGCGGATTTCGTATTATACGCTAAATATGCCATCAGACAATTCACATTCTTACAGGGAATAAAAAATCAATACCTGAACCCCACTTTCACTCGTTCAATTTTTCATCCATCATGAATATCTAATGATTTCAATAGTAAATTAGAAATAGCAATTTGTGTACATGGAAGTTATTCTAGGTAAGAGAATTTAGTCATTCACAATAACTGTTGGACAAACTATTGAAGACGGAAGTATTAAGCGATGTGTTGAGTGTACAGAACATTCATGATTACCAGAATATGAACAGGACTTACAAATGTCAATCAGGAGTAATACTCACTTTGTTGATTGCATGAATATCCCATCAGAATGTGGGCAAGACTGGTCTCCGTTGAATTTGCACTGGTGTTCTGGAAGGTGTCTGTCGGCGTCTCCTGACTCGCCATGCCTTCTGGCATGGGAGCAGCATAAGTGTGATCCTGAAGTGCCGGATGCTGCATTATCAACTTCGTGTCTTTTGCCGTAATTTGCTCCTCTCCATCCGTATAGTCATCCTGATCGTGACTCTGATCGCGCTGACTGTAGTCCTCATTGGACGCCACCAGCGGTATGTTGTCAATGAATGTTGTCGTTGTTGTCTGCAAATCCGATGTATTCACCCTAAAGTATTCCGGTCCATGTTTCCCATCTGGCGCCTGATAGTGTGGCATCGGATATTGCTGATGAATCTGCACAGGATTCGTTTCCGTAGTCATTGTGTTCGATGAGGTGATTAAGTACTTCTGCTGCTGTATGTAGCGATTGTTGTTGTACACAGCTTTCTGTGAGAGACTCTGAAGAATGCGTGCCGACATCTCCTCATCCATTGACATGCCGTTCATGTACATCATATCATCGGTCGTTGTACTCGACACATTGTCCACTGTTGACGATATTGCTGCAGATTCTTGTGCTGAATTTGCATATGTTGACGAATTCAGTGGATTCATCATCCCAGGATTCCCCGAGACATTAGATTTGATCTTCGCCACCGGCGGCTGTGTAACATTCCCTTGAGCATTCACATACTTTATCGTACCACCTTGTATGATATTGAATGGTGGCACCGTTGTGGCATTCTGCACCATCTTTATCTGACTCCCGGGAATTTGTGATGTCGCCTGAGGCATTGTCGAATTATGATGCTGCACTTGAATCACCTTGTTGGACTTCACAATCTTCTGACCACCACTCCCCTGAATCACCAAATTGCCCATACTCGTCACAGCGCGAGTCTGTGTGACAGAACCCATCGGTTGTCCAGTTGAGATGTTGTTGAACTTCACCGGAACTCCTGTGTTGTTATTGAGTGACGATTGGATGTGAATTCCTGCGGATTTTGGTATATTTGTCGATGGATATTGCTGAGAAATTGTCGTCAAATTCGGTGCTGGTGCATTGACATTGTTGTACACTTGCTTCATGATCTTGTTGGTCACCTGACCAGGCGCTGGTGACTTCAGTGGAGCCGCTTTGGTCACCGTCTTCACACCCTGAGCAATCTTCTGCCCACCAACGTTGCCCGTGTAGATCTTCATGCCAGACGGGAACACTTGCTGCGTCCCACTGACAATCTTGGGCGCCTTCTGGCTCACACTATTGAATGCCGTGGTCTTCACTGTTGCCTGCTTGGTGACCGGCTGAAATTGCTGCGGCTGCGACGTCGCCAGGCGCGACATGATGATATTCCCACCAAGTGTAGGATGCGTTAAGGTCTGTACACGCGTCAGTACCTGAACATTCCTCGGCACTGACAGCTTCTGCACAATTGGCGAGGGCTTTGGCGGCACCTGCTGACTCGCCTGACCCTTGATAGGGTTCATCAGATTGACAATTTTGCCGCTTGGCGGAATACTTTTCGACACAAAGGCATTTATATACCCACTATTTGCACTGGAATTGATTGATTTGCTCGTTGTATTCACAAAATTGATGGTTTGCTGTGTCGCCTGCGCTTTTGAGACCAGCGTCACATTGCTAATGACATGCACTTTCGATCCACTCTGGCTGTTCATCAGCTGTGGCGTCACCACATTTTGACCACGATAATTGCCACCAATCTCCTGACTTCCACTCGATTGCTGCTGCTGCTGCTGTTGCTGCTCCTCCAGCTTTACGATTTGGGGTGACGCTATAATCTCATTTGTTGCCAAATTGATGACACTTCCCGTGAGATTTCCTCCACTCTGACCACCTCCTCCTCCTCCTGCTGCCACTTCTGCCTCCACCACTTCGCTGTGCTGCTGACGGAAGCCATCACTGGCGCTGCTCGCCATCACCTGACCACTGTCCACCACAATTCCACCCCCTGAAGATGGAACTTGAACTGTGGTGGACATTGCGATGTCCTCTGTGCGCTCCACCTCAACCTCCAATTCCAATTTGGTGTGGACCAAAAGGGATCTCCTTACGGTTCGTCTCGGCTTCGTTCTCTCTCTCTCAAGTGCTTCTCTTCTTTTCACCTTCGCCACTTAGAAGGGAAAAGCGGGGAGAATTACCTCCACAGAATCCACCTTTCTAGCCACTAATATCGTTCCTTTCTATGTTTTTTGTGCACTATTAGCATAAAATAAATCTGGAAGAATGTAAGAAGAATTATTAAATTTCCTCCAAAGTGAAAACCTTAAAGGATCACTCACCTTCTTTTTCTGCTAACACTACAATTTCCATGACATGCAAAAACATCGCACACATCAGAGATTTCTTCCAGGGATCCCACGATAAACTCCTCACAAGAAGAGAATTTATCTGCAAGTAAACAGAGAATAAGTTCACATTAATCATTGAAATTATTAGCAAACATTTTGAGAGCTTCTAGTGTCATGGAAAATCGACAAACATTGAGATATGTTAGAAATGAAAATGATTTTGTATCTCAATAATTTGTCTATCAATAAATAATTCACAATTTGCAAGTACATTTTCATCTCTTCTACGACTTTTTTGGAAAGTAAATGGAATTTCTGCGCAACTTTGCGCACCCCAAATTTTATGCTCCTGGTTTGCAAACAAAGAAAAACATTGAAAGACGACGACTTCCTTCATCCATATTCTGTCTATTTACAAAAATTCACATGAGAGCTTTCTTCTGGAGCTTTTCAAGTTTTTCATCGCCTTCGCGACTCAGCAAATCGCCGATATTTCTCGCACTCCCTGAATTCACTGATTTTTTCTTCCCTCAAGGCCAACCATCCAGTTTTTTTTTCTCCTTCATTCCACCCATTCCGCATACATATATTCATTTGTGATTTTCCAAGTTGCTTTTTTTCAGCAACACTCTCTTCTCCGCGCCACACACATGAAAAAGAGTCACAATGTCTGTATATAGTTCTCTCAAATACACCTAAAATTTTGTTGTATTTTGTGTATTGGCATTTAAACCACTCGTACTGCGCTTAATAAAACATTGCCAGTGTGACGCAAGGTTTTCAAATACAAACATTACAGACAGAATATTTGGGGACTTGTTGTATATCTGCTGCATTCAATCGTCTGGAATTTCACCCCACCAAAGAGATTCAAAGATGTGGAGTGCATAAGATATGCATTCTTGATTTGTCCTAACATCGCTCGTCATGTGCCATCAATTCAAAGGAGTTCAGGAGAGTCTGACAGAATAAAAATGCAGTGTGTAACAACGAAATCACCTCAATTCATCCCTTTTCCGCAAATGTTCATAGTTTCTCTGTGAAATTCACCAAAATCACCTCAACTCATGCAGTCCATCTCATTCACACTCCCATGCCAATAAACTACCTCAACAGACCATTCCCTCTTCCACCTTTCCCCCCGTGTATCACATAGCCAAGGTGTCCCAAATTCAACCTTGCCGCCACCCTCACACCCCCCAAAGGCGAGAGCGAGAAAGAGATAGAGATCTCGTAGGAAAAGCCACCCCCAAAACATCCACATCAAACACCTTTCTCTCTCACACTTGTCACTCAATCCCCAATATCATCGTTTGCATTCGAATCTGCCATTCTATTGATCCAAAATACACAACACACTCGCCTGTTCTCTTCCTTTTGCAAATTTTTCATTGTGCGATAGTGTACATATGCTGTGCACATACTCTCTCTCTCCCCCTCTCTCTCTCTCTCATACAGTGACATACAATCGTCAATAATGTGGAGAGACTGCGCTACATTGCGCGACATTTGTTCAGTCACAAAAGTGGAAGAAATTCGATATAATAGACACATCTTATGAAAATCTATGAGAATCTCAGGAGACAACAAGGGACAAAATAAGACAGTTCTCATGATATTTCGAAGAATGTCTCATAGAATATTGCATGACATCTTATAATCTCTCCATTCTTGCATTGTATTATGAATCAGAAAGACAAACAAATACCCAAATCACACTTTAACCCTAAGAAGCGCTGTATATAAAATCCCTTCGATCAAGCTGGCCACTCTGGCCAATTCAGAAGAATATGATGATAGAGAAAGGCTTGAGATTCAAATTTGGCCATAACGGTCACAAAGCGCCTCTAGTGTTAAAAAAAAACATATTCTTCATTGTGATCTATTGAATATAGAAAAATCAACGATGCATAAATTCTTTTCAAATATTAATCATCCCAAATGGCAACAATGTTTGTGTCTCCTTTCTTCATCGCATCATACTCAAAGAGCCTATTGAAATGTGCACTTCCTGACCCAACTACTTTTCCCTGGCACACTCTATGTACCAGAGAGAACGCACCACGGCAATCGTGCGCATGTGCACTGAAATATAGTGTGAAAGAGAGAGAATTTCTCTCTGCTTTGCTTACATATAGTATATTGGCAATTGACAAGTGTGTGCGAGAGAACTGATACAAGATGTGGCAAATTTTCTAATTTTATCCCACACACAAGTGCAAAAATACTGCATTTTCCTCATTTTCACCACTTGGGACATATCATGTCTTCACATCCTAACCTCAAATATTCCCTTTGCATATCGATTAGTATATATATATCTACACCCTTTTGTTGCATTGTACACTCAGCGAAAGTCCTGACAGACAAGATCATAAGAACTGCATAACATTTTTTGTGTATTGCAAAAAAAAAAAACAGCAGCTCCAATTCTACTCCTCCTTACATTGCTTCTTTACACAATAGCGCATTTTGGAGTCACTGTACGAAAGCAGAAAAGAAAATATTTTTGTCTATTTCACATATATGCACTTCACTCTCTTTCAAATTCAGGTTATTGACCATACACACAACACACTCATTTCCTATTTATTTTATGGTGTGTTTTCTTTTTGCCAATTGTCATTAACTTGTGCTACTATTTCTGGCCTTTCTGTGTACATTTTTACCCACGTTCAAACAGTGCGAACTCTCTTAAGCGATTATCATGTAAATATATATATATATACAAACAATCCTTCAGTGCAAATTTCATATACAACACCGCATCCACAACAGTGTTTATATATTTAAACAAATATTATGATATATTGATAGCATTGTGTTGTAAACAAATTGTCACAGGAGTGAATTTGCCTTTATGCAAAAAAAAATCTCAGGTTCTCTTATATTTGTGCATAAATTTTTTTTTTTTTACAGAAAAACAATAAACAAAAACATATTTATCTCCCCCCTCAATTCGACCAAGGATAAGACAAGCATTCGGCCCTAAATCCAAATCTCAATAATTTACACATTTTGAAAATGCAAATAAATGCGTAATGCTGACCAATTGTGCGCTCTTTTTTAGGCTCTCGTGTGCGTGTGAACACGAGAGAGGAAGGAAGTCGATTACAATTGTTTTTTTTTCCTCCACATCACACAGAGTTTCTCTCTCTCTCTATCAGCAAATACAGCAGTGAAAAAGACCATGAATGAGCATGGATATCTTATCATAACAGTGTGTCAACTGATTTCAGCTGTTTGTGGACCTCCATATAATGTATCAAAAATTCCTCGATCACCCGTGCAAAGACTTAGGAAAGTCACAGAGAGCGCAATTGACTAGCGAGCATCTTAAAATAAATTTTTCTATCGCACCTCATCGTGTATGTGACAAAAACACACGCGACATAGGATAGGCAGAAAGGAGGTAACATCGCGATAGATGGAGTTAGTGTGACCACGAATGCTGTCTCGCTCTCGCGTGTGGTGTTCTTATTTCAAATTTTAAATTCAATCGCGCGCAGCAGTGGAAATAGACATTTTAGCGATACACGAGCGAGTCTCGCACACTTCTCGCCGCCACTCTTCCATCTCTCATATGTAAACATTCGCTATTGTATACATTTACCATTCATTTTCATATTGATACAGCGCCAATGCTTGCATATGTGTGTGTGTATGTGTGTGCAGAGTGTAATCAAATATGGCTGACGCTTTTTTATACACACATCTCTCGCTGAGCTCCCTTCGTGGAGGCACTTTTGATATCGCATATTCTCCTCACCAGCCATCTATCGTCATCTCCCATAAACACCCATTCGACCACTATGGGTGAGAGCGAGAGCGCGTGTGCGTGAGAACAGGACAGATTCAATGGCCGCCTCTTTACCACGCCTGCGCTCAGTGACAAAATTCAATATAATCCAAATAAATTCACTCGTCATGTGTGTGCGTGTTGAGCAACACAAGCCCTAGATTGTGCTCAATTGTGAAGTCAGAATAAATGGCCTATCAACCACCACAATCCCCTTCACGCCACTGGGATTCTCCAGGCCGCCACGAAAGAGTCCCAGCAATTGACCTTGAGGCGTTTTGCTCCACAAACTGTACCGTTTCTCACGCATTTTACGATCTTTTAACTCACTTTTAAAATATCTTGTTTATACAATATGCTTTTTTACTACCATTGAAGGAATTTCTGTTTTTTTTTCACGGCGTTTTGGGTGTGAAAAATTACCTAAACGATTACTGATCGATTCTATTATTTTTGATTTAATGAAACACTTTAATCTATTTTCAGAAAAAGTAATAATTTTTTTTAGTTAATTTGCCTTTGGTTTGTTCCGTAAATGTCATTCAAGGTTACATCTAAGTTTTTTTTTGAGATAGTTTAAATCGACAAAGTAGTTTAAAGCAAGAGACAAGAAAATAAGACAATCAAAAGCCCGCAAAAATAGGTTCAAATAAGAAACAACTCTAAAAAAAAACATGGAAATATATCCTTGATTAACAAATCCTTTTCATAAACCGTCTAAATTTTACAAATCTATTCCTACACTTTCTCAGCTTACTTGACGGGCATCTCATATTCCTTCGATTCGCAATAGCTGTGACTTTGCAACGCGAGCACGCCGAGATCGCTCATTTCCATCTCGCAGTCTCTCTCTCTTTGCGTTCTCTGGCTCTCGCTGAGGCGAACAGACAGAAAAAATACACATCGCGACCGCTCTAGTCGTCTCCTTTCCACCCGGTGAACATCACCCGTTCTCGCTCTATCATTTTTTTTGATCAAAAATAAATTATTTACTATCTTCTACGGGGCGAATAGTGCGAGCGAGAGAGCGAGAGAGAATTCTTCGCTCATCGCAGTGAGAAATTTTGCAGGGATTTTTCGCTCTCGTGAGAGAGAGCTGGACATGGCCTCCTGAGGGGGCGCACGGACCGTCGCAAAAACTCCAATAGGCGGATTTTGTCACCCAGTCAAACCATCAGAGAGAGGAAAATAAAACAACAAAACCGCGCAAATGGAAAATTTTCGCCACTCAAGCTTTCGGGGGGATTTTTCGCTTCGTGAAGGCTCTGACAGGCTTCCTGCCACACTTGCCGCTAAGGTGCTGCGGGAAATATTTGTGGACGATGCGATAGGATAAATTGGCGTTAGCAATTGAACGCTTTCTCGCTTCCACAAAACGATAGGAAAACGTACGCCATTGCTCTGCGTTCTCATTTCTCCGCCATTTGTCACACAGTGTGCGAGAGCGAGACAATCAGCTCTGTTCAGAGAAGATTCGATATTCGGTCCACTGGGAGGTGAAAAATCGCCGAAAAAACACTTTTTCACACTATTTCGCGATGGAAAAATTACGGAAAACACTGTGGCGAGTTCTTTTCAACCAAAGGAATACATTTTCTGGGAATTATGGGATGTCTATGTGGGAGAAAAATGTCTCCGAAGTGGCGACCGAGTCGTCGACTGGAAATAAACAGCGGCAAATTCCGTGAAAAACTTCTTTTTCCTCACTGAAAACTATTAAAAAACCAACTGCAAAACTCTTGAGGCACTTTTTGCACATTTCTGAGGCGACAAGTTGCGGAGAAGACGGATTAAAAGATGGATTTGGGAGTTCGGTGGAAAAAGCATTTCAATAAACACTCACTTCAGTGGATATTTTGCTGTAGACACTGCTAAACGCCTCACTATGATGTCTCAATCCAATCTCTGGCACTTTAGTCACTCTGTAGACACTATTTGCGTAGATATCATTGCGCCAAGTGCACTGAAAATTGCCTTGAAATTGAAAAACATTCACACTAAACTCTAATGGCCGCCATATTAGTAATTATTCCGATTGGCGGTGGCGCTGCATGTGGTCAGCACGGGAAACGGCGTCGTGACAGCTCCGCGACATCCGCTGAATACGCCATGTTTCCGCTTTCGAGCACCTTCGACGGTTTGATTCGGGCAGTTTGCTCGGCTGGTGGGGGCGAGAGTTCAGTGCGTGTTTTGGTTGCAAAACAACGTCGCCGATCTCACGTTGAATCTCATTTTAAGGTAGTTTCGGGGGAGTTTTTCCTCGGTGAATCCGGCCCCGCAGCAGTGTTGACGTGGTGAAGTGTGCCTGTGCAGAATGAGCGATGTTCGGTAAATCAGGTGGTGGAAGAGTAGCAAGAGTAGCTTTTTTGTGGGGCTCCTAACCAAACATTTCTCGCCATCACGCTCTAACAAGACCCCGAAAATCAATGCAAAAAACTCCCCTAGATAGCTTTCCGAACACACAATCAGCGGTGCCATAGAAATGCTCTGTTGGTGTTTGCCTAACAATCCCAGTAAAGCTCCGACGTTGGCCGTGTCAAGCGAGATAAGATTTGGGGTCAAAGAGTGACACTCCGAGTCGCTTTTCGGGGCCTCAGTCGCAAATAGCAGTCGCCTAATAGCACACAGTGTTTGTTTGTCTCGCTAAGTCATGTCGTTAAGGTACTGATTTTCTCAATTTACAACACAAACATTATTTGCACCTTTGCGCTTGACGTGCTCTGGACTGATAGCGCTAATCGCTGTGATTGCCTTCCAGAGACGGCCTCCTGCTGGGCATGGGAAATCCCCTGCTGGACATCTCAGCCGTTGTCGATGAAGTCTTCCTGAAGAAGTACGATCTCTTGCCGGACAATGCCATCCTCGCGGACGAGAAGCACAAGCCAATGTGAGTATTCTTCCCATTCAACTTCCAAGGCGAGCATCTTCAGCAAAATTTCACCGAGCACGTTCATTGATAAACCAGTTTTATCAGCTAATTGCTTCTCATTAGCAATATCGTGTGCGGTTTGTTGTGAGTTTATCTTGATTTGTAACTCAAGTATATTGTAAATATTAGCAAGCATTCCTAGAATGAGTGAATTAGAATCAACTTGTGAATGGCAAAAAGTCTAAAATCAACTACAAAGGTTTCAGAGAAGTTTGATATGACGAGATAAGACAAAAAACGTGCACCGTTTTTCCATATTTCAATTAAACTTAATTCCCCATTTTTCTTTCTGCCACTTAGAGAAACGAAAAATTTTATTTCTCTAATTTGCTTACGTCAAGAACTTTCCAATAAATCCCCACTTAAGGCTCTTGGTTCTTCCGAATCTTCCTTATTTTCCTTAATCATTTTTGGATTCTTGAAGTCAAATGTTGTGAGAATTGATGATTTTTTGTGAGCTTTTCTATTAATAAACACTTTTTCTGGTCTCTCTCTGCAGGTATAGCGAATTGGTGGAGAACTACAATGCCGAATTCATCGCCGGAGGCTCAGTGCAGAATACTCTGCGCGTGGCCGAATGGATTCTGCAGCGCGGAAATGTGGCGGTGTTCTTCGGCTGTGTGGGTCAGGACAAGTATGCCAAGATCCTGGAGGAGCGCGCCCACGCGGCAGGCCTCAATGTGCAGTTTCAGTACACCAAAGACGCACCCACGGGCACCTGTGGCGTGCTGATCACGGGCCATCACAGGAGTCTGTGTGCGAATCTCGCGGCCGCCAATCACTTCACCATTGACCACCTGCAGAAGCCGGAGAATGAGGCGCACGTGCGCAATGCCGAGTACTTCTACGTGTCTGGCTTCTTTCTCACCGTCAGCCCACCGTCGATTCTCTCTGTGGCGAAGCACGCGCTGGAGTGGAACAAGATGTTCATCTTCAACTTGAGCGCGCCCTTCTTGTCGCAATTCTTCAAGGAGCCACTCATGCAAGTGCTGCCCTATGTGGATATTCTGTTTGGGAATGAAACGGTGAGTTTTGGGTTGTTGGGCGAGCGCGGTGATTTGTGCCAAATCACGGTTTATCAGGGCCAAAGTCTTATCTTGTCGAGCTGAGTCTTGCGAGGCGCGCGTGAATAACAGCTGATAAGGGAAAGAAGGCTTGTTTGTGTGGCGCTGATTTCATGATGGAAGCAAAAAGGATCACCTGACCTGAATCTTTCGCTAAAATTGCTCAGAAAAACACTCATTCGTCTTGCTCATTGTCTCGCAGAATGTTAATTTCTTTAAAGAATTATCTCATTAGATCTAATTAGAGTGTCAATTTACAAGCGTCAACCGAGCGTCTCTGTTCTTGAGAAGAGTAACGTGACTCACATTTAGCGTTGTGTCTTTTTCAGGAGGCGGAGACTTTCGCGGAGGAGCAGAATTTGGGCACGTGCGATGTCCGGGAGATTGCCAGGCTGATGGCGGACTTGCCGAAGGTGAACAGGAAGCGGCAGCGCACTGTTGTGATCACTCAAGGCGCCCGGCCGGTGCTCGTGGTGCAGAATGGCGTGATGCACGAGTTTCCGGTGCACAAACTCGACATGGCGGAGGTGGTGGACACAAATGGGGCCGGAGACGCTTTTGTGGGTGGCTTCCTCAGTCAATTGGTGCAGGGGAAGGCGCTTGAGGCGTGCGTCAAGTGTGGCATTTGGGCGGCGCAGAAGATCATCCGGAACTCTGGATGTACTTTCGAGGGGAAGCCAGATTTCGATCTATGAGCAATAAAAAACAGGAAGTTGGAACCAAAATCTGGCTATGTTTGCGTGTAGAGATTGGCGATGGCGGGATCTTCGGTCTCGTAGATGATCAGGACGTCCTTGAACTTGTCCAAGAGCTGCAGCAATTGTGATCGCCGCAGGTTCTCGAAGTAGATGATCTCCTCGAGGTGATGATTGCCGGCAAAGTAGCCCGCTTGGTAGAGCTTCACCATCAGCGCGAGATCCTCGATATTGGACGCGGCGGGAACTTGTCGCACGGCCGATCGCTCGGGTTCGTTGAAGGCCAGGAGGAGTTCCTTTGTCTTCTCCTCGTCCTCGGCCGATCCCAAGCTCTCGCCAGCGTCTGTGCTCAGCGACACGCTCTGCGTGGTGCTGTAGTTGGACTTGTGGCTGGAACTGGGTGGCGCTGCGATGTTCTCGAATACCGTGGAGTCGTCCAGGATACTCTCGGAGAAGTGTTCGTCTGTGAGGGAGCGGCGACTGGTGTTGGGCACTGGCATTGGTTGACTGGACATGCTGAGGAGACTTCCTGCGTGTCTGGCGAGAGACAATTTTAGAAAATCATTTGTATTTCGACTTCTCTTGACAATATACTCACAAATCATCGTCCGGGGAAATGGAATTGTCTCCAGCGTCGAATTCCGTGGGCTGTTCCTCCATCTCTGGCGGCTCTTCGTGCTCTGTTGGCATGAACTGCACATAGGTGTGAAGCTGCATCAGCAAGTGATGCTGCAGCATCCACAGCACCATCTCAGCCAGTCTTCCTTGGCGCGCCGGAGGCTGTAGAGGCGTCGTGAGGTGACCAATGGATGTGGGCAGGGAGAAGTCACTAATCACCTCGAACAGCGACATTCTGGGGAACTTGAGTTTGAACTTCTCCACCAGTGGCGAATGGATGTGCAGCGGTGCGTCCGGAGCGATCACGTACACATTCGTCTCGCACAGCGGATAGATGATTGTGGCTTTGGCCCAGTAAACCAGGTGCCCCACGAGTTGGTAGAGGTGCTCGATGGCCAGATCGGCGTCTGTGGCCATGTTTTGGAGGCTCTTCAGCGGATTGTAGACCTCAATCAGCTGGATTAGCATCCGGGCGCCGGACGGAGGGAAGCAATCGAGCAGTTCTGAGGGATCCACCAGCAGCAACATCCCGTGATAGGGCTTCAGTGACTCCAGGCAGCGATCGATGGCTTCGGGCTCCACGATGAAGCCCTTTTTGTGGAACTGGTGCGCCTTCTGCGGCAAACAGAAGCTCAGCGTCATCCACTGGTTGATGGTGACACTCAACAGACCCGTTGTGCACAGATCGTGATAGATAGTCTTCAGGCACTGCGCCAGACTCGATCGCTCGAGCACAAGATCGAAGACGGAAGGCACTTTGGGCGTGATTCCATTGCCGCCACCCTGTTCAGAGATCGTGGCCACCTCGTCGTGAGTCTTCACCATGATTTTCATCTCATCCGACAGGTATCCAGCGCGATCCTCCTCGTAGAACAGGGCAATTCCCAGGCGCTTGCTCAGCTCGTAGTAGCATTTCACTGTCGAAGGAGAGTTTGGGATCAGTTTCAGTGCAAATTGGGCGCATTTGTCTCACCTATGGAGTAGCTAGCTTGGGCGTGCAGGGCAAAGACAATGTTGACGAGGATGAAGGACTTCTGTTCATCCTTCTTGGGCTGCATCAGCGTTGGATGACTGACGAATCTCACGTCGTTCACTTTCAATTCGAACTTCCTGTTGCACAGTTCCTGCTTTACTGCGAATAACGTCGACAGCACTTCGTCGGTGAAGCCTGAGAGGTTGCCCTGGTAGATGTTGGAGGTGTGGGTGTGGGAAGACTGCAAATCCTCAGCTGGAGGCAGGGAGTAAGGAGATTTCCTCACTTTCTGACGACTCGTCTCACTAGGCGGCACAACATTGTAGGGATACCGGAAGAGGAGACGATCTCCCTTGCTGTCCGACTTGACGAGGATCACACTCAGTGGATTTACTTCCATCGTGGATAATGCAGAAGTGCAATCAACGACCAGAAAAGACAGAAATCCAGAAAACCTGTGATTGTGTTATCACATGTTTACAAAAACACGCGCAGGGTTGTCAACTGACATTGTCAGCGGCGCGCTGAAAACAAGTTTTTTGCATTATAGAACTAGAGAATTGCATTTTTCGCTGAAACGATAAGAAAATTTGTCTTCTTGGAACTCTTGGAAGCATTTGCGGGATTTTCGTAAAAATCGCTGAGACATTTTATTGATTTTCCTGCATTTGCCGCTTTCTAGCACTTTTTTCGCCGCACTGACATGCGGCACCCCCTCGCGGCGAGTGAGAGCGAAAGTGCTCAAGGAGGGTGGATGGGAAACAAATAGGTGTGCAATAATCGCAAATATCTCGCAAAATACCATACAAACTCGTGTACAAATTACTTAAATCGCAAGATCACACCCATTTTCCCGATCCAACGTGCAGTGCTCAGTGATTACAGTGGTAATTGAGGCGGAAAAGCGTGGTGATTTGGTGGATAAACATGGCGACATTGCACGGGGTGGTGTTTTGTCTATAACAATTTTTGTAAACAGAGACTTTTCCATGCGAAAAAGCGTCTTTCCCACGGAAAATCACCTCGAAAATGATGAATATCGCTTCAATTGTACTCAGCACGGCCGTTTTGGCAGTGCTCTGGCCGCCCGGCGGCTGCGGAGGTGGAGTTGGGGGTGTGAATGCCAGAAGGTAATTAAAAGTTCACTCACCTTCGTTGGCGATAATGTGACTAATTCCCGGCACTTTGCTTTGCCCTCGAGCAGGGATTTCTTCGTGGACGCCGTGGATGAGTCACGTCGACCGAGGGATATTCTAGGGCGACCAACGCTGCCGATTTGTCAGGTGTATCAGGGCAAGACATGCGAGGCGTTCCTGATGAATCAGACGGTCTTTGTCACGCCAGGAGTCACGATTGATGTGATTGAGGAGCGTCTCAAGGCTGCTTATGGCGTCATTAAGGAGTCTAAGTAATGTCCTCGGGATTAGATTGACGCTATCTTGCGAATTCACTGAATTTGTAATGTTCTTTTGCAGAGATATGAATCCTAATTGTAGGATTTACGCTCTCCCGTCGCTTTGCTACAGCATCCTGCCCAGCTGCCGCTCTCCTGAGCTTTCAAACCATCAATACTTTGCTGCCAAGGCCACTTTTGAGGCCAATCAGAGGAACTCACAGAGGAATTCGCATAAGAAGAAGCGTCTTCCTCACACATCGGCCACCAAGCGTCCTGCAACTCAGGCCACGACCACCAAGCTGACGGTGTACTTCTCGGGCGCCGTGACGCCAGCGGTGGACGATAAGGAGTTCGATGGAGAGATGGTGACAGCAGCAGCGGTGAGTGATCGCCTGAGGCGACGCAGGGAGTCTTTTGACGTCACCGTTGATGCCAGGACGAAGAATGTGCGACGGAAGGAGTTTGGCGAGCCAAAAGTGAGTGGCTACACTTCCAAGCCGTATCCGCCCACGAGGAACACGGAGAATCTGAGGAGGATTTGTCGGGATGAGTGTGAATTGCTGGAGCATGAGTTGTGCCAGAAGGAGTACGCCATCGCGAAGAGACATCCCGCCATCGGGAAGCTGCTGCAGCTCGAGGAGTGCTCCGATCTGCCGGATGACAGTGACTGCATGTCGCTGGGCATTGCTGTGGATGTGGTGCCGGAAGAGACGTGCTTCTGGGAGAATGGCGAGAAGTACAGGGGAACAGTGGCCACGAGTGCCTCGGGGAGGCCGTGCTTGAAGTGGGCGCGCTTGATGAAGGAGATTGCTGACTTCCCTGAACTCGTGGGTCAGAACTTCTGTCGCAATCCAGGCGGTGTGCATCCGGAGCCGTGGTGCTATGTGGACAACGTCTCGCTGGAGAAGGTGATCGAGCCGTGCAACATTCCGCGATGTTCCGAGCGCATGTGGCTGTACGTGATCATCTCCTTCGTGTCACTGGCCATGGGGATTCTCTGTGTGGTGTGTCTGGTGGTGTGCCGGAAGTGGCGCAAGCGAGGCATGACAAATATACAGAATATCAATCTGCCGAATGCTGACAAGAACATTTATGGCAACTCTCGGCTGAATAGCCCTATGGAGATGGCTTCTCTCCTGCCTAATGTCAGCGGAGGAGTTCCTGGTGGTCCTGTGGGGATTGCCAACATTCCAGCGCCACCCAATCAGCGTCCACCAATCTCTCGAGGTGCCTCAGCTCTGCGCGTGCCTCAGTACACACTCCAGGATGTGCGATTCGTCGAGGAGCTCGGCGAGGGCGCCTTCGGGAAGGTGTACAAGGGTGAATTGACTCAAAGCAATGGTGAGAAGATTTTCGTGGCCGTGAAGGCGCTGAAAGAGAATGCTTCGGCAAAGACCCAGGGTGACTTCAAGCGGGAGATTGAACTGATCAGCGATCTCAAGCACGACAATATTGTCTGCATTCTGGGAGTGGTGCTGAAAGAGGAGCCACTCTGCATGCTGTTTGAGTACATGACTCAGGGTGATTTGCATGAGTTTCTCATTGCCAACAGTCCGAATGAGGGGAAGAATCTGACTCAGGTGCAGTTCTTGAGCATTGCCATGCAGATTTGCGACGGAATGGAGTATTTGGCGGGTCATCACTATGTTCACAGGGATCTGGCGGCCAGGAATTGCCTGGTTGGCGATGCATTAACAGTGAAAATCTCAGATTTCGGCCTCAGTCGAGACATCTACAGCTCAGACTACTATCGGTGAGTGTGCTGATGCTGCTGCAGAGGATCTCTTAGGGTTGTTGATTAACATATTGTGTTGGTCTTTCAGTGTGCAATCCAAATCTCTGCTGCCGGTGCGCTGGATGCCCTCGGAGTCCATTCTCTACGGCAAGTTCACAACGGAGAGCGACGTGTGGTCCTTCGGCGTGGTGTTGTGGGAGATCTACAGCTACGGCTTGCAGCCGTATTACGGCTACAGCAATCAGGAGGTGATCAGCATGGTGAGAGCGCGTCAACTGCTGCCCTGTCCCGAGGCCTGTCCGAGTCCTGTGTACTCGCTGATGGTGGAGTGCTGGCACGAGCAGGCAGTCCGGCGTCCCTCATTCCCCGAAATCGGCCATCGGCTGAAGATCTGGTTCCAGGCAAAGAAGCGCAGTGAGTTTTTCTCCCTTTCTTCACCTCGGAGAGTCTTTCTGATGCCAATTCTTCTCGTCTCTTCTAGATGAACAAGCAGAGAATGCGTCAATCTTCGGCGGTGGAAGTCGCAAAGGATCGACTTTTAGCATGTCAGCGCCAAATTCCCGTGGTCAGGTCATCACGCCGTCGTCGTCAAGTCAACACTCGCTGGGCAAGAATGATGCAGAGGCGCCGGCGAAGGAGCGCAGCAACAGCACGTGTGGCAGTCACATGTCGTCTCTGGAGCGCGGACACTCGCATCAGCACCACAAATCGCTGGAGAGAGAGCGCGAGGGCAGCTTCAGTCATCATCATCATCACAGCAAATCGCGCCTCTCCAATGCCAGCAATTCTAATCTATCAGTGGGCGGCGGAATGGCCAATTTCGCCTCGGATGAGCAACTGCACGAGCCCCAGCGGCGCTCTAAGGGTGGCAAGGAGAAGCACCATCACCACCACCATCGGCATCGTCTGAACAGTGGCACGGACTCCACAGAGAGGACGCGGCGCAGCGATCCGGACATGGATGTGCCGGCGGTGCGAAAGAGCAGCGTGGCGAGCGTGAAGAGCGCTGATAGGGATGCAATTCTCATGGTGTCGCCATCGAAGCGCCTTCCGCCGCCTTATCCGCAGTTCTAGTGTGGTAGCAATTCATAATAATCCCAAAGATTCGCAATTACCAGACATCACTGAGACTTGCTGATCCAGGACAAGTCCTGGGCGCACCCATGACGACATATCGGTATGATTTACTTAATTTTCTTCTGTGTGAATTCTTGTGCTCTGAAGGGGATGCAAAAGCGCGCGGATTCTGACACTGAGTCAGGAGGGGAGATGATAAAGTGAAAGGTTCTGAAGAGATTTTACACTCAATCAGCAGAGTTTTGGATCAATTTCAACTCAAATTGATGGATGCTATTGATTCGCATTTATCGGCAATTATTAAATTTTGGATCATTCTTTACAAAAAGTCATTTTATATCGAATGACAGAAATCAATCCAAAGATGATCAAAACCAGTGCCCAAGAATTTCCTCCAGAGACACATTTTGAATTGTTCAACAGTATTTCAATGGGAGAGAAAGAAGAATCTCCAAAAAGACTGCCAATGATTATAATTTCCAGATCTTCTCGCCAAGCAATTGATCTCATTTTTTTTTTGTATGGACAATTTTTTATATACGAAAGAAAGGAAGGGAAAGGAAAGAAAAAGCCGCGAAGGCTTGAAGAGTCGTGTGACGATGATTGGATGTGGGAAAACTTCTCGATTCAGTGACGATTTAGCGATGAAGACGGTTTCGTTAATATTTAGGAATATATATATAATAGATAGTAATTGAGATAAGTTTTTGGGAATGCAGAGATCCGAAGAATTACACTAGATAAAAACAAACTTCCTCAACTTGAATAGAAAAAAAAATGTGTGTAGAAAAGATTTCAAACAACGAGAAAAAAAATGAAAATTCCTTTCCGTCCGAAATTGATTTTCCGACCGTCTTTGAGTTTAGCCACACAACAAATGTACTTGATGATTTCTAAGCATTTCTTCTTGGGGTGTTGAATTCTGGATCTCTCTTCCGGCGGTGTTAGAGAAGAGTGATCGTCACTGTGCAGAGAAGTAGGAAAACTTAATTGTAATAAGTGTTATGATGGAAAAAAAAATCTTAGTGAAGCAATTTTCTCCCAATTTTCTCATAAAACTAGTATCTTTAAATCTATTCCTTATACAAGAGTTTTTAGGAGGTATTTAAGGACTCTTTCATTTCTAATGTGGAAGCATTTGAGCCAAATATTTTATAGTTCGTTCCTTTTTTTTACTTTATAAATTTCATAGTGACTCAAAGTGACACTTTAAAATGGTAATTTTACGAGTATTTATTGTACTATTTAATGAGGACTCGCGTCATTATTGTAATAAAAAAAGAAGAAATATTCATAAATACATCCCAGAAGGAAAATATGAGCGGAAGTTTTTCACTTACTGAAGCGCGCTGATGGAGTGAAAAGGCAATTTGTGTATGTGTGTGGATTTGCATGTTATTTCGCCGTAAATCTGGGTTGTACAATAGATTTACTTCTTGGCCTTCTTGGGCTCCTTGGTGGCGGGCACCTTGGAGATGTCTTCTGGGTTCTCCGACGCCTCGCGGGCCTTCTTGGCGCGGATTCCGACCAGCCTGGCGTCGGAGCGGGCCTTCTTCATCGTCTTGAAGGCGCTGAACTTGCGCTCGCGGTTCGTGATGGCGCGCACAGTGACCGTGGGCTTGGGATTCCTGATCGGCATCACCTTGCGCTTCACCTGCGTGGCCAGCTTGCACGTCTCTGGCGGAGCCTCGCCCTTCTGCAGCTTCCTCTTCTCGTGAATGGGGAAGAGGATCAGCTTGTTGCGGTACTCCTTGAGGCGCTGGATGTTGATCTGGCGCTGCTCCACGCTCTTGTTGCGCCTGCGACGGTCCACGGCGATGCCGATGGTCTTGGCGAAGCCAGAAGTGAGACCAGCTCCCTGGAAATGGCGTCAATTAGCCGACAGCGCTCGATATTAGCACCGCAGAGGCTCACCTTGAGTTCGGCAGCGGTGAATCCGCGTCCTGCCCTGACCTTGGTGTGGTAGCGCACGGTGGGGCACCTCACGACGGGGCGCAGAGGTCCGGCAGAGGGTCGTGGGAAGATCTCCTTAGCCTTCTTGATGCGATTCTGGCGGCGACGGAACTTCCTGGCCGGCTGGTTGAACCACGTGCGAATATGCCGCTGCCACCACTTGTGGAAGTGGGCATTGGGCACCATATTATTTCCTTTCCCCATCTTGTCCGGGTGTTTTCTCTCAACTGCAAAATAACACAAGACATCAGAATGAGGTTATGAGTGTCCACGCCATCGTGGAACAGCTTCATCTACTAATTTACGACAAAATATTGAAATTCACATGAGAGTAAATATATCAATCATTGCAATAGGGATTGGAGATATTTTGTAGGTAGGTTTAGTTGCGGAATTTGTAGGATTTTTATGAGAAAATCAGGAAAAACTGGAGCACAATCTCATCAACACGTACCTTCGCTCGAGTTTCTACAGAAAAAGACTGTTCCCAAGAGGCGCTGCGATCGTTTTGACTTTTTTCGAATGGCGACAGTTGGCAGCAGTGTGGAAAACAATAACAGAAGGACACCGCAAGATATCCGGGAAAATATGCTCTCCAGAACTCAGTGGATGTCTAATTTTACTCTTAAACAATGCCTGAAGACGTCAGGTGCTAGTCTAATGAGAATTTCCCCTAAAACACCGAGAAATTCAGCTGTTCTTCAAGATGGTGGTTTAAGGTTGTGGTATGCAACGTCAGCACCAAAAGAGCCCCAAAAAACATCTCCCAGCGTGGATTTTGAGAATATCGAGGTGCTTCAGAAGCACTCAGATAAGTGGTGGGATCCCGTGGGACAATTCAAGCCACTCCATACTATGAATCACGTTCGCGTACCCTTTATTCGAGATGGTTTAGTGGCGACTGGAGCTGCGAAGCAGTCCGGGAAGAATTCACCTCAAATTCTCAAGGGATTGCATCTGCTGGAGGTCGGATGTGGCGGAGGAATCCTGACGGAGGTATTTACACTCCATTGAGATGTTTTGTTTGGTTTAATTGAGAAAAAGTGATGTTTTTCAGGCACTGGCCAGACTTCATGCTGATGTTACAGCCATTGATCCTTCTGAAGAGCTTATAAATGTCGCCCAGGAACACGTGAATAAGGACAAGGATCTTTCCCAGCGTGTTACGTACCTTACAGACACGATAGAGACTCATGTTTGTACGAATGCTGGAAAATACGACGCTGTGATTCTCTCAGAAGTGATTGAACATGTGAATGATCAGGAGAACTTCCTGAAGCACTGCATCGATTGTACCAAGCCTGGCGGATCGATTTTCCTCTCAACCATCAGCAAAACGTTCCTATCTTACGCTATTGGTATAATTTTGGTAGAGCATATCATCAAACTCATCCCGAAAGGGACTCACGAGTGGGAGAAATTCATCACACCGCAGGAAACACAGAGAATCTTCGAGAAAAGTGAGTATTTGGCAATATTGCATAGTTTTTGTGCTGAAAGAGGATTTCTTCTTGCCATTCCAGACAATTGCTCAGTCATAACAGTTAACGGAATCATGTATTATCCGTGGAAGAGCGTTTGGGAGTATGTGGAGTCACAAGATTTAACCTACATTCAGCATGCGGTGAAACATTGAGTGGATTTGCTGCTTTGCCTGATTCTTTTCCATTTTTAAACACGGTAATTTGGCAGTCGTGGAACCGAAATAAAGGTGATCAGACGGAAAAACTCGAGAAAATTCTCTAAAAATGCTGTCCAGAAGTCACAAGATTGGTCAGTTTGGTCTCAAACAGTGTTTTAATGACTCAAGTACAAAATTATGTTGCGGTTTTCCTCTTGGAATTAATTTGAGATTATGTTACGCAACGAAGTTTGCATTGGAGGAGCAGAGAGCAGCGCCCAGCTTGGATTTGGACAACATTGAGGTGCTTCAGAAGCACTCTCAAGGATGGTGGGATCCTGAAGGACAGCTGAAAGGCCTCCATGCGATGAATCACGTGCGTGTTCCTTTCATTCGAGATGGTTTAACCGTGAGCAAGGCTCAAAATCTCAAAGGATTGCATCTGCTGGAGGTCGGATGTGGCGGAGGACTTCTCACGGAGGTAAGATTGGGGAGTTCAAGCCGCTTTAGGGCCGAGAAAGAGCTGTAAGAATGTGGATTTTCAGGCACTGGGCAGCCTCAAAGCCAACGTTACTGGCATAGATCCTTCTGAGGATCTCATAGCCGTCGCTCGGGAACATCTGAAAGCCGATAAGGACCTTTCTCAGCGAGTCACGTACCTTACAGACACGATAGAGACTCATGTTTGTGCGAATGCTGGGAAATACGACGCTGTGATTCTCTCAGAAGTGATTGAACATGTGAATGATCAGGAGAACTTCCTGAAGCACTGCATTGATTCTGTGAAGCCTGGCGGATCGATCTTTGTCTCCACATTCAACAGAACCATTCTGTCCTACTTAATGGGCATTTATTTGGTGGAGAACATCTTCAAAACCCTTCCAAAAGGCACACACGAATGGCAAAAGTTTATCTCACCGCAAGAAACGCAAAGAATTTTTGAACAAAGTGAGTTTATTTTTAAATATTTCACTCAAAAATGTAGGTCTTCAGCCTTGATGTGTCTTTCAGACAATTGCTCAATTGTCGTCGTCAATGGTCTGCGCTACTATCCTTGGAACAATACTTGGCACTGGAGCAAATCCGACGATGTGAATTACATTCAGCATGCTGTGAAGCACAAACACTGAATCCGCGTTTTCTCGCCTTGTTTCGGCTTTCTTAACAATTCTTGGTGGTTTTATGCGTGTAATCAGTCAATGAAGATTGATGATATTCTTTGTGTGGGAAACGTAGTATGAAGATTTATGAATGAATGGCTTGAGGCGTCTGCGTCTGAGGTTTTTCCGCGGCTATGGTTGTGAATATTTAAATACAATTCAGAATAATGTAAAATTTTTAAATATTTCTATTGCTATTTGTAGTTAGGATTCAATGATATCTTTTGCATTTATTCATAGAATATATTATTTAAAATCAAAACCTTTTTGCTGTCGCGCATACGAAATGCTATCCACCGCCCTGTTTTGCTCCAGCACAGACGCCTCAAAGAATTCCAGAATTGTGAGGTGCAGAAAAATAGAAAAACACAACTTCTGTCTTTTCGCTTTTATTTACTTAACATAAAACAATTAATATACATTTTGTCATCTACCATTGAAGGCGTAGGTGAAGACGTATTTTCAGCCTCTATTTTGTTACTTCTCCTGTGACATTATATCTCTCTCTATATTATGCAATTTCTACTCTAATCTAATGCCTTAATTAACCGAAAGATTGACCTAATCCTACTTAATTAATTCCTCTAGTCACAACAGTAAATTTTCACGGGGATAATGATGGTGTTGGGACGGAAAAACTGAGTGTTTGCGTGTGGTTTTTTTCCTGGAAAATGACTGATGGGCACCAGAAAGGAGTGAGATAGAGAGCGAGATTCACAGAACAGAAGATGATAAGTGCATAATATTCCCACGAGACTCTGGTATATTTCCACATGAAAATTCACTTGCAGAAGAGGAATGTTTTTCTTTCAATTTTGTGTCTCTCTAGATAGAGAGAGAAAAAAAGAAATCTCTGGCGATTTTTTCTGTTGCTCTTGGGCGGGTGGAGAGAGGAAGAGAGAATTCCTTTCGCCTTTGTTTTTTTCCACGCTAAATTAATTAAATTTAACACAATTGTGTCTAATATCTTTTCATCCATCCTTTTTTTGGTATCTCACTTTCTAGGTCGAAATAAAGAATTATGTTATGCAGTCTTCAAATGTTTGTTGTTTGCCCAAAATTGCACGACGCCGTCTGGGGAGGAATCGTGACGTGTGAGTGATGTTTTGCCTCCGTCTCCCGGAATGGAATGAGCGCACACGTGACTCTCTGACGACGATACAGAAGTTATCTGGCGATCATCCAGTGGAGTGCCGTGAAGATTGCGGCTGCCAACAGAGCTGCGGCGGGGCTGTCGCGTGATGGCGCCGCGGAGATCTCGTATGAGCACCGGCCAGACTTCACGGAGTAGTCCTCGCAGTGCTCCCGGATCAGATTGTCTGCCATCTTGTCCAGGAAGCTCCGCGTGAAGGCCGCCGTCTCGTCACCGCAGATCCGTCGCGCTGTCCTCTCAGAGCAGTCCAGGTACTCGCGAAAGGAGCTTCACATAGACAAATTGTTAAGTGCTTTCTACATCGCTCGTCAATGATTAATGCGCAATGCTTACCAGCACACGATGGCCACTGTATCGTCTGTGGCATTACCAATTCCTCTGTGTTCCAACTGAGTGATTCGCGAAATAGTGTCCTGATACTTTTTTGCACAAATCTCGTAATCCGGCTTCACGACTCTCAAGCAGGGAGCGTGCCTCAAGTAATCTGAAATCACATGAGAAACAATGCCAAGAGATTTGTGAGTGTTTCATTGTTCACGTGAAACTTATATTCTTGAATAAGTCATGATGCCATCCCCTTGTTTTCCGCCCTTTCCTAAGCTTCGCATACATAGTTTCCCCGACACAGGGATGCTCAGAATAAAGTCCTCGGAGACCCATTGACAAAAGCTTGAGGCCTCGAAAGAGGGAAAATTTATCCGGAACCGATTGAAAATCAATTTTGATCAAATTATTTTGGAAGGAGAACAGAAAGAGATGTTTAAGATGTTGTGTAGAAAAATAGAGAAATACTTAAGATACGAAAGAAGGGCTCTTGATTTTGAAGTTTCAACGATCGTGAATTAAAACTTTAGAAACTTCCAGCAAAATTCTACAAAATTGTGCTACAATAATCTCCTTTCTCAGCTCCTTTGAGCAATTTTTTTTTTCAATAATTCTTTCAAAATGACTTAAAAGCGAGATGACTTTACGATTTCCTCTAACTTTTAGTGCTTCCGAAGCCGTATTGAGTGTCCCTTGGGCGAAAGTGGGTGCTTATGGTAAACGCCTGCGAAGGAGGGTGTGAATGCGAATGTGCAGTTTATGTGTGGGCTGGAAAGTCAAGAAACTCACCGTTCTGATAGTGTCCCTCTCGGCATAAGTCTCGTATGACTTGATTCGTGCCGTGGTAGAGCTTGTTGAAGTGGTTGCGATGCTGCAGCGACATGCAGCGCCTCGTGTAGCTACGTATGCAGTGCAGGCCACCGTATAAGTCTCTGCAAAAGAGCGACCAGGGAAGTTTTCGGGCACGGATTACAGGCGAATTGCATGTGATGGCAAATTGAAACTCACGGGCAAATCTTGTTGAGCTCCTCCTTGTTCGTGGCAATGGTGAGATCCGAGGTGGACGAGAGCACCTGCAGGGGTCGAGAGCAGCGCGCCAATTCCTCCTGGCCGCACTCTTCTGCCTCAGAGCGCCGGATGGTGACTGCAAAGAGAGCCGATGAGAGAGCTTTATCAGCCGAATATACATTTCAAAGCTCTACGCCCTGTGTTCAGGTGCGAGATTGTTCGTCAACAGCAGAAAATTTAATTTTCTCATCAGAGAAACTTTTGTGGATTCTCCTCACTTTATACACATGCTTTTTAATTAACCCTCCGTTCTGATTGAATTTTCTAGCAATATTTTCATCTCCATATAAAGTCAAAGTTTCCGCATGGAATTGAGGTTATATTCAACAAGTATATGTATATATATATATATACTGGGATTTATGTCTGAGGAAAGCTAACAAAAGGTTTTCAGTAACAAAAATACCTTATAAATTCTATAAAATTGCAATGCCCGCGAGTTGCTGATGAAGAAGAACTTCATCTGAATTAAGAAAGTCTAGCGCACCAAGTTTCTATGGAGAATTATTCATTTTCTTTCGACATTGCACGTGCATTTCATCTTTTGGCGTTGCGTGGCAAACTCACCAAAAAGATCCACACAAAAGACCAACCAAAGGAGCAGAATGTGATTATTTGCGTGAAAATTCCCGCCTCAGGGGAACTCCTCTAATTAAAACATTAAAAGTATAATAATGAGTGCGATATATAGTTTCAGCTATAATGATTTTGCTGGCTGCAAATGAGGAAAAAAAAGGGCTTGGAGTGGAGATTCACAAACATGCAGGAAAAAAACTTTTGTCGGATGTTCGCAGGAATGAATTAATGACCAGCATGAGTCCTTTTTTCTGCTTCAGGGTGTCCGTGACGACACAGTAGTGCAAAAAGGCGCGGGAAATTTAGTTGGTGTGATAATAAAAAAAGGAAGAGCGAAGCCCTTTCCGCACTCTCGTCCGCTCAATTTCCCTTTGATGATAGAAGGTTTTTTTTCTGACACACCATGGCGATTTTCTCACCCCGAAATAATATCTTCGATAACGTCCTTTTTGCATTCTTCATTACAGCATGAATTGTTTTTGTGAATAAAACATCCTAATAAATACAGTGCAAAAGTAATGTCGAAAACCCTGAGGAATTACCCACTCGACTTTTTGCACAAGGATAATGCTTGATGTAGTGTAAATTTTTTATCATCTCAATGTTCTTCAGGACTCCCTTTTCTGCCCTTTCATCATTCACGTCCTGGGCAGAGTGGAAAAGAGAGAGAGAGGAGAAGGTGGAAAGTGTCGGTGTCGTTAAGACAATTTGAGGGTCAATTTTCACAGAAAGCCGGCTGGATAAGCTAAAAATACCGATCGAATATTTGGTAAGGAGTTTTCCAATTATATAAATCTGAGGAAAAATTCACCCTTCTTTTGATACATTATTCTTTGATTGATGATGTATTAGTAGTTAATCTTTGAATGAATCAATAAATCAATTGATATTGTGTTTAATAGATATTATAAGTTACTAAAAATGTTTAGACAATTTCTGTCTGTCCCCTTTTCTCTCAATCCTAGGGATAATCCTTTTCATTGTCTTCAATACTTTTTGAATTTAGCTCTGATATCACAGATACTGAAGACAATCAATAATTGTCTGTTAGACTATAAAATATTCTGAAACCATTGGGATCAAATGTGTTTTCGATGTTTGGAGTCAATCATTAAAATACCACAACGACTTGCAAGGGTTGAATAAGCCAAATTCTGTGATAACAGCGCAGCCGAGCGAAGGGCTTCTGACCAGTGTTGGGGTGTCTTGGGGCCACTGTCTGTGTGATATATCGAGGTGGACGCTCGCTGAAATGGGTGAAGATAGTTGAGCACAAGTTAATCCTTCCTTAACGACTAGTTGTTTGTGTGTGCAGTCTCGTTAATGGGATTAAGCACTTTTTGCACAGTTTATGTGCAACTTTGGGTGGGATATTTATGCGGTGGGTATGCAGCAAACGCACACCCCACATGAAATTTATAGTGGGTACACAGACTTGCGAGGCCGTGGCCCGAAAATGCAGCGGAAATTAACTCATTACATTATTTAATGGTTTTACATTGTTGTCCGCCGGGGAAAGAAGGGACACTCTGTGTTGTCTTGTGCATAAATAACAGAGGACAATTGAAATGTTCTCGCGAAGTGAAATTTCTGCGGGTGGCCCAATTAGTCATGTACACCAATTAGGCTCTGGAGAGCATCTCAAATCACAGCTTCAGCCTTCACAAAGCACTCAAACTGACTGTCATGGGCATCAGGGGCATAGAACGAGAGTAAATTTTTAATTGATCACCTCATTCCACTTCAACCAAAGCCTCTCAGTTGCACTTTTCATTGCGCCCACGCTCGCCTCTTCACGAGATGCCCACTCATGGCTGTATCTCGGCCATTGTTCGTGCTTAAATAGCCGTAGGTATGAGCATTTAGCAATTGTCTAGCAATTCATCCCTATGCGCATTTACATTTTCCACATATATATTTTTAGTGGACAAAAATATCCTTTTGTTCTGCTGTTTTTCTCTTTTATTGCGCCGACAATTGCCAAACATTTGAATAATACTTCGGGAGAAAAATCTCTCAATATTTCGTGGAACTCTTCATTCACTAGAATTCTCCATAAAATCAGTGCTAGAGTTTTTCGTATCGCTCATGTTGTTTAATTAGTGAAAATTGTAAAAAAAAAGTTATAAAATGTTTCAATTTTCCGTGTATTGAACGAATGTTGGCGTTGCTTGTTAAAGTAAAAGTGTCAAACACAATTTCCTCTCGAGTTTATAGCTAAAACACCCGTAAATTGAATTTTCTCATGTAGTGTTTTTTATTAAATTTGCAAATTATTAATTAAAAGTTTTTTTTTACACAAGTGTGTTTCTAGGTATACTGAAAATTAATGATCAAAACTGTTAATGTAATCAACAAATTCATATGTATGGCGAAGTATGAAATGAGACTTCGTAGTAGTCAATTTGATGACGCGCATCTTTTCTATACACCACAAAACAACGTATCGGAATTGCCTCAATGCCGCGAATTATTTAAACGCCAACTGCGACGTCACGCCTCTGCGTCTTGTTTCGTTCGTGAGGTGACGGAGAAAAAAAAAATTAGCAGGCCCACCGAAGAAAACAGGTGATTGGAATTTTTAGATCAAGACAAATTTGTGCCGCGAGACTTGGGCGCGATTTTCTCAATTCGAGAGACGCATGGTTAAATGCAAATCAACGCCTCAGTTTTGCTGCTGGGAATTTGTGTCATGGTGAATGTGTGAGCATCGAAAAGAATCTTTTTGAACAATTGACCCGCGAGTTCGATGATCTTCATGACGACAATTCTGTCGCTTCTGCGCGAAAATCTCTCTGTCTCGTGACCCTTGGACGCGCTGCAATTATGCCCGAAATGCGAATCCGGTTATGGTATATCGTCTGAAGGAGGTGGTGAAAAAAGGCTGTAGCAAATTGTTGATTGTAAATTTCATCGAGTCGTGACGACGATCAGCATGTTAGGTCACCACTGATTGTCAATTTCGCTGACATAGAGAGAAATGTTTTGCCGTTTCGAGACAAAACAGAGCTTATCTATGCTTTTTTTTCTCAACATGCGGAATTAGAGAGCGAAAGAGTTCCTTAGCATAAAGGCACTTTTTTTGTGGTCATAATTCGCAAATGAAATAATATTTTTCCACGTCAATCTTGTGTCCAGATTTAGTTTGGACACAAATTCACAGTGAAAAAAAACTTTGAATCATGCACAATTTCATTAAAAGCTTGTATGCATCACGTCAGAAGCATTTATGAATGTATAATAATATGCTATCTACAGTGAAAACTAAATTAAAAAGCAATCCCATTGAGTTATCGCGTGGGAACAAGTGCGATAGGTTTATAATCTGATTGAATATTTGGTCCAATTTTGCAGATAAATCTCGCGAAAGCGTCATTTGAGGGAAGTTTTAATGTAAATTATTAGGAAAAATGTATGAATCCTGCTGGAATTTGCATTTTTCCATGGCTTGTAATGATGAACATGTCCAAATGGAGAGGGATTTTATTGTGCGAAAAAACAGCAGTTCATTGAAAAGGCAATAAAAATAAAGTTGATGTTATCATAAAAAACATATGCCACGTGCATCAGGAATGGTAATTCTGGATGAACTTTATTGAATGTGTTCCATGAGTGATTTTGTGTGAGGATCACATTTCCACCATGGCAATTGATAGTATTTTTATTATCACTTGTGCACAATGTGCACTTTTCACTGCACACGCAGAATAATGTTCACATCATCATGCGGTGCACTTTCGTGGGTGTCATTTCAGTGGGTGGCAATGCAATGAAGGCCCGCCAAATGGGTGGAAATATTAATGAATGACGATTGACAAGTGGGTGAGGAGTTTTTTGCTTGTGCGGCGTATGAAATTTTTAAAATGTGTTTCGCTCTCATGTGAGCAAATAGCAATTTTGCCCATGGCTCACATGGCTGAAACTTTGCTTCTAATCACAATAAATTGTGAATTTGTGCATGAGCATTTTGTCGACTAAATGCACGACATGTTTATTTATATCGTGACTCTCTATTCAACTCTCTGGTCGCCTTTTTTCCTGCAGTTTCACACTTTCGTCTCTCCTGGCTTCGCCACCAGCGAATGGCAATGACGACAGCCTAAAAATGGATGGGAAAATTGGAATACATGGAGAGGAGTGACCATTAAAGTTAGAACTTCCGTCTCTATTCCAGAATTAGAATACACCTGTCCGAAAGTTGATAACTGCAGCTTCTGCTTTCGCAAATCCTTTTAGTTTGACAGCGAAGTGGTTTTTATCATGTAGACTAATTGACAGAAACATATTTTTCCAATTAATCCAGGTGAACTTAAAATCTCATATCAATAAAAGTTAGAGAGAAAAAAAATTATTCTCTGACTTCATAAACAACTTGTAGGCGGACTCTAAATTTCAGATTTAAATCAAGTGTCGTTTCGGTTTACACACTATAATTTTCGTGCTTCGAAAAGAGATTGAAAAATTCCTTATTGTTGTTTTACTGGAGAATTACAGAAGAAACTCTTTGTTTTTAGTCGGTTAATAAAACTTAAACCAGGTTTCTCTGAACTTAAAATCAAATTTTATTGTTTTTTTTTAAATAATAAATAGAAAATAAAATACTAGAAATTTCTTATAATTTGTAAAATATCTATTCGTTTAAGTATTTCTTGTGACGCAAAACTATATTTTCAATGAATTTCTGTTGATTGAACTGATCTTATGCATCCGGATGCGATTGCAATTCTAAGAAATTATTCTTCAGTTTGAAGTACAATTCTGAGCTGAGAAAGATTCTCAACGATATTTCTCAATGTTTTATTCGCGATCATTTAAAAATTTCAACAATTTACTGTTGCAACTTTTATTTTTCCTAAGCAATTGCAGGTAAACCAGTTTGTGTTTATGCGACGCAGGTTTAACACTACTTGTGTGTGTGAGTGTGTGCTAATAAAATGCTGATGAGGTTTTGTGCTATTTAATAATGTTTACTCCAACGTTTGCTGGAATTTTTTCCCCGCAATCTCTCGCCATATTTGCATAATTCAGAGGAATGCGATTGCTCACTGGGACAATCGCGCCACGCTGACGCTGGATAGTGCGCGAGGAGAGCGATCCTGTGCGCGAGGACGAGTGTGGATGGGAAGGTCGAGGGCCAGGTAGACGGAATATGATTTATTTTATACCTGCCGTAACTGTTCAGTGCCCGCGTGAGGGCAACTGAACAAAAGCGACACCGTGCAGTTGAGCTCGGCAGAGACGAGCCCACCAGTTTTCCACACTCTCATTGGTGGAATGCGATCATACGATCTGATGGTGAGAAATGCCTGTGCAATTGTGTTGCCGCTGCAACTGAAAGTCACTCACAAGAGAGTTGAAAATAGAAAGGTATGAAGAGTGCACACACGGCGGAGCGCCTCTGCCTCGTTCCCGCTCCTCCGTGGACCAGAACTCATGCCGGAGCTCAAGTGCGGCCGAAGGGAGCCGCGGAGAAGCGCGGCCTGAGTCGCACACAAGGTCGCGACTCGGAGCATGTAATTATGACTAGTCGCACTGGACTGTGACGGACGCCGGTCTCACCCACTGTCTATCAATCCCGGCCGCTCCTGATCAGCTCTCGCGGTCGCTTGACGGCTCTTCCCGCCGAAAAAACGGCCACTATCGCGCCGAGACGTTGCATAATCCGCGCCCGCGATAAGCTCGGAAGCACTCTCGAAGTGCATGAAATTGAAAGAAGCGGAAGTGATGACCCGATTCATTGAATTTCTCCGGCATTTCTACTCACAAAAAGCGCGACCTTCCAAAATGAAAGTGTCAATCGTGATTAGAGTCACGATGATGAGCTATCAAAGTGATGTCCTGTTACTTGATTGTGTCCTGTTCAACTCATACAGCAACACTTGCGAATCATGCAAATAATAATTGTCAATTATTTATGCAAACTTTCGCCAATTTTCTCCCACCACAAAACAAACCGCAGCCATTGATTTTTCACTTCAACTCTTCAATTAGTTCTATTCGATCCAAAATTTGTCACTACATGAGCAAATAATTGGATTCTTCCCCATTATCGTGTGCAGAATGATTCAATAAATTGCACATTTGCCCTGTGTAAATATGAGCATTTTCCACACGTTTAATTCTCTCAAATGCGTGAAATTGTTTGGGTGTTAATTATCAGCCAAATTCAATGATATTACGCTTCAGCTCTTCAATATTTGTTGAAGACCTCGTGCGCGCGTTCCCATCAATTTTTTTCGAAATGCCCCACATTTATTCCCGCAAATTCAATTAATTTGACTGTTTTGTTGTTTGCAGCGTATTTGAATTCACGTGACGAATTAATAGTGATCGAGAGAAAGACGCAGTTTGATATGACGAAGTCATGAAGCTTTGCGCGAGTTCTATTAAAGACTGTTTTTATTGAAAAATATATAATAAAGGTTCGCTTCGAATAATACCTCAAAATTGTCAATAAAATAATCATTATGGGAATAAATAATATAGCATCTAAATGAGTTTTACACATATTTTAGAGTGCTTTTTTAATTCAATTAAACCGATAATTTTCTCTAATTATTTCTCTGATTCCAAAAATAATAATACCTAATCCGCATATATTCGTTCTAAATTTTTGACGTTTGGTTTTCTTTATTTTGACGGTGTGGAGCATTTTCCACGAGGTTAAAACTTGTGTGAAAAATAAACGGTTGCCGATACAGTCTTGTGATAGTGTTCGCTGGCATTGACAAGACATTATAGTGATTAGATACAAATCTCTCTTTACCATAAGACACTACTTTGTGTCACTGAGAATATCATGCAATTTGGCGCTCTGAAAGTGTGGTATTTTTCTCGAAAAGGGATTATCAACGCACTTGAGCATTAAGTGAGGAAGTGAGTGAGCATCGTCACTTGGACGTGTGGTGTCAATAATTTCATGTCATGGAAAATTTGTTCAATTCCTCCATCATTTCTTTCCCAATCGACTCGAATCAACAATTGTTCAATTCGTCTCTGGGATGGGAATTGTGTCGCAATTGAGGCCTCTGGGCAATTATTTATACTTCATTGAAGTCATCCAATACAGTGTGTTTCCCATATAGATAAATCATTTTCTTATATCTTGCTCTTTTTCCAGCCCAAAACAGTCGTCGCGACTTTGGGGACAAATTGCACTCTATATTCTCGACTAAATTGACAAACTTGGGTTGGTTTTACTTAAGTCAATACGGGTTTTTCGAGACAAGTTCTGAGAGTCCAGAAAGTGGGGGGAAAAGTGCAGCGCGTATCTTTGTAATTGCTGAAAGAATTCCGCGTCACATGTTCCACTCTCTTTAATGCAATTGACGCAGATGCTGAGGAAAAATTGGCAGGAAACCTTCAGTGTCGACACTTCCGACATTCCTGTATTTATTTTGTGTATTCAACACTTAGCTTGCACTTGTCAATTGCGTCTCGACAATTTTCACTGACCGTGCAGATTATTTAGAAGAGTGTCGTGTCTGTTTAAAAGGAAACACCCCAGAAACTTCCGCGCCCTTTTCCTGCTGAATTTACCATAAAACTACAGATGTTTTGCTGTTGTGCGCGGCACTCAATTACACTTTTCACAGTCGCCTGTGAGTAGGTCTCCCACTCCTGCACACCCACCGATAAAATGTGTTCACTTTGCTAATTGATTTCCCAACGAAAATACAGCATGTGTGAATAGTTGGTCTCACTGAATGTCTTGCACAACGAGATGCAAAGCAATGCGCCTTTTGGGCGGTGTGTACTTACGTGAGAGCAAAATAACCACTGAAAGGGCGATGCGCTGGCAAATGTCTGTGAGCTTGAGGACCATAATTCGTGTTTGAGAAAGTGTCTCTCTAATCACCAAACAACAAACACTGTGACTGTGTAAACCTATGAATAATTCACCAATAACTTTATATGTGGCCAAAAATCACCAGTTGCTCAATTGGTGTGTTGAGAAAATCGTCTCGATATGCAGCCAAATTCGAAGGCGCAGATGATCTGTTGCACGCAAAACTCACTCAGCTGTTGAACTGCGAAGCTGTGCTCTCGATTTCCGGCCGGAGAGATTCAGAGAGCGGTCTTGAAAGCGGAGCGAACGAACTCGTGCGACCACGAGCAAGTGTTGTGCCTAACTGAAGAGTCTTCTCGTGATGTTCAGTCGACAGAGCAGTGTTTCGCGCGTCGTTTTGGCGTTGCATATGCTGCAGCACGAAGCAATGCTTGAATGTAACTGAGGACACATCGGGCATCGTCGAACGCTTCCACTCTTCTTACCAGCAAATCACACTCTGGGTTGCTCGCTTTTGAGCACCGCCAAGACTCTCGGCCTCTCAGATGCAAAGGAGAGACGTTCTCTGCGAAGGAGAAGTACACCGCACATGCAGAGATTTTTATCAAGAATTTAAGTAAGTTTACAATATCTCGACCGTGCACTTTTGACTAACCAAGAACAGGAACAGTGAAGTAAGACAATGGATTTTTGTAAATAACAAACAAGTGCCGTGACCATTATTTTGAGTCATCAATGCATGATTTTTATTTTAATTCAACCAAAAAATTTATTATAAAATTCTGAGATGTAAATAACCATATCAGTCACATATCAAGATAAATATGATTATTCTTTAGTGGAAAGTTTCATAAGTAAACTGTGGACGAGAGAATAACATGAGAGTATTATGAACGCCTTCTCCTCAATCATGTGTACACAAAGTGTGCAAGAGCATCAGCCTTGCGTATTTATCTCATCAAGTGCAATTCCAATTTATTAATTCAATTGAAATATGGAGAGATGGATGCTTTTGTGACTTGTTGCACTCAATTAGTTCATTCGGTGCAGGCTAAGCAAAAGACTAACTAATTGAGGACACTGTCAAGTGGACAATTGTCCAATTTGCTCCCTTGAGAAGGTGCACTCGTAGGTGAATTCGCCGTGCGAGTGAGTCCTCTTCAAGTTCCCAAATTGCACCCTCCCACCTCTCCAGGTAAAAAGCCGTGCAATTTGGGTCAGTTGACAATGGAAATTGAATAATTAAATAATGAAGTCCAATGCATCCCAGAGGGTTTAATTGAAGAGCGCAAAGGAGTAACCTTATATGTGTGAAACACTATATGAACTAATGGTTTTGGACATCACAGCATAGGTTGAAAGGGGTGGATTGCACGGCTCAATAATTTGAGAGTTGGTCTGAGACCTTTATTGTGTCATCATGACCATTGTGTCAATATAGAATTCACCACAGACATTTAATTTGGATTAAAATGCACTCCAAATTGCATGAAGTACCTGACAATGCAATTTGTTGCATTCTTCAGCACCTTCAATCACCCACTGTGACTCCCTTTCTGCATTGTTCGGGAGATTTATACATCCGGTGCTGATGAGAAAATATTACTGGCTATGTTAAAGTGTAAGCGAGTAAAGTGATAGGAATGTTATCTCTTCGCCAGCGGGAAAGTGTTGTTCTTTAGGCACTTTCTAATTGAAAGATTTTTTTTCTTAAAGAAGAATCTCTACGTGAGTTTCATGAAGAAATAACTTATGAATGCTGAATAGCCGCAGCTGAAAAAAATACATCTCTATCAGCATTAAAATTGGTGGTTGTTGTAAAAATGGTGCTGGTGAATTAAATGCAAATTGACTCAATGGCGAAGAGAAAAAGCAACATCCATAAAACACTTACAGTTTGAGGAGGTGGGAAATAAAAAATCCTCCGACGAGGAAATTCAACACCTTCACTCAGGTTATTATTTATTCCATTTTATTCTAATTATTCTTTAACGTGAAAATTCTATCCAATCCCGCCTCGGCTGAGGTGTTGTCTTGCCATCAGCGTGGAAGACTGGCGTGGAAGCATTAATAAACTGGAGGACATGGAGAAGTAATTTCGGGTATCTGGTACAATTTTCACCGCACCCTTCGCAAGTGGGGTGGCGAGAGGGGATGTTTCACTTGAGCGAAGATTTCCTATGCTCCACACCCGCGGAGCATCCTCGTGAGTTGGGCGCCATAAATTTTCCCTAATAGTCTCGAAGAATTGTCCTGATTTTTTTTCATTTATTGCCCCACTAACACCTGCAATCAGTGGGAAAACTTCCTACACCAGCCGCTCTGGGCTTCTGCTGCCCTCACACCAGAACTTGGCAACTTGCTAATGAAATGCGATAAAACTGTTCATGACTTTTAGTGCTGTTGCATTCACGGAGGTGAATTTTAATTTCCATCGCGCGGGTATTTTCTGGTGACTCTCAGGAAATTCTAAGCCTTACACGGTGAGATTGCTGGCGGAAATTCATTTTCGCCCCCCCACTTTCGGCACTGGAGCTGGGTTGACGTTGCATGTGAGAGCTCATGATGAACATTGTCTCTCTTAACAGTTGACTAACCTGGAGGTGCATCCAAAAATAGTGCGCGATAAATGTCAGTCACATGCTTTTAGGAGTTCCGCTCCTGTATACATTACACCACTGCTCTCTTGAGACAATCCTGCTGCACACAAATAGGCCAAGTGATGCAGAAAAAAAACACCATCATAAGCTCATGCATTTGAAGAGAAACCAAGTGCGGAATATCGGCGAGGAGTCAAATTCAGGTGCAACAGGAGGACAGTTTAGGAAATTGTTTAATTTTCTATATATTTTATATGATAGGACATATGCCAATGAGTTGTCAGGATTAATATAGATTGTCAGGAAATCGAAAAAGTAAATTTAATTATCAGGTGATGCAGGACTAACTGCAGAGTATGACTTTCAGTTTAATTTCTTGCTAGTGGCTCTGACCATAGAGTAATTGTGAATGTGGAATAATTATAATTGACAGCAAACTGATAATGAATGTCCTGTAATCCCTGTAATTATGCAACTAGTCAAATTATTAGGAAAATTTTTTTAATGAAATGGTCTTTCGGTCACCAAAACTTTTTAACACCTTTTCAGCATTATATTTAAATTTATTTAATGAAGGAGGAATCATGAATTTCAATATTTAAAACCATACAGAGCCAGAGTTACATATAACAATTAAAAGTTTCAATTCCTCTATGCAATGTTATCGTAACTTTGTAATTATTATTACTAATCAATAGTTTACAAAGTCGTTCGTTTGAAGAACTTAAGTGTTATACTAAAAGTTATTGTTTAAGAATTTGCATCGAAGGTGAAAATTCATTTCAATTTTCAGATATACTTGAGATTGAAGAAGCTCATACGCTAGCACCGAATGCAATTTTTACTTTGATCAAAATACTATGTATAATAAGTAATTGAAAGCTCTATTCACAAAGAAAACCATTCAAGCACTCCGAGATCGTTTGTGGTAAAAATTGTTAGCGGGAAAACACAATGTTCGCGATGGAGACGCCGGGTACCAGGCGTTTCAATATGTAAAATTGAACGAATTCAGGCTAGACACAAACCGTTCTCGTCAAAGTGCATTCTCTTGAGCTTTTGGGTGGAATTTCGCGGATTTGGTGGTGGAATGAAAGACTGGCGTTCAGTGTGCGGTTGAAATTCACTCAGTGCTGAGCTGTCCGATGAGACGGGAACACGTATTCTCCGATCTGCGATCCTCCTGTTGAGTGTGACTGCCTTGGACTCACAGTGTGTCTCCTTCGTTTATGTCTCTCTCGCCTCTCCTGACTCCTGCCCGAGGACCAAAAGCCGCCACGGGAAGCACAGCGTGCGCGCGGGCGAAACGGCGTGCCGAAAGTCGTGCGACAATTCAACGGTCATCAGCGATTCAGCGTCAATGATCACATCCGCGAGACGATGTTGGACAGAATTTTGTAATATTGTGGAGCAAATAGGTGATGTGACAACATGTGTTGACAAATGAGACAGTGAAGCTGTGTGTTGGTCACTTTCCATTTTTGGAGATAAAAGCGTCGATCTGGTGATAAAACGAAAAGAAAGAGAGCCAATGCAATTTCCCATGTGACAGACGAAATATAGTGTGAGCAAGTACAACATTCCCTCCAAGTTATGTAGATTAAGTGACACTCTCGTGACTGCTTCCGGTCCCGCCAGAAATCCCGCCAATGTGGCCAGTATTTTCCAAGATTTAACACTCTCCTCTCGCATCCTTTTGAGTGACTGTTGAGCAATCAGCCAGTTTCAGTGCTACCGACAAAGAGAGAGAGAGAGAGATAAGAGATTGCAATTGTGAGGTGAGGGAGACGCCAGGAAAGGTGACATCGCCGACAGCTCGACGGTTACAATTTAATGGTTTTCATGGTGAGTGTCCTCAGCGCATTTCCCTCCAATTTCGCGCGAATCATTGCCTCATTTCTGAGAAAATCAAGCACAGGCGAAGAGAAAGAGGAGAAGCGGAGAAAGACAGAGGAGAAAAACAACAATGACACAAATTACAATAAAGCACACACCACGATTTCCTCCTACAATTTCCATGGTGAGATTCCCACTTGATGTGTTGTGAGAAGATGTCATTTGTCTCTCTCGCACTGTGAATAAACGCAATTTCCGCTTTCAATTAAATTACCATGTTTAGTTGAGATTTATTGTGGACCTTTTTTCCATCATTCTCTTTCACCGAACTCCCAGTGTGCGTCCTTATGTATTGGAGGCGCACAATCGACTTAAATGCACTTACACAGAACATAACGCAATTGAGGCGCAGTGCATTGTCACTATTATGCTAAATTTACGTGCGGATGAGATAAAATTGAATTAACTGATGTGAATATATTCTCTACTGAGCCGCCTCTAATCCATGATGGAGTGATTATGAGGGTGTCTTTATAGCAGTCCGATGAATCGCGTGACATTATTTGTCTGCGATTTTCAAATGTTCTCGATTTTCTTGGATACTCTGGCAGAAGACATGAACTCAAAACATATTGAAGGTTTCATTTCTTCAATAATTAATTGGTTATTGACGCGAAGAAGTGCTGGGAAGAATCACTTCCTCTCCGACAGAGCATGAAAAATGCATGTGAATGTGAAATGCTCGTGGGAAGTGAAGCTTCGTGATGGTCTTAATTGAATTTGATGAGTCCCTTTTGCCACCCCAAAATTGTCTGTGGGCACGAAGGTGATTTTCCAGGAAGTGCAATTGGAATTTCCACAGTTCACCGCAAAGAATGGAAGCTGCTGAAGTGAGATGGAGTTGGGCGATTAGAGTGTATGGAAGAAACCGACGCTGAACCGCCAAATACACCGACTCCTCCCGCGCTGTGAGTCGCCGAGAGGAATCGTGGGAATCAAATCTCTAATCTTGCAAGACAGTCATGCAAGCAAAACGGTACACAATGAGCAAACAAAGATTATAAGCCATGTCCAATTCTCTCTTTACTTCTCGTATTTTACACTTCAATTCATACTCACACTTGGCAAATAGAGAAAGAGCGCGACTGCGAGAATCACGATGCTTCTTCCATTCTCTGTGGGCAATGTTGAAGTCCCTCTGCGGAGTGATAAGCTACTGTACGATTGATTTTCGCGAGCTAAAATAATTGTACCACATCATTTATTTATTCAAGACTTCCCACTTGAGCTTTTCACTCAAATTCTCACTAGCACAGCTGAAAAATTTACTCAAGTCGTGAAGATGTAATAATATTGAAGGCTTTGTTGTCTTTTCCTGCTGATTAATATTGGAATTAACAAAGGAAAATGAAATTGTTCTGCCGCTTTTAGTGCATGCTTAATGAAAATGTTTGCTTTCATTGCTCTTTGTCAGACTAATTGAGGGGAAAATTTATTTGAGATACTGCAGTACTTCTGGGAGCAAAGATTGCGTGATATGTGGAAAATCTTGAGCCTGAGAGCTGATAAACCAACGTAATGGGCGTGGCGTTGAATAGGGCGGGGCATCTAAGGCTTTTTTTCTCTACTGTATTCGCACTGTCGTGTTATCCATGCTCAAAGTATCAATAATTTCCGGAATATTTGCACGCATACTAGAGAAAAACAGGTGAACCCATGAATAAAAACCTTCTCGATCAAAACTGTGGGAATTAAAGCGAGAAGTTCCCCTGAGAAGTTGAAGTCAGCTACGGGGGCCACATATGCACTCTTTATCTCCCCGCGATAAGGCCCTGCTCTCTGCTGAGGCCAGAGGCATAACTCAATAGAGGAGCTCTTGTGCCGCGATGCCGCCGAGCGGCGCGAGATCCGGGGACTGAAGAGAGAAAAAAAAGCCAACACAAAGGCCACATACAAGTTGCTTAATTTCTGTTGCGAATCCAATATAATAGAGCCCGAACAGGTGAGACCAGCCAGACTTTTTTCACCGCAAGTCTTTGGCTGCGCGGCGACTTGTTCGAGGGCGTGGTCGATAAATAATTCTGCTAGCAGCAATTGTTTCCACTAATAAAATGAATTAAAATTCAATTGCTGATCACTTTTTCAACTCTCCTCGTGTCCTTACGTCATTGCGCGGGGGGCAATGAAATGTGCATTTTCCCGCTTACGAGTTGCGATGCCTTTAAGAGAAAGGTTCACACACAAAGAAACTCTCAATTAATAATTTTGTAACTATTGCAGTCCATGTCATCCGAGGATGGTGAATTTATGACTTTAGTCGCTCTGGCAAAAAGTGCTAATTGTCTTTTTCCCACATTATCGGTTCGTGAACTGGCGAGTGTGGAAGAAGTATAAGATGGGATTTAATTGAACATAAAATACTGTTTGTGCCTTCGACCATTTGTTCCCAACAGTGAGGCTGGATTGTATAGAAAAATTCACACAGGGTGGTCCAATCGGCACCTTTTGTCTCCAACCATAATCACGATTGAGCTTTCATTGCAAATACACTTCACGATAAATTGGCGATTATCGTTTCTCTCTCTTGAGAAAATTGCGACCGCATTTTAATTCAATCTTTTGCAATGTGCATGATCGCATAGATCAAACATTTGTTTAGCCACAGCATCGCGACTAAAATTGCACTCAGGATTAGGCTCTCCTCCATGAATAATTCAAATGTTAAGTAAAATGTATGGATTTTCATCTCTCAGTTAACAGACAAATATGCTTTTGTCTCTGGGACAATTTGAATTTAAATGAGAATTCAATTAGACTACCTGCCGCCAGGCGGCACTTGACTGCATGTAAGCACGCTAATCATGGCTCTCTCGTGGTAGGATTGAATGCAAAATTCCGCCCTGACAAAAGGCCACTGATTAGGAATTATGCGACTAAATTCCGTGGCTCTCATCAGCATAAATTGCATTCACATGTGTTTGTTTTGCTGTGCCAACAAGCAATAAAACAATATAATTGGATTGGTCATTTTATTGATTACCTCGTTGACTGCGGTAAGTCCAATTAAGTAATCGACCGATTTATCTGGTCAATTTCAAATTCACTAGCGCGCGCGGGATGATTTGAACAACTGATTTTTTCCATGGTCTCCCATGTTCATACCAGCAATCGAGTCTCTTCGGCAAACAGACATTGGAAAAATATGTAAATGAGGACAGAGCATTTCGACAAAGACATAAGCCGACATAGTCCAATTTTGAGAATATATAACATTTTGTAATGCCATATAATTGTTTTGTGGCACCCAATCGCGAAACTCTCCAGCTGAATTGACAGCCACTCTTGCCTTTTATCTTCCAATTAACTGCATTTTCATTAACATTCACATGTCTTGCCAATTTCAATGAATCGGAAAGGTGATGCAGAACAGCGACTGGCAAATATGTTTACCAAAGTTATGCTCTTTTTTCTTTGCAAAAACACGAGATGCAATTGCAAATATTTACCATCATTTAGCAGATAATTATAAGAATGTCTTCTTTGGTGAAGTTAGCATAAGCACATGTCATTGAACAGGCACCTATATTACTATATGTCATGTTATTGTGTATTCATTTTATTCGCTCGTAACTGTGACAATCGTAGGGTTTGTCCTAATTTTGTGACTTTCCAGAGGACATGTCGCATGAGTTTCATATGATTAGTCCCTTTTAATGCAAAATATAAGATAACAGAGCATTCTGCCATTTCCTATGCCTGTGTACCTTCTTCATCTTTATTTGATTTTCACCGTGAAGAGAAATGCATAACAGGTTCTCTTTTTTGCATTACAGAATGGACTCGGCCCAGACCCTCTGCCAGCCAAAGAGGTAAGTCAGTCTCTGTCTCAGTCACGTGAATTTTTGTGGGTCGGTTTGCCATTAATTAATCCCTGAAAATATGCTTTCAACGCTTAAATGGTTGAGTACAAAAACATTGTGTGACTCCATCAAGTTCAATTAGCATAAAAGCTTGCGACCTTGTCACCTCTCTTGGTCTTTTTTTTCGATCAGCATTGGTCAGACCAATTAGATTTATTCCACGTGAGAGATTTGAGATGCTGGATAGTGCAGAACATTTCACAGTTTTTAATTAATATCTCAGAGCGCGACTCTGAGAGATCCTAATTGAATTTTTTTCTCCATGCCAATTAATCAATAAGTGTTTTTCCCCACACTTTGGCAGATATATTCTATTGAGATGCTGATTTTCAAATTTAATTATTCCATTTCCTTTCTCTCGCGCGAAGTGTTGTTTTTTTTTGCCAACTCATCAAGATAATGGCCATTTGTTGTGACTTTTTATGTCACTGTCCTCGCAACATAGATATTTCCGGCGCCAATTTTTGCTTGGTCCCCAATTTGCAGTAAAACTTTTGTGGTCTTGATGGATTAGCATGTTGTGGCTGTTCCGGTTGAGCAGAAGTCACATCGTGAACCGATTAATGGCAGAAACTGGATGTGTATAATAGCGTTTTAATAGCTAGCAATTATGCCCTTTATTGATCTCTTAAACATATACTCTTCGCGCTGCGTCAAATGCAAACTCATTAGTGTCTCTCGGAGTTACAAGACTTGCTAGTTTCACCATTTATTAATAACATTTTAATAAATTGTCACTCAATGCCGAACATGTTTCTGGTGAACCTGAGTGAAAAGTTCTCACACGATTCAAAAGATTAGCATTTTACCAGGCGGCCCAGAGCCAAACTCGCCACTCGCGCTGCAGGATATTCTAGCATAAAGTGTGCAATGCTGTGAGTTAATCTGTGAATCAGAGAGCATAATTTAAAGTATAGGTAAACAGTTTTAATGACAATAATTGCCGTGGCAGCATGAAATATCCACAACAGAGCGGCATTAACACATACTTTGAGGCACTGGAAATTGAATATGAAAGGGGCTTCGATATTCAATTATTCACCAGCGCCAACAATATGTTATTGTTAATTTGTAATTATGAGCGAGTAATGTTACAACAGTTCGTGCAACACACATGACATCCAAATGCGACACTCCAACTCTGATTCAGGTCCCCCTCACTCGGTCAACTTCACAATAGACAAAATGGCACGATTTCCATTCCAGGTGATTTAATGGGTGATCGATGGATTTTGTGAGAGAAACTCTCAGTCAGTGAATGGACGGCGAGGAAAATTTGTTGGGCGAAATATGAAGGCAAAAAATCCATCATCGGTGTTTATCGCATAGCTTTTTCTCTCCCTCAAGCAATTGGACGGTCCAATCAAAGGGGTATTGATGGGAATTTCGGAGGGATTGATTGAAAAGTTCGCAAAAAGTCCTTCCAATTCCACTGATTGGGCGGAATTAGTTATTCTGTGGAGAGTTATACAAAATCGGCTAATTTGTAGTATGGTTCGGAATACGCCAGAGATTTTGCCCAGCCTGCGGGCTAGTTTTTAATCATCCTAATATAAACATCAATGGTAGTAAATTGGTAGGATTTTCAGCGAATATTATATAGTAAAATATAAAATGTAGAATGGTGCTTTTGTAGAAAAGCGCTTTCAGCGTTAATTCAAAACGTTCCTTTGACTCGACATCAAATACACGGTTAAACATTCGCTTTTAGTGACTAATTGAAATTTTTTTTATAAGTAGAAATTTTTTGTCTGAAAATTCAAAATCAGTGCCAATTCTTTAAATTACAAACATTGCAATCCAAAAATTGTATCTCTCTTAAATTCAACGTGTGATTTTTATAGCCAATATGAGAACTTTTCTTGTTCACGCGCCTTCGGATAGATAATAAATAAAATAAATTGTCGTTCTTTTGGTGGATGCCACAAAAAAAAAAAAAACAACCCCCAACAACCAAACACCCCCACAAACAAAAACCCAAAAAAACAAACCAAAAACACAATATAGTCTGTAATTTGCGTCAACTGAGCGACAAGTGGAAAAGACATCAACAAAGGGCCTTGCAATTGATTTCCCCCTTGAATTATTAACACTATTGATTAAAGTTCCTCCATGTTGACTATTTTTCTTGGCATATCTTAGTAGTGTTTTTTTTTCTCTCCTTCATCTGATACGAGAACATGCAGTTGCAATCAATCTCTCGTTTCATGTGAGCTAATCCGACACATTTGTTGGTGCAATTATCAAATTAATTTACAACACGACTCAAACTCATTAAATTACCGTTTAGATGGAGGCATTACATTTCACTTTTTGCATTCCAATCAACTCGAACTTGGTCATTTTCTGCTCTCGTTGGGGCCGCGATAAGACGCGGCGTGTGTGTGACAAGGCGTGCCGAGGGGGAGACACGAAATGGGTGTACGCGAATCGAATTTAAATATGCAAGCAACCTGACCATATTCGACAAGTGATTTGTGCCATTAAACTCTATTGAACAATAATTATGTCAATAATGGTGTCTACATACAATTTCCATGTTGTCTCTCGATATGTTTTTCTTCTTCTCCTGCCGTGATATTTTCAGGTGAGCCACCAAGAAACTGTCCACCTCTGGCCGCGGTGGCATGTCGCCACGGCGGGGCCGGACGGGCGGCCGGCCAAGAGAGTGCGCGGGAAAGGAGGGGAGAAAGATAGTGAGATGTGGACATGAAAACTGCCGGTGGAAATGGCCGTGTTTCGCCATTCCGCAGACCTGCATTTTTCGTTAGGCTGCGCGCGCGTTCAGGCAATTCGCGCTCTTGTGTCTCCTTTAAGCATCCACTTACACCACATATATTTCTCCCCATAATGCACTATGGCCAGATGCCCTCTTTGCACAATTCCGCGGCGCACACATTATGCAGATTTTATGAACACATTTTGCACATTGAACATTGTCATGAGATATACAGCCATTGTGCGGATCATAAATCTATATTAAATTCAATATATCGGAACTATAGTGAGCTCAAAATCAATTCCGTGGCGATTCACTCGCGGGGCTGTTTTAGTGCTATTACGGTCGATATATTCATCGAATGGCCTTCTCTAGGAGCTGACTATGAAATGCATTAAAATTAAATGCAAAATCTAGCGCAATTTGGTGTTTGTCGCCCAACTTTTACTTCCGCCATTCAACGCATTTTCGCTTAGATTCACAAGACCCTGTTTGAACCCGGTGGGATAAAACCCCAAATGAAGTGATTCAGCAATCCTGAGGCACTCAATCTACGCTGCAATGAAAATCACTTACAAACGGTTTTCGAGTCTCAATGATGGATCGTGAGTGGTGGGCAAAAAAGGAGGGCAGATTGAGGCAAAAAGCAGCGTGTCTGCTGTAGTGATTGTCAGGTGTTTTAACTCAATCCCACCTCCCCTTGACATGGGGTCATGCGGACACTCTTCTAATGGTGTACCTATAATTAGGCGATCTCCACCTCGTCAGCCACAAAACGTGCACGAGAGACAGAGTTGGAAAGTTGGAATGCACACGCACTTGCGTGATCAGTGGACAAGGCTGCACGAGGCTCATCTGAGGGGCTTTTCGGCCAATTAAGTTCAAAGTCAAAAACTCCTAGCGAAAGCTCACGAGTGACATGGAGGCGCCAGGTGTTCAATATATTGGCGCATTTGTGCTGCGTGAGTGGCTCGCAGGCTCAACTCGACAAGTTGAAGTAGTCATTTTTCATATTTTCAAAACACTGTAATTTACCTGCAACTTTTTGTCCGCGAAACTCCCCGAAATCTCCGCCCTCGAAACTGCCAAAAAATCCCCTCACAACAGACACCCATAAATACAATTGCGCCATTATTATATTGAAATACAAAAATGTGCCAATTTAGCTGAGCGCGATATAAAATATTATTTCAACACGAGCAACATGACATTCAAATCATCATTAATAGAGTTATTATTGTCAGCTGCCGTGGTGTGTTTTTGCCTCCCCGCGCCGCGGCCAATTAAGGTGTAGGTGGAGAAATTCCTCAATTGTGTTCTCTCGAAGTCCGCTGGCAAGACCACACACCGCCGTGTAAAATGCTGAAACCATTGTTTGCGGGACATTTATACTGGCCGAATGGCTCGATTGACACTTTTTCGACTGTTGGTCGATTTTTCCACGCATTTTTACATCAAAGCCAAAGCCATCAAGCACACACTAATTCACCCAATATGTCCGAGGTGTTGCTTTACGACTCTTTGCATCACTTGTGTGGGTGGAACATGTAATCTCTTCCTCTGCTCGGGCGACAAAAAAGTCGTGAGATAATTTCTCCATTTCAGCTGTGGGCATTTTTGCAAAATATGATCGCTCAGACTCACCCTAATGACCCATTTTGATTGCTCCACGCACTATCTCAATGATATTTTCGAGAATTGTGTGTTTTTTTTTATTGTCAAAGTAAAATTATGTGACGAAACAGCTGAAATGGATATAAATTTTTAATAAATTATTGTGCAAAAAGTTTAGAATAGTCAGCTTGAAAAGTGTTGAACTCTGAGTTCTGGTTTAGAAAATTAGATCTCACTTTATCTCAAAGAATCTGACTGAAAGGCAGACATGAAAAGGCTTGAGAAACTGAGTGAAAATGGAAATTCATAGACTGATTTACGATCTGTGATCTTGTTTATTGGCGCATTGTGAGGGCTTAAAAGCTTCCGGTGGGCCGGGGAAAGCTCGGCGTCAGACCAGTGTGATGATCTCGGGCGCAATCTCAGCTGAATCTCTGCAGCTTGGCGTGAAACAATAAGGCGGCAAAAGGTGGCCTGAGTCACAAGGCAGAGTGTCTCGGTGTGTGAGCGCGCGGATTCAGTCTGATAGACACCTCAAGGTGGGGCACTGCCGATTGACCATGGTGCCATATTCGAAATGGGAATGAGCGCAAGAAAACGCTGCGACTTCCATCAAATCTCCACTTGCAAGTCACCTGTTGCCATTTGGGCTCTCTCGCCTGGGATCTGGCGGTAATTGTTGCAGCGCGCGCACTCAAGACCGAGACGGTGGTGGTGGTGGAAAAATTTGCATAATTTATTGTTTCACATGCACCAGGTACATTTATTTATTTTAATTTATTAGATATTACCAGTTAGTTTATGTTTCCCCGTTGAAAATTTATTATTTTGCATTAACTTATTACGCCTGGACTTTATTTGTCTCTGATGGCTTTCTTGTCGACTGCCCCAAACCTCTCTCTCTATCCCTTATATCAAGAGACCTCTCTATTAAGCCACAGGTCTTGGCGGTGAACCCACCTCACCTGGCATAATTACTAAATACACAGTTTTCTCGTGATTATTCTCTCAGTCAAAAATCGCCAACTACAAGACGCGATGCGGTGCTCACGGTGCGCACATGAAAATGTATTTACGAGAGTCATTCTCATCTAACATTGCCATTATAATTAAAGCTGACAACTATGAATTATAACGCGAACAGATCAAATCTCCTTTTGGAACATTTTAAAATATTATACCACTCTGAAAAAGATCACCACCTCTTTTGCCCGCGACTGAAAATCACATGGCGGAGTGAAGGTTGCGAAGCAATATTTGGGGATTTTTTTTGTGTGTGTGTCTGTATGGCAACCGACTTGGGTTCCTCCTCCCATAAACCGTCTTTCTTTCCGCAATCTCACTCTCTTACACAATCACTGATGATTTAATTGCAGGCAGAGGGCCCTCCAGTTCAGCTAGAACCCGTGGATCTCAGTTTGCGATCACCTCGTGGTAAGTCTCTCGTTTTTTGCTTCAAATCTCTCTTTTTGCTGTACTCACAGACATGGCCAGAAAAACAACGTGAGAGCCTGTGATTTCGAAAGAACTGTATGGTCTTTTTTCTGCATATATGCCATATAGATGAAGAGCTATTATTTCAATTAGGCTTTTGAGAAGTGGTTCAAACTCCTAATCGCGACGCGAAATACTATAAAGGAGTCCCCGTGTGATTAATGACCACCAACAGAGCGAGGTCAGGCTATAATTGTGCCATTCTCTGAGAAAAATTGCTTTCAATTGGATCAATTAGTGGCCTTTTTTGCATGCACCACCGCTCAATTTGTTGACACATCGCTTTAATATCAAACGTGTGTGATTTTGTGTCTTGTAATGTTGAGGTTTTGGTCAAGTTCAAAGGCACACAATCACGAAATTGCAGTGCAAACTCATACAGATTTTACTCCGTATACACTTTCTTATCGTGGAAAGAGAGGAAAAGTTGTAAAACTAAAGAGGTAATTGTTAGGGAAAGAATTAATTGGACTTATACGATAAACAGTCTTGTTGGGTTTTTTTTAATTTAAATCGATATGAGCTTGAGATAACAGATGCATATGCAATATAGGAGAGATTGGGGCAGTTTTGAACATTGTCACGATAAACTGAAAATATTTTTTCAAGTCTGCGTGCAGAAAAACAGGACATCTTTCAGTTTCTCCTACCTTCGATTACCATAATAAAATGAGAAAAAGTAAATGAAGTCATATTTCAGTTTAAGAGATCGTTAGATCTTAACTACATTTTAATAGAAACATAAAGAGTGAATCATTACTTCGTAAAAAGAGATCATTTGAGTTTGCAGAAATGCAGATCGTGTGTCTGTCTGCATTTTTATTTATATAAAACTTTACGTTCAAAGGTACATCATCGTTCCCTACACTAAACAGACTATCACTTTCACACTCTTGGAAGATGCCACAATTCGCATGACATCGCGTCTTCCGAAAACCCATTAAATCAATGTATTTCTCACGAGCTCATAAGCTTGCGGTTGATGTTTTTTCGCCAAGAAATGGCCGCCTCGGGGAGACGCATGTCTTTCACCTCTCACAAAAGCTCCCCAGAGATTGCAATCGATAATTGCAGAAATGTCTAAGAATTATCCTCTGTTGACGCATAAACACTCTCAAATGGGGTGGGGCCGGTGCTCCCACAAAGTGTGCCGCACTAATTATCCCTCCCAACAGCGTTCTGCCGCCCTGGAATTTGAGCAGGGAGAGAAAGGATTTACATCCCAAGTGAGTGTGCAATCAAGAGCAATTTTTGCCACTCATAATCTCAATGGCTCTTTATATGCGCCATACAAAGTGCAGTGCGCGCTGGAACCTTTCTAATTGCACCTGTTTTTGCCACATGAGCGGTGTTTTATGTGTTTTTCATGCACTTTCTTAACTCGTGATGACTCTTGAGGATGGCAAGTGGCTTACGCTTTGCATATCCTATCAAGGAGTTGGTAAATTTGCAATGTGTTGCATTGCCACAAATCATAAGTGGGATGGGGAAAAAATACATTGCGAGATTCATATCGCTGCAATATTAAGCATGCCTGTTCTGGACTTGTGCTGGGATTTGTCGGAGATGTGATAATTGTTGTCTCGTGTTGTTCGCATGCTGATGAGATATGATGCCTTCACTGCCACCAATGGTGCATCTCATGAGATCAATTTCACCGGGACTGAAATATGAGACAATCATTTATTTATTGAGGCAATATTTTCACATTTTATTACATTCGAATTATTTAATTCCGTATGCACTGTGTGGTCGCACATTTCACAATAGTCATTGACTTCTCTTCTTGTGTGACGATGGTTCCCGCGCAAACAATGCACGATCACGGGAATATTGAAAAGATCGTGATCGTCGTTTGTCTCACATGGTCTCTCTCTGGTGGCCTTTTTTCGCCACTATCTCACTCCACCTCGCCCCTAAATCTCCTGCTGCCTCGCCAAAGATTGTTCAGCAGAAACACTGAGAGAAAGGAGGAGAGATGTGAGAATGCAAATTGAAAGAAATTGATTCACGATTTCTTTTCTATGCAATATATACACATTTAGATTTTTGTACTGTATTCTCATTGCGATCCTCGCGAGACTCAAATTGGCAAATACATTCAATGGCGATGAGTACTTTGTTAAAGTGTCTCTCGTGGTGCCGACGAAGACGTCAGTTTGATGCCATTAAGAGTCAAAACCACGCCTTTTGGGTGGTTTTGGATCGTGTGAATGTGCCTTTTGGTTAATGTATAAAACGTGGGAACTTGAGGAAATTCCTTGCAACTTGACATTTTTGCCATTTTCTTGTCTATACTCTTTCTCCCAATCTCTCATCAATTCGCCGTTGTGCCTCCCTGAAGGCCCCCTCAAGCAAGACCCCTTCGAGGTGTGCCCACGAGAGACAGAGAGAGAGAGAGAGACATGCATTTCGCAATTGGCAATCATACCACTATTCACTTCTCCGAATCATGATTTTTGAGAAGAAAGAGCCCATGAAAAAGGAGGGAAAATGCACAGTGAGAAGTTCATTGATTTACGCGGGAGAATATCTATTCGAATTTGAATGAGAAATGTTCGTTGGTAAATGGTCATGCCAATTGGCAGTATTGGCAGAATTTCAATGGAGTATCCAAATTGCCCTGGGAGATTCAATTTCCTCCTCGTGCCGCCTTCCTGTCGCAACACTTTGAGGCGAGTTTTGAGAAATGAATAATAGATGGGGAGAAATTGAAGTAAATTGGCAATAGGGGAGGCACAGGTCATTGTGGGCAGTGTCATCTTACAAACTGGAATATTAAGGGCTGTTAAGAATTTGGAGATATAAGAATTGTTCGATATTTATCCACACTCTCCTCTTGTTACTTTGCATTTTAGATAGCGAAAACTGTTTTAATTCATCATAAATACCTCGCTCTTCTCTATTGCTCTCAATTTTTCCGACTGATGAAAAATGTAGAAGCTGTGTGGTGTGCAATAAAGTGAATTTAGTGGGTTTCCTCCTCAATGGCACGGAGCCTGAAGAGGTATTCCCAAAAGCCAATAGATGTGTTCACTGTGAGCGGGGGACGATTCTGTGCTGAAGATGTTTCCATGCCCTGAGGTCATGTGAAAAGGTCAAGTTCGTGAGCACAATCAACACGAATTTCCAAGTATTTTACCGCAAAATTTATTCTATCTTATGGGCTGACTTCGGGTTTCGTGTGTGTATTTTCAGCGCATAATCTCTCTTTCCCACACCCAATCCCCAGCCCAATGCCATGAGGAAAAAGTCCACACGGCAAGAATGCATTTATTGGGACAAGCTAGCAGAGGAAATTCACGACATGATAAGCGCACACAGTCTTGAGAACCAAATTGACATAGTGAAGAGCCTTCAAGTTACATAAATTTCCATTGTTCATGACGCTTCGCGGTGTCATTTTTTGTGTGTGTATTCTTTCTCTTGCAAGTGCCTGGAACAAGGTTTTCCAGCTACTTGAGGTGTGCATTTTCCTTCCCCGTCAATATTTCCAGCAAATGCATTAACCTTTGGGCTGTGCAATTTTAAAATGAAATCACATGAGACATAAATCTTATTTTGTGCAAAATATTTGCAATTAAAATGGCAAGAGACAAACGAAATAAAAGCTTATGTAAATATCTTGCAAAATGAAACGGGTGAAACGACACAGAATTTATCGTGAATCTCTTAGAAGCTCCACCTACATTGGCAATTAAGTGCAATGCGCGCGGGTCTTTTCGTCACCTTGTGATAAAGTGAAAGATTTTCGTGGCGGCCCAAAAGTTGAACACAATTATCACGAAATTGAAAGGCGCGAGGCAGAAAAATAAAGTCATTTGCTATCACGAGGTGCATTTATAAGGAGAAAAAATTAAAACCGTATCAAGTGTAATTGCAATGGCACTGTGTCGATTTCTCATAATCTCACTGTGACGGTGGAACCTTATCAGGTAGTCAAATCATGTCGCGGAAGTGGAGTGTGAGAGGAGAAAAATAGCAATAAATTTTCGAAGAGATAATTTTTGTGCTGGAGCACTTTTTCTCCTTCCCAGCCACACACCGCATCTGCATATGGACTCCTTTTGGAGCCACAATAAATCACTCAATTTCTTTATGCAAATGCCGTTTGGGGTAACGCATGTGTATGAAATTGAAATGCACAGCACTGTGTGGGTGTCTCATGAATTCAATTCTACCAGATTCTTGCACTCTTGTTTCATTTTTCCCCTTTTGTCTTTATCTGATAAACATATCGCGTTATGCAACCATCTCAAGGTTTTAGCCTGAGAAAAATACCAAAGCTCACGACGCTTTCCCACTTGGCCGAAGAGAGGCGCAAAGCAGTGCACACAGGGAGGCTTAGAACAATCACTGCATTGCCTTGCAAGATAGCTTAGATTGTTTAAGCGGCACATGACAAATATGAAAAGACACATAAATAGCTATTTCTGCGTTAGAATGTTTCTCAAGCTAGAGCATTATTGCCGTAAAAAGGTAATTATATATGATATCTGTGGATAAAAGTAATAGGAAACACGATAAATTGCAAATATCAGTGGAAAAGATAGCGCTTTCTTTTAAAAAGAAAGCCATATGTTTAACAATATTTGAGAGACACGCGGTGTAATTTTGTTGTATGAAATAACTATGATCTGCGAATCACACGACTTCTTCCCCAAGTCATAAGTTGATGGAGCGCCAGATTCTTACCACTGAAGAACGTGACGACTGACAATTCGAGGGTGGTTTTAGCATTTGGCCGACTTAGGAATTCCAGTCACATTCTCTCTTCCTTCCCCGGGAATCTCGTGCGTATTTTGCAGCTGTGCCAGAACTCACAAATGCGTGAATTAAAAGTCTCCATTCAATGAGGCTATTTTGCAGTTCGCCATCTAACAGTTCTTAATCAATTCTCTTATCGTCAACGCGCGATATTGAGTGCCTCTTAAGCGCAA